GACCGTCGATCCGCACCGTCGCGGACGCCTACTTCGTGCGCTACCTCGGCATGATGCGGGAGCGCCAGACCGCGCTCCACAAGCTCCTCGCGCGGACCCCTCCCCTCGTCTACGGGCTCAACGAGCTCGACGGCTGAGAGGAGCGAAATTCAGATCTTTTCTAAAGGTGTGTTGTGCTATGCAACTACGGCGCGCGACGCGGCGCGCGAACCACCGCGGCGGCGCGACGAGCCAGCCCGGATCCGATGGCGTCGGCGGCGCCGCCTCGCGGACGCGTCGGGCGGCGGCGCCGGCAGCCGACGAAGGGCGCCGCGCGGGCCACCGGCGGCGTCACGGCCCCTGGGCGTCGCGCCGCGGCCGGGGCGAGGCGCGAGACGGCCGCCGGGGCCCGCGCGCCGCGCGGCGGCCGCGCGGCGACGCCCTCGCGCGCGCGGCCCGTCGGGTTCGCGCGAGAGATCGGGACGGATTTCGTCGCACGCGTCGTCCGGCGCTTCGAGCACGCCGCGGCGGTCGACGGCGACGCGCGCCGAGGCGTCGTGATCGCCAGAGGCGCGCGACGCCGCCGCGCCGCGGGGGCGGGAAAACGACGTCTTCGGCGCGCGACCGCGCGCGCGCGCGACCTTTTTCGGCGGCCAGCGGCTGGCGCGGCGGCCGCGGGCCACGCTGGGCCGCGCGCGTCGGCGACCCGCGGCCCGGCGGCGCCGCGGAAGGGATCGCTCCGGCGCATGAGGCTCCTTTCGCGATCTTCGCGGGTCCGCGCGTCGCGGGATTCGCAGCGTTTTCCTCCGTTCTTTCGACGGAGCGCGGCCCCGAGGGGGTCTCCAAGACGTCCTAGAAGCACGCGTCCGGCGAGGGGGCGGAAGGGCGTCGACGCGCGCATAAATCAGACTGATTTTTGCGGCGCCGGGGGTGGTTTGCGTAGAACGATCTCGTCGATTCTCGACTGGGGCGGGCGCCAAACCCGCTGAGAAAAGCACCCGGCAAGAGACGACAAGATGGACCGCTCCGGCGTCGAGAACCTCGTGGGCACCGCCTCGACGCCCTACGGGAAAGCCACCTACTGGAGCGACCGCTACACCAAAGACACGGACCAGTTCGATTGGTACCAGCGCTACGCGGGCATCAAATCCATCCTCGCGAAATACGCCAAGAAGAAGGGCGCCATCCTCGACGCGCGGCCCCGCGTCCCCCCGACGCGCGGAGCCACCCCCCAAATCCCCCGCGGCGCGCGCGAAACGAATACGCGAATAGGTCGGCTGCGGGAACTCGCGGCTCGGCGAGGACATGGTCAACGACGGCTACGCGAACGTGCGCTGCGTCGACAACTGCGCCGTCGTCGTCGAGCAGATGTCGGCCAAGTACGGCGCCCTCGGCGGCCTCACCTTCGGCCGCGACGACGCGCGGACGCTCGAGAGCGTCGCCGACGGGTCCGTGGACTGCGTCGTCGACAAGGGCACGCTCGACGCCGTCCTCTGCGGCGAGGACAGCCGCGAGGGCAGCGCCCAGCTCCTCGCCGCGGCGCTGCGCGTGCTCAAGAAGAAGGGCGTCCTGCTCATCGTCTCGCACAGCAAGGCGCGCGCGGCGCTGATCCCGCCGGGCGCGTGGAAGGTCGCGACGCACGACGTCGCCGCGCCGGCCCTCGACGACGCGAAGCCCGCGACGACCCACTACGTCTACGCCTGCACGAAGATCGCCTGAGAGCGACGCGGGTCGACGCCCCCTCCGTGTGTAGTAAAGCCCATTCCTTACCTCGACAACTTCGCCGCGGCCTCGCGGATGCCCGTCGTCCCGTCGACGAAGCGCGCGGTCACGAGGTACTCCCGGGACGTCGGCCCGCCGTACGCGTCCGTGTTGTCCGGGTCCAGGCGCCGCGTCGCGCGCTCCGTCGCGGGCACGAAGGCCGCGGCGTCGCGCGCCGCGGCGGCGAGCACGGCCGCGACGTCGTCGACGGCGACGGGCGGCGTCAGGGCGACCTTGGTGACGAGATCCTCGCCGCGGTAGCCGATGTTGCCGACGAACGCGTTCGCCGATACCGCGAACTTCGCGAGCGGCGAGTCGAGCGCCTTCGCGAGCGGGTCGCTCCGGCTCGCGGTCACGCTCGACGGCGCGACGACGAAGGCGTCCGCGCCGTAGGCGCCGACGATGGCCTCGAGCGCCTCGCCCTTGCCCCGAAAGTAGCCGGGGATGCCGCCCGCGATGGCGTTCTCGACGTCGGCCGCCACGTGGCAGAACGCGAAGCGCGACACGCCCGCGGCCTTGGCCGCGGCGGCGATGCGCGCGTTCGGCGGGCCGTTGGCGGCGAAGTAAATCTCCTGGTCCTCGTCAGAGACCGTCGCGAACAGCAGCGGGATGTCGCCCGTGCCCGTCGGCGAGGCCTTGCCGGCCTTGAAGCCGCCGACGACCGACACGACGGCGTCGCTGCCGGCGACGGCGGGCGCCAAGTCGTCGACGGACGCGTCCGCGGACGCCCACTCGACGGCGTCGGCCCAGGCACCGCCGGCATCCGCCGGTCGGCCGGACCGCGAGCACGACACGACGTCGCAGCCGGCTTCCGTGAGTTTCTGGCAGACGCGCTGCCCGATGAAGCCGGAGCCGCCGAAGACGGTGACGCGCAGCGCGGAGGCTTGCGCAGCGAGCGCTAGTAGCACCGCGCGGATCGCACACATGTCGCACGAGCGAGCGCTAGTAGCACCGCGCGGATCGCACACATGTCGCACACATGCTGCCGCGCGGACTCGGATCTGCTCGTGCGGGACAAAGTTTGCCTTCATGCAACTTGGTTGAACCCAGTCGACGATGAGGCATCGGGCTGCCCAGCCCGATCGCAGCAATGCTGCATCGCAACAACGATGCTGAAGCTCGCGCTCGTCCTCGCGTGCTGCGCCGGCGCGCGCAAGCACCACGACGGCGGCGCGCGCAACGGCAGCGCGAAGATCCCCGGCCGCTGGATCGGCAAGCAGCGGCCCGTGCGCACGCCGGCGCCCGTCGCCGGGCCCGTCTGGCTCGCGCCGGACGACGTCGTCGACGGCCCGCTCCTCGCGCCCCTGAACGGCTCGTTCCCGCGCGCGTTCGCCAAGGTCGGCCACCGCTTCGGCGCGCGGCCCTTCAAGGGCAACGACAAGTGGCTCCGCGTCGCGCTCCGCGAGGCGCGGCAGAACCGCAGCCGCGTGCTCAAGGTCTTCGTCCTCGGCGGGTCGCCGGCGGCGGGCGAGGGCTGCCGCGAGCCGCTGGACGGCGAAGACGACGACTTCGCGTGGCTCTACGACCCGCGGACGAGCGGCAGCGCCGCGACCTGCGCGTGGCCCGCGCGCCTCGCCCGCTACCTGTCGCGCGTGGCGAACGTCACGGCGCTCGTCTTCAACATGGCCCACGGCGGCTCGTCGTCGGAGACGTTCCTCGCGAACGGCGAGGCCCTCTTCCGCGAGCGCCGCAAGCGGTCGGCGATCCGGACCGCGCGGGGCGACGCGAGCCGCTGGACGCGCCGGAAGCTGCCGCCCGTCGTCGACGACGCGGACCTCGTGCTCCTCGCCTTCCTCGCGAACGACTTCGCGTTGGGCTGCGGGGACACCAACTGCTTCGGCGAGCGGTCGCAGAAGGGCCTCGTCGACTTCTTCCGGCGCGCGCGGTCCCCGGGGCCCACCGTCGCGCTCGTCGACGCGGCGCTCCAGCGCGACGCGGTCCGGGACAACTTGACGGCCGCGGACTACAAGGCGCGGCACCGCGCCTTCGCCAAGGCCGTCGGCGCGCCGTTGATCGACGCCGTCTACGCCACGGGCGGACGCTACCCGGACGCCCACGAGGACGCGCTCGCCGACGCCTTCGCGCTCCACCTCGCGCCGGCCGCGCGGTCGATCCTCGACGACGCGCTCCGGCGCTGGGCGGGCTTCGGCCACTACCAGGGCAGCAAAAGAGAGCGAAATTCCCAACTTCAAAGGCTCATATCTCGGCCATTTTCCACTCGTTTCGGCTGATTTTTGGACGAGCGATCATCTCTCGGAACGGTCTCGAAGCGTGGTTGTTTTCCTCTGAACGCGCGCGCGTGGAACACTCACGTTGAAGCGACGTTTAATCACCCTTTTGCTGCCCAGGCCACTACGCGGCCGCGTACCACGAGTGGATGGCGGCCTGCGTGTTTTACGCTCTGATCGCGCCGGCGCTCGACGACGACGACGAACCCGGCGGCGACGACGACGACGCGCCGGCGGCGGCGTGCGACGAAGCCGGCGAGGCGCTCGCGCTCTGCCACCTCGCCGAGGGCGCGGCGACGGCGCTCGACTTCGACGTCGATCGAGGGGAGGCGGCGACGGAGCGGTGGCGCTACGGCGAGGACGTTCCGGGCAAGCCGGGCTGGGTGAGCTGCAACGGCGCGCACGAGATCGCCTTCGACGTCGTCTGCGAGCGGGGCGACCTCGTCGTCGGCTTCCTCGAGTCCTACGACCCGCGCATGGGCGCGGCCAACGTCACCGCGGCCCAGGCCGGCGTCGCCGTCTCCAGGGTCGTCGACGGCAAGGACCTCGGCGGCTCGCGCGCGTCGATCTTCGCCATGCGCGCGCTCACGGGGCTGGCGCCCGGCGCCGCGCGCGTGACCGTGCGCGTCCTGCCGCGGAAGCGCCTCCCCGACGGCGAACCCCGGGGCTGCGCGTCCTTCCTCGCGACGACGCCCACGGGCGGCATGTGCTGCCTCCGGGACAAGTTCAAGCTCCTGAGCCTCGCGTGCACGTAAGAGGGATGGCATGTGCTGTGGCGGCCCTCGCCGATTTGAGATTTTTGCCTCGGGGCGCCTACTTGAGTAGGCGCCTCCTGCGCCGTGTCGGTCTCGGTCTCTGATACTTACTCGGCTACGTCGGGGGCGCTACTCAAGACTTGTTGAGATGGCGATGTCGTCCTCGACTTTGACGTGGACATTGGCTCTCGATTTTCTGTCGGTGGAGGGTGTGGTCGAAGCCAAGCTCGTCTCGAAGGCGGCACGAAGTGCGGCGCGCACGGTCTTGACTAGGGGTCGTTACCAGCCGGTGGCGCGTTGTTTTGTGTTGATGAAGCGATTGGGAGACCTGACATCAGCCACATACTCGTTCACAGAGGAAGACATGAAGATCATCCGCGCGGCCTGGTCGTTGGAGCCGGCGATCGTCGCGGCGGAGGGTATTTTGATTCCGCGCAAGGGTGACATCATTTGTGAAATCTTCGACATACTCGAACCCTCATTCGACGGTCTCGAACGGCTCGTCGCTGCGTGGGAGCATGTCAGCATCGAAGAGAGCCAACCTTGGTCCTCACAGTCCGACATCTTTTGTTCTCACTTTCAAGGCTGGATCAGTCGGCGCGCCTCCTCTCAAGTTGTACTAAGCAACAATGAGGATCCCCATGACCAGCGGATTCAAACTTTAAAAGATGCTCGTGACCGGTTCTGGCGCGCCGTGGAGCGCTGGAGTGATCTACCGCGCATTGTCAAAGCTGTGTATCCCTGGTGTGGCGAAGATAAGGAGGGAACTCGCGCCACAGTAGCGACGTCCCGCTACTGGACAGACGTGGTCAAGATCGACTTTGTCGTCGCTGCAATCCGAGCATTTGAGAACGAACGTGTGGAGTTAGAAGTTTCGCGCGGCGGCGACCACTGGTGAGCCTCGCGGCGCGTGCACGTAAAAGAACCCAAGGGTCACGCGCTTTACGGTGGTCGGCGCGCGGTGCTCCTAGTGCGTGTAGAAGGCGAAGTCCGTGTCGGCCTTGTTGACGTGCTTCTTGTAGGCCGCGTCGAGGTCCTTGGGCATGACGACGTAGCGGTTCTCGCGGACCGCGTGGAGGCCCGCCTCGTTGGCGATGGCGCTGCAGTCCGCGGCGGAGACGCGCTCCGGGCGCGACACGTAGTCCTCGAGGTCCACGGTGTCGCTCAGGTTCATGTTCGCCGTGCAGGCCTGGAAGACCAGGCGCTTCTGGCGCCGGTCCGGCGCGGGGAACTCGATCTTGCGGTCCAGGCGCCCGGGCCGGAGGAGCGCCGGGTCGAGCGTGTCGGCGCGGTTCGTCGCCATGATGACCTTGACGTTCGTCGACTGGTCGAAGCCGTCCATCTGGTTGAGGAGCTCGAGGAGAATACGCTGGACCTCGCGGTCCGCGCCCGTCTGCGCGTCGAAGCGCTTCGTCGCGATGGCGTCGATCTCGTCGATGAAGATGATGGCCGGCGCGTTCTCGCGCGCGAGGCGGAAGACGTCGCGGACCATGCGCGGGCCCTCGCCCAGGTACTTTTGCACGAATTCCGAGCCGACGACGGAGATGAACGACGCCGTCGTCGAGTTCGCGACGGCCTTGGCCATCATGGTCTTGCCCGTGCCCGGCGGGCCGTACATGAGCACGCCCCGCGGCGGGTCGATGCCGATCTGCTTGTAGAGCTCGAACTGCGTGAGCGGCAACTCGACGGCCTCGCGCATCTCCTGCTTCTGCACGTCGAGGCCGCCGATGTCCTTGTAGGTCACCTTGGGCTTCTCCATCATGAGCTGGATCGTCGAGTCGGACTCGGGGGGGAGCACGTCGACGACGCTGTGGCTGTGGCGGTGGAGCGCGACGGACGAGTTCGGCTTCAACTTCTCGCGGTCGAGCGTCGACAGCACGCGGACGTAGTAGACGGACCCGGCCGTCGACGACGCGATGCCGTAGGTCGCGTCGACCATCTCGTTGAACTGGCCGATGACGAGGGGCACGCTCTGGATGCGCTTGATCTCCTCCTTGGCGCGGATGAGCTCGCGCTTCAGGTTCTTGATCTCGTCCTTGATGTACTGCTCCTGGACGTCCAAAAAGTCCTTCTCCTGCTCCATGGTCTTGTACTTGGCGTAGAGGTCGTTCTCCGTGATGGCCGACACGATGGGCGCGCTCAGCGACTTGGGGTCCACGACCTTGGGCATCTCGGGCTCCTCCTTGGGCGCCGGGGCGTCGTCCGCGGGCGCGTCCACCTCCATGCCGTCGCCCATGGCTCTCAGACCGCGGGCGGCTCCGCGGGGCGCGGCGCGGGCGGCGGGGGAGGGCCGGGCGCGCGCGTCTACAGCTGCGTCTTCGTCGAGGCGCGCGACGGGCTGTGTGTGCGGACTGCGGCCGCGAGGTCGGCGCGCACCCCCGGCGAGGCGCCCTCGGGTGGGCGCGGGCCGACCCTCTAGCGCCGCGACGCTGTACCCGATGTCGCGCGCTTGGGCGCTGTCTGTCCGCCGGACCATCGTCGAACACCATCGCTGGTGGCACAATCGGCCGTGCCGGATTTGTCCGTATGAGCCGCGTGGACGAACTGGGCCTTCTCTACCGTAGGGTGGATTTGGACGGACACGGAAGTTGCGTCTCCGGCGCTCACCAACTGTAGACGCGGCGCATGTCGCCCGTCGCGCGCCGACGCTTAGCCGACGCCCGAGCAACCGCGTGAATCTAGCGGCCGAGGAGGCAAAGTACGCCTCAAAGTTGAAAGGGACAGCCGAGTTGCCACTGACGAGGCATGGATCGAGGCTCTGCAAGGAGCTAAGCGTTGCCCTCTAGCCCCCCGCTGAGCTGCTCCCGCGATCTCATCTTCCTGCGACGACGTGACGTAAGCCCGTAGAGCGACATACCGCGGCCGCCACCATGCCCAACTTCGCCGAGGCGATGGATTTCAACAACTTGACGGCCGCGTTCCTCTTCGCCTGCGGTGCGCTCGTCGCCACGGCGTCGTCGACGTTCCACCTCGGCGCGAGCGTGCTCGGGTCGCTCTGCTTCGCGGCGATCCGGCCCATCTTCGGCGGCGAGAGCGACGTCTTCGCGTTCGTCGGCGTCGCGTCTGCGCCGTCGGCGCCTTCTCCGGCGGCTCGGCCGCGCGGCTCCTGCCGCGCGCGACGGTCACCTGCGCCCTCGCCTGCTTCGGCGGCCTCGCGGCGGCGCTCCTCCTCGAGCGCGCCGGCGCGTGCCCGAACCCGGGCGTCGCGCCGGACGCGCTCGGCTCCATCTTCGGCACGTTGGCCGCCGCGGGCGGCTTCGCCGCCTTCGCCGCCGCGGGCGCCGCCGCGACGCGGCCCGACACGGAGCCCCTCGCGCGCCACGCCGCCTTTGGGGTTGCCGGCGCCTGGCTCCTCACCCTGGGCCTCGACGCGCTCCTGGCCGAGGGCGCGGCGCTGTGGTCGCACGTGGTCGCGGTCGCGCGGCCCCACGACCTGCCCGGCGTGCCCTCGGACGAGACGTTGTACCTCGGCGAGGCCGAGGCGTTGCTCATCTGGGTCGTGCTCTCCGCCGTGCTCTTCCTCGCGCGCGTCGCCGCGGAGTCCGGTCCGGCGCGCGCGGCGTCGCTGCTCCGGTCCGTCGGCGGGCGGCGCCAGCGCTACGTCGCCGTCGGCGACGACGGCGAGAAGCCGCCGGCGACGACCCGCGACGACGGCTCCGCGTCCAAGGAGGCGCGGCACCACGCGTCGCTCGTCGGCGAGCGGCCGCCGCGCTACAACCTCTTCGACCCGGAGGCGCTGCCCGAGGCGCTCAAGCGCTTCGCGCCCGAGGTCTTCGCGTCGTCCGAGGCGCTGGGCAACTTCTTCGGCTTCCAGGACGACAACGTGCGCAACCAGGCCGAGCACGCGCTCATGCTGTTGGCGAACGGCTTAGCGCAGCAGCCGCCGAGCTCGCGGTCCGCGCGCGGCTGCGACGTCGCCGCGCTCGGCGCGCTCCACGCCAAGCTCTTCGCCAACTACCGCCGCTGGTGCGCCCACCTCGAGACGGCGCCCCAGTTCGCCGACGCGGCGGCGGGCGACGCCTGCGGCGGCGCGGCGACGGACGTCGTCCTGTGGCTCTGCGTCTGGGGCGAGGCCGCGAATCTGCGCCACATGCCCGAGTGCTGCTGTTTTCTGTATCATTCGGCGGCGTCGGAGTGGGCCGCGACGCCCAAGAGCGAGCGCCAGGGCGACCGGGGCGCGTCGCTGTACCCGGGCCACTGGCTGGATACGGTCGTGGCCCCCGTCTACTCGATCGTCGCCGCGTCGATGAAGCGCAAGGCGGACCACGTCGACAAGAAGAATTATGATGATTTCAACGAGTTCTTCTGGTCCAAGGATTGCCTGCGGACGCACCGGTCCGCGGTCGCGACGGCGACGGCGCTGCGGCACCGGGAACGGGCGTTGAAGGCGGACCGCGCCGCGCGCGACAAGGACGGTTTGCTCGGCCTCGAGAACGGCCACCGCTACGACCGCGACGAGGCGTCCTTCCCGCCGCCCGTGGCCCATTTGCTGGATGCGGCGCCGAAGACCTACTTGGAGGTGCGGACGTGGCTCCATGTGGTCTTCGCGTTCTTTCGGGTCTACGAGTACCACGTGCTGAGCTTCCAGGTGCTGGCGACCGTCGCCTTCGCGCGCTACCTGGTGTGGGACGCGGCCTACACGGTGGAGGTGCTCTCGGGCGCCGCGCTGACCATCAACGCCGCGGCGCTGCTGGAGGCGAGCCTCGAGGCGGCCGTCGCTCCTCCCTCCGCCGACGGCGTCGCCCACGGCGCGCTGGCGACGCGGCTCGGGGGCCGCTTCGTGTGCCTCGTCTACCAGGCCATGTACCTCTGCTGGGCGCTGGACGGTCTGGAGCTCATGCCGCGCGGCGAGGTCCGGTCGTTTGGGGGCGAGGAGCCGGGGCCGTTCTGGTTCTGGCAGCACGTCTGGCTGTCGTGCCTCGTGGTCGTGCTGTACGTCGCCGAGGCGGTTCTCCAGCTCTGGCCCTACGGCATCACGCTGCTCTACACCTACGGCGACGGCGACGTCTACCGGGCGGCGCTCGCCGTGTTTCTGCCGCGGAGCCTCAACTACGTGGGCAAGACCGTCCACGAGCCCTACGTTCGCGCCCAGAAGTACCACGTCTTCTGGCTCACGTTGATCGCCTGGAAGATGACCTTCGGCTACATCTTCCTCATTAAGCCCATGGTCGCGCCCACCGTCCAGATCTGCGACGACTACCTCAACTTCCCCGCGATCGGCCACCGCGGCGTGAAGACGATGAGCCAGCTCGTCGGGCGCTGGCTGCCGTCGTGCCTCATCTTCCTCGTGGACTCGTCGATCCACTACTCGCTCTGGGCCGCGGCCGTGGGCACGTACATGGGCTTTCGGACGAAGCTCGGCATCGTCCGCGACTTCCCCGCGGTCCGCGACGCTTTCCTGTTATTGCCCACGTCCTTCTGCGGCAAGCTCGTCAACGGCTGCGTGCGCGAGGGCGCCGTCGCGACGGCCGGAGGCGTGCCGCCGAGCCCGCGGAGCTCCGTCGCGCCCGAACTCCAGCGCTACTTCGACGACGAGCCGCCCGGCGGGCCCTGCGGCGCGTGCTGCCTCGGCGGCGCGTCCGACGCGCGGCCGGGCGGCGCGCCGGCGCGGCGCCTGTCGGCGAAGAACGAGACGCCGCCGACGTCGTCGAGCGATCTGGCTTCTACCTTGGGCGCGGCGTCGTCCGTCGGCGGCGGCGGCGTCGCGCCGCGGCTGCCGTCGTTCCTGGCCCTCACGGACGCGCTGCCCAAGGAGACGGCGAGCGACCAGCAGCTCCACGCCATGACGTCCCCGCCGCCGTCCGGGGGCCTGCGCCAGGGCATCCTGGACCTCATCGAGACCGGCGGCGCGCCGGCCGCGGGCCTCTCGGCGTTCGCGGCGTCCGGCGCGGCCGCGGACTCGGCGCTGGGCGAGGCCGACGAGGTCCAGTGGGTCTTGTTCGCCGAGGCCTGGAACGACGTCGTCGGCGCCATGCGCACGTCCGACACGCTCAACGACTTCGAGCGCGACGTGCTCGCGTTCGACCGCTACGCGGGGTTTTCGAAGCCCGTCTACCTGCCCATCTTCGTCACGGCGGGCGCCGTGGAGCGCGCCTGCGCCCTGGCCGCCGACGCGGCGGCGGCCTACCGCCCGGCGGCGCGGGCCTACCACGCCGCGCGCGCGGACGACCAGGCGGACGGCGGCCGGCTCCGGGGGCTCTACGACGCCGCGGCGTCCGTCGACGAGGCGCTGGGCGCGTCGCTGCGGGCCGACGTCGTGGCGACGGAGGCCGTCGACGAGGTGCGCGAGCTCGGGACCTGGCTCCTGCTGAAGCTCGCGGGCGGCGTGCACCGCGACGATCTGGTGGCGTGCGCGTCGATCCTCGACAAGTGGTGCCGGTCGTCCGCGTCCCTCGTGACCCAGGACACGCTGCTGGAGCGCGTCGAGGTCGAGCGGCTGCCGACGCTCGTGCTGCAGCCCCTGGCCCAGCTCGCGACGCTGCTCCTGAAGGGCCTGAAGAAGCGCAAGCCCAAAGGAGACGCGGACCTACGCGCGCCGACGGCGACGCCCAACTCCGAGGGCGGGCCCGCGGCGGAGGAAGCGCTGCCGGCGTCCGGCGCGCCGTCCCAGGACGGCTCGGAGGCGTCCATGAAGGAGGAGACGAAGCAGGACTCCGTGCTCTCCCTCGCGCCGAAGTTCGAAAAGGCGCCGTCCATGAAGCGGACGCAGTCGACGTCCGGCCTCGCGGCCATGGGCGCGTCGCCCGTCGCGTCGGACCTCAAGGCCTTCACGCCGCGGGGCCCCGCCCAGAAAGCCAAAAAGTACTCGCTGGCGTCGACGAAGTACGTCGCCGGCGGCCACGAGCACGACGGCCCGAACGACCCGTTCCGCGACGCGATCCGCGAGAAGCTGCGGGGCCTGCTCAACGGCTGCAAGGCCGTCGTCGTCAAGGGCGAGCCCAAGCAGGGCGTCGCCGGCGCGCGGGCCCGCGAGCTCCTGGACCGGCTGACCTTTGTGCTCGCGAACGAGCGCGGCTTCTTCTGGGACGGGAAGTACGCGTCGGCGTGCCTCGACGCGCTCCGCGGCGACCTCGCGCGCGTGTCGCGCCTGGCCAAGAAGCTCCAGGGCCTCCTGACGACGACGCCGCGCGAGACGGAGCCCCGGGGCCAGGAGGCGACGCGGCGCCTCACCTTCTTCGTGAATTCCTTGCTGATGGACATGCCGCCGCCGCCGCCGCTGGACGCGACGGTCTCGCTGACGACGCTGACGCCCTTCTACAGCGAGGACGTGCTCCTCTCCAAGGGGGACCTGCTCGCCAAGAACTCGGACGGCGTCACGACGCTGCTCTACCTCCAGACGCTCTACAAGGCGGACTGGGCGTCGTTCCTCGAGCGGCGGAAGATGACGGAGAATTCCGCGCACGCGGAGTGCTTCGCCCCCGAGCACGAGCTGGAGACGCGCCTCTGGGCGTCGTTCCGCGCCCAGACCCTGGCGCGCACGGTCGAGGGCATGATGCACTGCGAGGCGGCGCTGCGGCTGCTCGCGCGGCTCGAGCGGGTCCACGGCGCGCACGTGGCGCGGAAGCGGCGGACCGCGGGCGCGCAGGCGCCGCGGCGGTCGAGCCGCTACGCCGCGGCCTGCGAGGACTCGGAGACGCACCCCGTGATTGGGCTGGAGGATCTGCTGAAGCTGAAGTTCGGCTACGTCGTCTCGTGCCAGGTCTACGGCAAGCAGCGGAAGAACGACGACGTCAAGGCCAAGGACATCGAGCTGCTCCTGCGGCGCTTCCCGCTGTTGCGCGTGGCCTACATCGACGAGCAGCGCGTGGGCCGCAGCGGCGCCGTGGCCTTCTACTCCTGCCTCGTCAAGGCCGGCGAAGACGGTAACCCCGCGGAGGTCTACCGGGTGCGGCTCCCGGGGAACCCGGTCATCGGCGAGGGCAAGCCCGAGAACCAGAACCACGCCATCGTCTTCACGCGGGGCGAGTGCCTCCAGACCATCGACATGAACCAGGACGGCTTCTTCGAGGAGGCGTTGAAGATGCGGAACCTGCTCCAGGAGTTCAAGGCGGGCGCGCCGGGCGTGCCCGAGGTCCCGGGCGCGCCGCCGACGACGATCGTCGGCTTCCGCGAGCACATCTTCACGGGCTCCGTCAGCTCGCTGGCGAACTACATGGCGTTGCAGGAGCTCAGCTTCGTCACGCTGGGGCAACGGGTTTTGGCGGACCCGCTGCACATGCGGTTGCACTACGGCCACCCGGACGTCTTCGACAAGCTCTGGTTCGCGACTGTGTGGAAATCAAATCTTCAACCCGACTTCAATGTGCGCGTAATCGAACGATTTGGACCAGAATCTTTCGCTGTGCTTCGAGAACTCGACGAGAGCGATCGATTCGTCCAAAAGTCAGCCGAATCGACTTCGATTTGATTGAGATAGAGAGTTCTGAAGTTTGGTGGGGACCCCCCAAACCAGTGGTTGATTTCCACACAGGTTCGCGACGCGCGGCGGCGTCTCCAAGGCGTCCAAGGGCATCAATTTGTCCGAGGACATCTTCGCGGGCTACACGGCCATGATCCGCGGCGGCGGCGTGACCATGAAGGAGTACGCGCAGGTCGGCAAGGGCCGCGACGTCGGCATGCAGCAGATCTACAAATTCGAGGCCAAGTTGTCCCAGGGCAACGCGGAGCAGTGTTTGAGTCGGGACGTGTCGCGCATCGCGAGCCGCCTGGACTTCCCGCGGCTGCTGTCCTACTACTTTGGCGGCATCGGCCACTACATCAATTCGGCTTTGACGATCATCACGATCCAGGTCGCGACGTATCTCGCGCTGCTGCTGGCGGTCTACGGCGCGGAATCCATCGGCCACCGCTTAGTCGTGCCTCTGGGGTCCGTGCAGATCCTGTTGGCTGGTTTAGGATTACTGAACACGCTGCCGCTGTTGGCGACTTTAGCGGTGGAGCGCGGCCTGTGGGCGGCGGCGAAAGACGTCGCGCAGGTCTTCGCGTCGGGCGGCCCGCTCTACTTCATCTTCCACATCCAGACGCGGGCCCACTACTTCACGCAGACCATCCTCGCCGGTGGCGCGACCTACCGGGCCACGGGCCGCGGCTTCGTCACGCGGCACTCGACCTTCGACGAGCAGTACCGCTTCTTCGCCGCGTCCCACCTCCACCTCGGCGTCGAGCTCTCGGCCGCGCTCGTGCTCATGGGGTTGCACACGGGGGCGGGCCAGTACGCCGGGCGCACCTGGAGCTTGTGGTTGGCCGTGGGGTCCTTCCTGTTGGCGCCCTTCTGGTTCAATCCTTTGGGCTTCTCGTGGCCGCACGTCGCGGACGACTTCAACCGCTGGAGCCGCTGGATCTCCTACGGCACGCGCGGCGGCACGGCGGCCGACTCCTGGGACGTCTGGTACAAGGAGGAGACGGCGCCGGTTAGGCGCCTGAGCGGCCGGTCCAAGGCGCTCTTAGCGTCCAAGGCGCTGCTCTACGTCGCGCTGGCCAAGGGGTTGGCGGACTTCACGGGCCGCGCGGCCTACAAGCGCCTCATGTCCTTCACCTACTGCGCGGGTGCCGTCGTGATCCTCGCCGTGCTGGGCTGGGTCGCCGATCTGCTGGCGCCGTCGCTCCACTACGCGTGCCACCGGCTGCTGAAGATGGCGCTCGGCGTCGCGTCCGTCGCCGTCGTCGCCTTCGAGCTCGCGACGAAGCCGAGCTCCCTGAAGTTCGCCGTGAGCCTCTACTACGTGGGCGCGGCGGCGGCGCTCCTGGGCACGCTCTACGGCGGGCCGGGCCCGGCGTCCTACGGCCGGCGGCGGTCGTCGGGCGTCTTCGACGTCGTCCCCGTCGTCGTCCGCCACCTCGCGCGCGCGCACGACCTCGCCGTGGGCTACTGCTACTTCGCCATCTTCATCCCCTTGAGCGCCATCCGCATCTGCGACGTCGTCCAGACCTGGCTCCTCTTCCACAACGCGCTGTCCGAGGGGGTGGTGGTCGACGACATCCTCAAGCAGGCGCGCCAGTCGCAGGAGGTCGGCGCCAAGGACACGGAGCTCGAGCTCCGCAACCTGCGGCGCCAGGTCGAGACCCAGCAGAAGGCCATCGCGCGGCTCCTCGCGCGCGCGGGCGTCGACGACGACGGCCTCGAGGCCGGCGAGGTCCTCAACCCCGTCCGCGACGTCACGTCCGAGGGCGAGATCGCCGCCGCCGCGCCGCCGCAGCCGGACAAGCCGCCCGTGCGCTCCAAGAGCATCACGTCGCTCCGGCCCGCGGCCTACAACACGGCGCCGCCGCCCTCCGGCGAGCGCTTCACCTTCCAGAGCCCCGACGCGATGCCGCCCCGCGAGCTCTCCTAGGGAGCGCGCGCGCGCGGCCTCCGCGCTCTATCCCCCCCCCCCCGATCCCCGTCCTCCCCCCCACGACCCCCATCATTCTAATTTGCATGCGCCGGTCTTTAGACCGAGTCGCCCCGGAGGCGCAGGTCCGCGCGGTCGATGTCGTCCTCGACGGGGAAGGACGCGGCGCGCGGCGACGGCGCGCCGTCGCTCTCCTCGTAGTCGCCGGCGACGACGACATCGCCGAGGTCGCCGAGGTCCCGGTTGTCGCGGAGCAGCGCGCGCATGCGCGCGTCGACGGCGTCGAGGTCGTCGTCGGGCGCGCCGTCGCCGTCGGCCGACGGGTAGCCGCCGCCGTCGTCGCCGCCGCCGAAGTCGAAGCCGCCGTCGAAGTGGTCGCCGTCGTCGAAGCCCCGGTCGTCGCGCGCGGTCTCGAGCTGGCGCCGCAGGCGCAGGACCTCGGCGTAGTACTCCTCCTTGGCCGCCTCGACCTCGAGGAGCGCCGTGCCGCGCTGCGACCTGTGTGGATTCCAACCACTGGTTTGGGGGGTCCGACGTCCCCACCAAACTTCAGAACTCTCTATCTCGGTCAAAATTTAATCGAAGTCGATTCGGCTGATTTTTGGACGAATCGATTGCTCTCGTGGAGTTCTCGAAGCACGGCAGAAAGCCTCGCGTCGAAACCGTCGAATACGCTCACATTGAAGTCGGGTTGAAGATTTGATTTCCACACAGGCTGCGACCGCGCGAGGCGCGCGACCTCGTCGTCGCGGTCCGCCAAATCCTCGCGCAGCCGGTCGAGCTGCTCGCGCAGGCGCCGCACGATCATGGACCGCTCGTGCTGGGACCGCACGGTGCGCACGGCGACGGTCTCCGGCGCGCGCCGCGCGCCCTCGGGCGAGGCCGCGCCCCGGTCGGCGCGGCCGCGGCTCGCGAGCAACGTTTCGATCTGCTTGGCCTGCGCGACGACCTGGCCGTCGAGGCGCGCGGCCCGCGCCCGGGCGCTCAGGAGCTGGGACGTGAGGTCGTTGACCTTGACCTTGAGCTCGCCGATCTCCTGGCGCTGGCGCTCGGGCGACGCGTGGGGCTCCCGGGGCTGCGGGGCCCGCCGCCGGTGCGCGTGGCTCCGCCGCGGCGCGCGCTCGAGGGGCGCCGCGCTCGGCCGGTTCGCGGGCGCGGACTGGGGCCGCCGCGGCCTCGCCGCCGGGGCCGACGCCGGCCGGGGCGGGTGCCCGGGGTTGACGCCCATCGTGTGCGAGACGGTTTTATGAACGTCGACGGCACGGCAAGGCGCAAGAATCAGGGGCAGCCTCAGGGTGCAAATCTCACCGTAGTTGTGGTTGTGGTGGCTGGAATTCAGCCGTGGTACACGCCCCGCCCCGACGCGTCGAGAAAAGCAGCCCCCCCCCGTTCCGCGCCATGCGCGGGGCTTTGCTCGCCGGGGCCGCGGGCCTCGCGCAGGCCATGCCGTCCTTCCGCGAGCGGCTGCCCAACGCCTACGGCGTCGAGTGCCCCGGGGACCACTGGGAGGGCTGCACGTCCACGGGCCTCTGCATGGGCCTGGGCCACACCCAGTGCGCCGGCGGCGGGGCCCTCGGCGCCTTCGGCGTGTCCTTCCTCCAGCACGGCTACGAGTGGACGACGGCCATGTGCGAGGACGACGCCGACGGCGACGGCCAGTCGAACGGCGTCGAGCTCGGCGACCCGTGCTGCCTCTGGGAGCCGCGCGCGACGCTCCCCGCGGCCTACGAGGCGCTCATGGCCTCCTGGCACAAGACGCACCCCGGCGACCCCGCGCACACGTCGCGGTCCGACGTCGCGGACGCGCTCTGCGACGCCTACGGGCCCGACGACGTCGTCCGCGACTACCCCGGCTTCTTCACGCCGAACGAGACCGCGCGCGCGGTCAACTACAGCTACGAGCTGACCGTCGCGAACTACGAGATCCCCGCCTGGCGCACGATCTACGCGGACTTCATCTGGGACGCCCCGCGGGAGCACGTGGACCGCTGCGCGGGCGAGAACTCGTGCTACTTGGTGGGATTGGAGGCCATCATCGACGAGTCGAGGCACGTGCACCACTACATCCTCAACGGCTGCAAGGAGCCCTGGGCCGCCGCGCGGGACGACTACAGCCCGGGCATGGCGCGCGAGGTCGGCTTCGGCGTCGGCTGCCGCTGGCAGTTCGGCGGCTGGGCGCCGGGCAAGAACCCGTTCTACGAGCCGCCGAAGACGGCGTCGCGGGACATGAGCGGCCTGACGGGCTTCTCCATGCAGGTGCACTACGACAACCCCGACGAGGTCGCGGGCGTCGTCGACGCGTCCGGGTTCCGGGTCCACTACGCGACGGAGCCCCGCGAGCACGTGCTCGGATCGATCCGGGGCTTGCGGTTGAGCGTCGACTTCGGCATGCTCATCCCGCCGAAGCGGAAGCGCTGGTTCCTGACGCGGACGTGCTACGTGTCCGGCGTCGAGGAGGACACGATCATCCAGGGCGTCGGCTTCCACGCGCACCTCCTCGGGCGCGAGATGTACTCGGAGCTCTGGAGGGATGGAACACAGGTCGACCTCCAGAGCGAGGAGTCGTGGTACTTCGACGACCAGTACGATAAAGATATTTCAAGCCGCGGCCTACGATTACAAAACGGCGACATGCTCCAGAGCACGTGCGTCTACGACTCGAGCGAGCGCGACAAGGACACCTACTTTGGCCCGGAGACGTCCGACGAGATGTGCTGGGTGACGCTTGTGTATCTGCCGTATCAAAAGTCCATCGCGTGCGACGGCGCGTCCTGGAACGGCGTTTTACGCGAAAACGACGACCCGCGGCTCATCCCCCTGACGCACCCGCACCCGGACCAGCCGCCGCTCGAGGTCGCCTGCGACACGTCCCACTTCGCCACGCACGGCACGGACGCCGCGGCCGTCGACGCGGTCAACGAGGCCTGCGCGGGGTCGCTGGGCACGGGGCAGGAGTGCGTCGTTTTGCTGACCCACGTGGAGCGGTGCTACGCGGAACGCGACGACCAGAGCCCGCGGCTCGCCGCGCGGCTCGCCGTGCTCCACGGCATTCTAGATGATTTGAAGGCGGGCGTCGGCGTCGCGCCGGGCGGCTGCGAGGACGACGGTAGCTGGCACAAGCGGAACGTTCCAGGAAAGGACTGCGCGTGGGTCGCGCTGGCCGCCGCGTCGCGCTGCGGCCTCGTGAGCGAAAACGACGTCGCGGCGCGCGACGCCTGCCCCTGCGCCTGCGACCCGGAGGGCCCGACGGCGATGCCCGCGCCGCGGCCGACGCGCGCCTACGCGCCTCCGACCGCGCCGGTCGCGGCGCCGACGCCGCGGCCGTCGCGGCCGACGGTCTACAAGCGGCCCTCGACGGACCCGGCCCTGTCCGCGAACGGCGAGACGACGGTGACCTACAACGGCAAGCGGAACCGGTCGAAGAGCGGCGACGACATGCGCGACGGCCTCTTCGTCTTCGCGTTCGTGCTCGTGCTGCTCCTCGTGCTCCTGTCGGTCTGGGCGCTGGGCTGCCAGTCCCAGACGCGCTTCGCGAACAAGGAGTGGACCATGTCGCCGCTCCGGAAGAAGGCCGACGGCGACGAGGAGGAGGACGACGACGAGGAGGCGCACGTCGTCATCCACGACCGGGTCCTCGCGCCGTCGACGTACGCGCTCGTCGAGCCGGCCAAGTCGCCGAGCGAGAAGAACCCGCTCGCGACCTACGAGGTCGGGTCCTACGCGCGGGCCGCGCCGCCGCCGACGCGCCCGTCGGCTTCGCCGCCGCCGCCGGCCGAGGACGCGCCGCTCGCGCCGGAAGCTGCGGACGACGACGCGCCCATCGGCTTCGCCTTCGCGGGCGGGGAGGACGCCGCCCACGGCGGCGTGCTGTCGACGCTGGACGACAGCTTCCACTCGTCGGGGTCGTTCACGGACGCGGAGCCCGCCGACGCCGCGGACGACCTCCCCCGCGCGGACTCCTACGAGGCGCTCGGGCCCGTCGCCGTCGACGACGTCCCCGGCGACCCGCGGCGCCGCGCGGACAGCTACGACGACGCGCCCATCCGGGCCTCGGAGTTCGACGACGACGACGCGCCCGTTGACGGCGAGGAGACCCACCACGCGATCTAGGTCCGCCCGCTTTTCTTTCGTGCTCTCGCCCCCGCTTTTTTCCCGGCCCGGTATATGGCCACTCTGACTGTATGTCTTTCCAAGCGGGATTTTTATGGCGCGTCTGCTGCGGGCGTTCCAAACGGGTTTTAGCCTGGTTTTTGATGGCGCGTCTGCGGATGACATCGCGGATGGCGTCCCAGGCGCCGCGGGCGGTTCGCGAGAGCGCTCCGCCGCGCCGCGGCCACGATGGTTGCTTAAAAACATCGACACGATATAGCGCTCGTCGCGGCTCACGATCGACGCAGTCGCACAGTCGAACACGGACATCGCCGCTCCCGATGGCGCCGCCGGCTCCCGCCGAGAGACCGGCGGCGCCGGCCGCGCCGCCGGCTCCCGTCCCGGCCGTCGCGGCCGCGCCGCCGCCGGCTCAGAAGCCGGCCGCGCCGCCGCCGGCTCCGAAGCCGGCCGCGCCGCTCCGCGGGCCGCCGACGGCCGGAGACTCGTCGGACGAGGAGTCGTCGTCGGACGAGGAGTCGGAGGACGCCGCCGAGGACGAGGACGCGTCGGAGGACGCCGCCGCCGCCGCCGAGGACGAGGACGAGTCGGAGGACGCCGCCGCCGCCGCCGAGGACGAGGAGGAGTCGGAGGACGCCGACGCCGCCGCGCCGCCCGCGGCGACCGCCACCGCCGCGGAGCCCGAGTGGCGGACGGAGGGCCCCCACGTGGGCCAGTGGATCACGCGGTCGATCCTCGACGACGAGTCCCAGGTCGCGTCGTTCTCCGTCGGCCAGGTCGTGGGCTACCTGAGCGCGGCCGAGTCCGACTACGTCGACCCGAGCGGCATGGACGCGGCGCTCTGGCACGTGGCCTACGCGTCCGGCGAGCTCGCGGGCGACGCGGAGGACCTCGAGGAGTGGGAGCTCCTCGAGTCGGCGCCGCGACTCACGCGGCCCGAGGAGCCGCGCGCCGCGCGCGCCGCGGCGCCGGCCGCCGAACCGGCGGCGCGGCCGCGCGCGCGGGACCCGCCGGCCAGCGACGCGCGCATGGAGGCCTGGGTCCGGGACCACGCGCGGGCCGGCGACAGCGACACGGTCAAGGAGGTCTACGACGCCTTCGCCGGCCGCTTCGGCGTCGAGCTGACGAAGGCGCGGCGGAAGTGGGTGAAGCGCGTCGTCACCGACACCCTGCTGGCCATGGACAGCCAGAGCCAGAGCCAGAGCCAGCGCCTCAGCCAGAGCCTGGGCCACAGCGACGACGAGGAGGAGGACGACGAGGAGGAGGACGAGGATGAGGACGAGGAGGACTCGCCGGCGTCGCCGCCGAAGCGCGCGCGCGCGGCGCCGCCGAAGCCGCCGCCGCCGAAGCCGTCGCCGCCGCCGAAGCCGCGCCGCGCGGCCGCGGCCGCCGCGCCGGCCTCGCCGCCGAAGCGCGCGCGGTCGCCGCGCGCGGCCGCGGCGTCGCCGGCGCCGGCGTCGCCGCCGAAGCGCGCGCGCCTGCCGCGCGCGCTCGCGAACATCTCGGACCACCTCGCGTCGGGCGGTCGCGACCCGGCGCCCGCGCCCGTCGCCGTCGCCGGCGCGCGGCCCCACTACGAGTGCGCGCGCTGCACCTTCGTCAACAAGACGACGGCGGCGAGGTGCGCCATGTGCGACGGCGCGCTCCCGAAGCGCCGGCGGCAGGGCCGGGGCTAAGACGCGCGTTAGATGCGCTGGTCCGCGCCGGCGACCTTCTTGTTCCGCATGGGGAGGTCGGCGTTGCGGACGTGGGACTTGAGCGCGCCGGCGACGTTGAGGCCGCCGCCGTCGTCGGGCTCGTCGTCGCCCGGCGGCAGCGCGGTGTCGATGGGCAGCTCGACGCCGTGGAAGGCCTCGATGAAGGGCTCCAGGGCGCGGAGCATGAGCTCCTTCGCCGGCTCGACCTTCTTCCGCCCGGCCTTGAGCGCGTTGTGGCCTACCAAGCATGACGGTAACGATGTATTTCATCGTTTTCCCCAGCCGACATCTCTCGAAAATCGCCACGGCCACGGGACGCTGGTTGTGGCCCGTGTTCTCGACGCCGACGACGGTGATGCCTTCCGCGCAGGGCAGGTCCGCGGCGACGGCCCGCAGCGCCGCGACGCCCCGGGGCATGTGCTCCTTGCGCCAGGCCGTGCCGCCGGACGTCCGATCGAGGAACTCGTCCTTCTCGCCGCTCACGAAGAGGCACTTGGCGGTCGCTCGTATCTTGTTCAACACGTGCGCGCGGTCGCCCTTGGCGTCGCGCGGCGCCGACGGCCCGTAGAGCGGGTACGAAACAAAGACCGCGCCGTCCAGGATCACGTTCGGGTGCAGCGGCTTCTTCGCGTTCCGCGCGGCGAGCGCCGGGTCGCCGCGCCGCGCGAGCAACTCGGCGACGACGCGGCACCCGAAGCTGTTGCCGACGAGCAGCACGGACGCGTCCTCGGAGACCTTGGCGGCGTCGTTCGCGCAGTCCTCGAGGAGCTGCACGTTCGCGTTGAGGTGGGCCTCGTAGTGGCCCTTCCACTTGGCGACCTCGGTCGCGTGGCCGAGGCGGCCCAGCGCCTCCTTGAGCTCGAAGCAGAACCCCGCGCCGGACGAGCCGCCGGCGATGACGAAGGTCGTCGGGTGGTCGAGGCGGTGCTTCTTGATGGGGCCCGCGGGGCCCGCGGGCACGTCCTCGGGCCGCACGCGCTTGTGCTCGCGCCGCTCCGGGTAGAAGGATTGCTGCTGCTGCGCGTAGCCGTACTGCGGCGCGAAGTTCGACTGCTGGCTGTTGTAGTAGCGCTGCTGCTCGTAGCTCGTCGCGGGCACGGGGTAGTAGCCCGGGGCGTAGTAGGCGTTGCTCGGCGGCGGGCCGGGCGGCGGCGGGGGCAAAGCGCAGGTCGCGGGCCGCTCGCAGCCGGGCGGCAGCGGCTCGTCGGGCGGCTCGACGCCGGGCGGCAGCGGCTCCATGTGTTCAGACCTTTCCGGTGCCCGTGCGGCGCGGCGGAATGGGCTGCGCCGGCGCTGGCGCTGGCGTTCGGGGCGGCGCAGACGGTGCCGTGGAGGAGCACAACACAAGCTCCTTGTGGTAAAAATAGCTAGTTAGGCGAGGCCGGGACTGCGCGCGCGCCTTATTTGTGCCGATGGTGGTTGCGCATAGACGGTGGGGACGGAGTCGATGTCGATCGGCTTCGCCCGGAGGCATGATTGGCGCGCCGATGCCGACGCGGTGCGATCATCCGTCGGCGATCTCGCCACCGTCGATGCCAACGTCCGTGGACGCGCCGCGAGGCCTCGGCGTGCGCGGACGACGTAGCGAGGGCCCAGGCGTTGCAGAATCCTGGCCAGGACCAGCGATGTCGCTGCGCTAGAGCGGTCGGCGCCCGACGGGCCCCTGCACGACGGTCCGGCCCCGGGACGGGGGCCGGGGACGGCGGGCACGGGGGTTCCGGCACGGTAAATGCGCTCCGGGCACGCGGCCCGGCACGGGCCCGGCACGCGGCACGGCACTCGGCACGGGCCCCCGGGCACGGGCCGGGCACGGGCCACGCGGCCCGGCACGGGCCCGGCACTCGGCACGGGCCCCGGGCACGGGCCGGGCACGGGCCGGGGAGGCCCGGCACGGGCCCGGCACGGGGCCCCGGGCACGGGCCGGGGACGTGGCCGGGGACCGCGGCACGCATCGTCGCGCAAAGGCCCCTCGCCCGCAAAGCAGCCGCGCTCTGGCCGGGGAGGCCTCCGGGGTGGCGCCGCCGCTCCGAGGTGGTCGATTGAGCTTTGCGCAGTGCGACCTGCGGTGGCCGACTGTCGTTCTCGCACTCGCGCCGCACCGACGCTCGTCCCCATGGCGCGCCTCGCACTCGCCCTGGTCGCCGCGAGCCATGCCTTCACGGCGCCGGCGCGCCGCGTCGTCGCGCCCGCGCGGCGGCGGTCGCCGGCGGCTCTCCGCGCGGCGCCGGCGATGGTCGCCGAGCCCCTGGTGTCGCAGCTCGCGTCGAGCTCCGTGCTCCTTTCCGAGCTCGTCGAGTCGACGCCCGTGGACAAGAGCGGCTGGTTCGGCGCCATCGTTCAGGCCCTGGAGTCGCGCGTCGGCCGGCGCCCTTTTTTTTCGAGCGCGGACCGCGGGCCCCGAGCGACGAACTCCCGTAGGTGCATCACGCTGATCCACGGCGTCGTCGGGAGCTACGGCGTCGCCATCGTGCTCTTCACGCTGCTCCTCAAGGCCGTGACCTTCCCCCTCAACTACCAGCAGATCGAGTCGACGACGAAGATGCAAGCTTTGCAGCCGGCGATCAAGCGCATCCAGGCCAAGTACGCGGCGGACCCGCAGCAGATGAACATCATGATGGCCGAGCTCTACCAGGAGAACGAGCTCAACCCGCTGGCCGGGTGCCTGCCCGCCTTGGTGCAGATTCCCATCTTCATCGCGCTCTACCGGTCGTTGCTGTCCCTGGCCAAGGAGGACCTCCTCGAGGAGTCCTTCCTCTGGATCCCGAACCTCGAGGGCCCCGTCTACGGCGCCCAGAACGCGGACTGGCTCTTCAAGTTCGACCAGTGGAACGGCGCGATTCCGCCGCTGGGCTGGCACGACACGGTCGCGTACCTCGCGCTCCCCTGCCTGCTCGTCGTCGCCCAGAGCGCGTCGACGACGCTCCTCCAGCCGCCGGCGGACCCGAACAACGAGGCGGCGCAGACGTCGAACCAGGTGCTCAAGTACCTGCCGCTCATGGTCGGCTTCTTCAGCCTCAACGTGCCCGCGGGCCTGACCATCTACTGGTTCTGCAACAACATCATCACGACGGCGTCGACGCTCTACATCCGCCAGACGGTCATGGCCGAGCAGCCCGTGACCATGGGCGGCGCGTCGGTCGCCGCCGCGACGGCGGCGGCGCCGAAGAAGCCAAAGAAGAAGAAGAAGGAGGCCGCGTCCTTCGACGACATGGTCGCCGCCGTGCCCAAGCCCAAGGCGGCGCCCGACGTCATGCAGGCCGCGCCCGTCGTCGACGCGGAGATCGTCGACGTCGTCGCCGAGCCCGTCGCCGTCGCCGACGCATCGCCGGAGGGCGAGTCCAAGGCCGCGTCGAAAAAGAAGGCCAAGGCCGCCAAGTCGCGACGGACGAAGAAGTCGCGCAAGTAGGCGCCGGGCCCACGCCGGCGCGCGCCGCGACGCCCGCCCCGCAGGGGCCGGCCGCGCGGCGCCCGCCGAACAAACACACCCCTAAAACACACGGAAACGAGCATGGTCGTGGGAAGGGCGTGATCGGGCTGGGTTTGTGCGTCGAGGCGCGACGTCTCGGCGCGGTCGGGCTCGGGCGCGTCGGGACGCGTACGGAGCCGTGCGCGCGCCAACTTTGTGCTTCGGAGAGCCTGTTCAAGCTCTGCGACGTCGCCTCCGTGCGCGCCGCTGAGCCATGCCTTTAACGGACCTGCCGCGCGGCAGCGACGCGCAAACGGCGCGCAAGACGCCGGCGAACCTGCGCACGCCCGGCGCGCGGTCGTCCGCCGCGGCGCTGCGCGACGGCCAGTCGCTGCTGGCGACCTACCGCGCGTCGCGGCGGCGCGCGCGCGCGGCGGCGACGCCCGTGGGCGACGCGCAGGCGTCGACGCGCCTCTTCGCGGACCCGCGCACGCCGCCGGGCGCCGCGGAGACGCGCGAGCTCGAACGGCTCTGCGCGCTGGCGCAGTCCATCTCTCGCCGGTTGCGCGTCGTCATCGGCCAGACGCCCCAGTCCTCGGCGACGCCCCGGCCGCGGGCGCGCGTCATCTCGCCGCGGTCCGCCGGGAGCGCCGCGCCGTCGGCGGCGCGCGCGGCGGCCGACGCGGACCCCGCGGCGGCCGACGCGGACCCCGCGGCGCCGCCGCCGACGCCGTCGCCGCGCGCGGGCCCGCCGCCGACGCCGTCGCCGGCCGCCGTGCCGCCGACGCCGTCGCCGAGCAACTCCGCCGGCGGCGCCGCCGAGGACGCCTTCGCCGACGCTGCGCGGCCCGCGCCGGCGCGGCCGGCCCGATCGGAGCCCGAGCTCGCGGCCGCGCTGCGAGACATGTCCGCGGGCCTCGTGCGCGCGGCGACGGTGCGCGACGCGACGGTGGCGTCCCTCGAGGCGGAGAACGAGCGCCTGCGGCGCCAGTGCGGCGACCTCGAGCGGCGGCTCCGCGAGCTGTCGATCTCGTTCGACGGGCTCCTGCTCTGCGTCGACCGCGACCCCATATTCCACGCGCGCGAGGTCGACGGCGACGACGGCGCGCCGGCGTCGCCGCGGTCCTCGGCGGGCCCCGCGTTCGTGCCGGCGGCGGCGCCGTTCCAGGCGCGCGAGGTCGAGGACGAGGTCGAGGACGAGGTCGCGTCGCCGCTCTCCGAGGACAGCCGGCGCGTCGCGGCGCGCCTGGCCGAGGAGCGCGCGCTCCGCGCGCGCGAGGTCGAGGACGAGGCCGCCGCGCCGATCTTCCGCGCGCGCGAGGTCGAGGACGAGGTCGCCGCGTCGTCCGACGACGACGCGACGGTCTCGCCGAAGGACGTCGACCGCCTCCTCGGGCGCGAGCGGCCCGAGGAGACGACGCGGTGGGCCGCCGTGCCGGAGACGTACCTGCGGCCGGGCATCTCCATCTCGCCCCTGCCCGTGTGACTAAGGGCCTTATTCGCCGCGCGGCTTCCCGCGTGACTCGGGTTCGACGTGGGCGATCACGCGGCGCCGCGGTCTCCGAGTAAGGTTCGACGTATTATTCACAGACGGCGAGTGGTGGTGCGGCGGGGACGGCGCGCGGTCCTGGGGTTCTTGGGCGGACCGGCGGCGCGCCCCGCGCGGTTTCTGGGCGGGCGAGCGCGCGGAGGCGGCGCGGGATCGTGGGCAAACGGGCCGGGAGAGCCGGCCTTTAGTCGATGGAGATGTCGTTCTCCGCGAGCCAGTCCTCGTTGAAGATCTTCGAGAGGTACTTGACGCCCGAGTCGCAGAGCATCGTCACGATCGTCAGGGGCTCGTCGGACTGCTCCGCGAGGCGCGCGCAGGCCTCGACGTTGAGGCCCGACGACCCGCCGACGCAGAGGCCCGTCGACCGGGCGATCTTCGCGCACATCTTGAGCGCGTCCTTGTCGCCGACCTCGACGAGCGCGTCGACGACGGCGAAGTCCATGGCCCCGGGGATGTTGTTCTTGCCGACGCCCTCCACGAGAAAAGGCTTGGGCGCGCAGAGCGTGCCCGTCTTGAAGTAGTTCTTGAAGACGGAGCCCGTTGGGTCCGCGAGGACGATGGTGACGTCGTCGCCCTTCTTCTCCTTGAGGTACGTGCCGATGCCGCTGATCGTGCCGCCCGTGGACCCCGCGGCCACGAAATGGGTCACCTCGCCGTCGGTCTGCTCGTAGATCTCGGGCCCCGTGGACCGGTAGTGGCCGTTGGGGTTGTCGAGGTTGTTGTACTGGTCCACGGAGAACCAGTCGGGGTTCTCGTCCGCGAGGTCCGTCTCCATCTGCATGTAGCACGCGCCCGGCGGCGAGATGAGCAGGTCGGCGCCGTAGGCGCGGATGGCCGCCTTCTTCTCCTCGGAGCACTTGTCGTTGGTGATGACCACGGCCTTGTAGCCGCGGATCGCGCACATCATCGCCACGGAGCAGCCCGTGTTGCCGGAGGAAGCGGCGACGACGGTCATGCCCGGCCGGAGCTTGCCCTCCTCCTCGGCCTTGTTGAAGATGTTCGCCATGATGCGGTCCTTCATGGAGTAGCCCGGGTTGAAGAACTCGACCTTGCCGAGCACGACCGTGTCCGGGTGCTTGGGCTTGCACACGGACGTGATGTCGACGAGGGGCGTGTTGCCGATGAGGTCCATGGACTGGGCGTACTTGCGCGTGCCGCCGGCGTACTCGCGGCTGACGTGCGCCTGGTGGATGGACCCGGGCTCGTAGGACCGGAGCGGCCGCTTGAGCGTCGAGAACTTTCGCCGGTCGAGGACCGGCGCCGCGTCCTGCTGGAAGCCGAAGGTGGCCCTAGGGGGAACGTGGCCGTGAGTCTTTTGGGGGGGGCGGGGGGGGGGTTCGGGCGCGCGCGGGGCGGGGGCTCGTCGGCGAACGCGCGCGGAAGCGCGAGACGCGTTCGAACGGATCCGGCGCCCGGACGCGGGCGCGCGCCACTTCTTCTCGGCCGCGTCCTTGAAGGGCGCCTCGACGGCCGGGGCGGCGGCCTCGGCGGAGGCCGCGACCTTCCGTCGCACCTCGTCCTCCTCGGCCTCGCTGACCTCCGCGATGGCCTTCTTCGGCGGAAGCGGGCTCTCCGCGGGTGACCTCTGCGTCGACGGCGCCTGGGACACGTCGGCGACGACCTTCCCGGCGCCGAGCGGCTTCCCGGCGGGGCCCGCCGTGCTCGGCACGAGGGCGAGGGCCGCCGTGGCCAGACAACAGGCTAGAATGCGCGGCATCGCTGTCCCGAGGCGCTCACCAGCTCGAGCTGCTCGTGGCCATTGGCCGCAGGTCTCTCTCTCTCCCCATGGCCGGGGGTCCCCTGTCCGCGGAAGGCGCGCGCCGCGATCAGTCCCGGCTCCGCGGCGCGACCGCCGGCGCCACCCACCTCCAAAACAACACGTACGCACCGTCCTTCGCCGTCCGCGTCCGCCGCCGCGACCGCCCCGGGACGTTTGCGGCGTGCTGCCCCGCGAGAACGATCTTTCGTCGCGGAAACTTCGGTGACTGCGCTTCGGCTAACGCCGGCATTGTCCTGGAACGAAGAAGGCAATGCCCAATGCTCGATGGGCTAACTAAGCATAGGCGAACGGAGAAAGTGAGCCGAAGCTGAAAAACAAAGGTCCAGCGGGGCAGCCGACCGAGACTCGGCCTGGACGCGCGTCGCGGGCAGCGCGCGGGGCGCGACACTGTCATGCGCCGCCTCCTGGCCCTCGCCGCCCTCGCCCGCGTCGTCTCCAAGGAGACGCCGCCGAACGGCGCCCCCTGGCGCCACAGCGAGGTCAACGGGCAGAGGACGTTGGAGGTCTACCGGGACGGCTGGGGCGTCGCCCACTACGCCGCCTGGGACAACGACGTCGCGACGCTGGAAGCCGTCGACGGCGCGACGCTCGCCGCGCGCGACGCCCACGGCCAGGCCGCCGTCCACGTCGCGGCCATGGCCGGCCACGTGGCCGCGCTCGAGATGCTCGCGGCCAGGGGCGCCGCGGGCGAGGTCAACGGCCGGGGCGAGACGGCGGTCGCCGTCGCGGCGCAGCTCGGCCGCGCGACGTGGCTGAAACGGGCGGGCGAGCTCGGCGGTACAGAGCTGCTCGACGCGGGCAGCCCGCCGCCCGCGTACCTCGCCGCGCGCCACGGCCACGGAAGAGCCGTCGACGCGCTGGGCCGCGGCGGCGCGGATTTAGGGGCCGTCTTCCGGGGCTGGACGCCCGCCTGCGCGGCGGCGGCCGAGGGCCACGCCGCGGCCATCGCGGCGCTCGCGAGCCACGGGGGGGAACGCGTCGTCGCGACGGCGTTCGAGGCGGGGCGGCACAAGAGAGCGACATGCCCAACTTCAAAGGCTCCGATCTCGGCCGTTTTCCACGCGTTTTGGCTGATTTTTGGACGAGCGATCATCTCTCGGAACGGCCTCGAAGCGTGGATGCTGTTTCCGGAACGCGCGCGCGCGGAACGCTCACGTTGAAGCGACGTTGAATCACTCTTGTGCCGCCCAGGTTCGAGGGCGAGCGGGGCTTCGCGTCGCCCGCGTGGCTCGCGGCGCTGGGAAACCACGCGGCCGTCGTCGAGGAGCTCGCCAAGTTCGTCGATTTGAAGGACGTGGCCCACCCCCAGAACGGCTGGAGCCCGCTCCACGTCGCCGTCGAGAAGGGCCACCTGGAGGTCTTGGAAGCGCTCGCGTCCGCGGGCCAGGACCTGAACCGCCGCACGCACGACTCCTACGCGCCCATCCACCGGGCGGCGTACCTGGGGCGGGCCGACGTCGCGGGCGTCCTCGCCGACTACGGCGCGGACCTGGACGCGTCGACGCGCGACGGCGCGTCCGCGGTCTTCGTCGCCGCGCAGTACGGCCACGCGGGCGTCATCGAGGTGCTGGCCTCCTACGGCGCCGACGTCGACGCGGCGAAGAGGGACGCGGCGACGCCCGCGTCCGTCGCGGCGCAGAACGGCCACGCGGCGTGCGTCGACGTCTTGGCGGACGCGGCCGCGGATCTGGACCGCCCCAAGGACGACTCCTACGCGCCGCTCCACCTCGCGGCCTACTACGGCCACGCCGACGTCGTCGAGGTGCTCGCGAGGCGCGGCGCGGACGTCGACGCGCGGAACCCGGAGGGCTACGCGGCCGCGCACGTCGCCGCGCAGCGGGGCCACGGCGCCGTGCTCCGGGCGTTGAAGGCCGCGGGCGCGGACCTGGGGCGGCGCAACGCCAAGGGTCTGACCCCGGCCTTCATGGCGGCCCAGTACGGCATGGCCGACGCGCTCGTGGAGCTCGCGCGCGCGGGCGCGGACTTGGACGCCGCGGACGATAGCGGGTGGACGCCCGAGATGGTGTCCATCCACCAGGGCCACGTCGACACGCTGGCCATCTTCACGGAGGCGCGGACGAAGAAGCTCGAGAACCGGACGTCGGCGCCCGACGACGTCGGCGAGGAGGACGAGGCCGGGTGCGGCGGGTGGACGTGGAAGACGCGGCTCGGCTGGGTCGCGCTGTCCGTCGCCGCGTCCCTCTCCACGGTGCTCGTCGCCGACGCCGCCGAGGGCAAGCGGCGGCGCGCGCCGCCGGACGACGGCCGAAGCGCCGAGCTCCAGCGGGCGCTCGACGCCGCGAACTCGGAGCTCCGGGAGTTGGGGGTGGAGATCGACGCGGAGCGCATCGCGCGCGACGCCGCGGAGGCGCGCGCCAAGGACGCCGAGGCGTCGCGCGCCGCCGCGGCGGCCGTCGCGAGGACGCGGGAGGCCAAGGCCAAGGAGCGCGAGGCGAAGCTCGCCGGCGATTTGCGGGATTTGAGGAAAAGGCGGGATCGGGACGCGCGCGCGAAGGACGTGGACCAGCTCCTCGGCCTCGACGTGTCGCGGCTCCACGTGTCCGTGCTGACGAAGCTCACGCAGAAAATCCCGGCCCTGCTCCACAAGGTCACGCGCGAGCACCTGCGGCGCGAGATGGCCGCCGCGAACCCCGCGGCGACGTCGCCGCGCGCGCACGCGGAGCCGGACCAGGCGTCGGAGTGCATCGTCTGCCTCGAGGCGTCGCGCGAGGTCGCCTTCGGCTGCGGCCACCTCTGCGTCTGCGACGGCTGCTCCACCGTCGTCGGCGAGTGCCCCATCTGCCGCGCGCCCATCACGGAGCGCCGCCGCATCTTTAGCAGCTAACGGCCCGTTTTTTTTGGCACCCTCGCGTCTTTACGCCGTCGCCTGGACGATGTACATGGGGTCCCGCGCGCCGCGGCCCTTGGCGGAGATGTCGTAGGCCTTCGGCGGCGTGGAGAAGCCCGCGTACTTGAGGTACTGGCCGATGAGCTCGAGGTGCGCCTCGTCGCCCATGGACACCCACATGCCGACGGCCTTGGTCATGAACATGCGGTTCGACTGGGAGAAGATGACCTTGCCGCCCGGCCGGAGCACGCGGCGCACCTCCGCTAAAACGGCCAGGGGCTGCGTCAGGTAGTCCACGGAGACGACGCACGTGACGACGTCGAAGGACCTGTCGGCGAAGGGCAGCGTCGGCTCCTTGTTGAGGTCGCGCTGCACGTAGTCCGTCAGCTGCGTGTTCGCCGCGAGCTCCTTCGCGTTCATGCCCGTGCCGACGACCTTGCCGTACTTGGTGTTGATGGGGTAGTGCGAGACCCAGGAGCTGCAGATGTCCAAGACGTCCGCGCCGGCGGGGATCTCGGCCTTGTAGTAGTTCGTGAGCGCCGCCACGGCGCCCTCGTCGATGTGGTACACGAAGCGCGGCTCGCTCGCGGCGTAGAACGCGGCGTCGTCGCTCTCGTCGAGGCGGCGGAAGTCGCGGGGCTTCCACGGCGGCGCATCGGGCCTACCAAGCACGACGGTGACGATGTTTCATTGGTTTCCCACCCCAAATCTCTCGAGAATCGTCGCGGCCGCAGGACGCCGCCGCGGGCCAGTCGGCGCGGATCGCGTCGCCGAAGACGCGCTCCGTGATGTCCCGGCGGTTGCTGAGGTCGAGGCCCGTGAGCTCGCCCGTGAGCCGCGTCGCCGTCGTCGTCGACGTCGTGCCGTCGACGTTGACCACGGCGATCTTCTGCTCGACGCTGCGCGCCAGGGCCTGGGCCGACGCCGCGGGCGCGCGCGCGAGCGCCAGCGCCGCGGTGCTCAGGAGCGCGGTGCGCCGCGTCGGCGCCGCGACGGAGCGGGTCGCCAGCTTCATCGCCGACGCGCACGCTGCGAGTGCGAGTGCGATTGCTGCGCTGGCCCTCATAGCCTCTTCTTGAGAGAGCTGTGCAACTACACTTCACCTTAGGCGCTCGGGTCGTACACCGCGCTGGTCATTGCCCTCGGCGACCGCCCTCACACCTTCTTCGAGAGTCGAACGTTCGTGCAAGTTACGCAGCACGCTGCTATATTATTGAACGGCAACGGTGCCAACGTTATTTTCGCGACCCTCGACACCCATCCTCACTCTCTTGCTTACTTCGATCAAGATGGCCATGCGTCGATGAGCGACGTCCACTTGAACCCGGGCGCGTACCACAACGGATCTTCTGCGGGTGCCGCCTTTGCAGCGGCCTTGATGGGGAATGGTGGCCTGCTCCCGACCTCCGTTCCCATCATCATCGTTCCACTCGGCCTCCAAGCGAACCATGCGGCTCCGAACGTCGCAAACCAACTTCACTCCGCGCTTGGGAATGACGTTATCATTGCGCCGAGCATCGGCCATACCACCTCCATGAGCTACGTTGCTGGATCGACGATTGCGATCATGGCTGGTTCCTTCGCTCACTCCATTGCTGTCGGACACGGCGTCCCCGGGCCCATCGCTGCTGCGGCCTCGGCCGCCGCCGAGGCGGGCCTCCATGGCACCACCCCCATCACCCTCAGGGCCGCCGGCGGCGGAACCTCGCGACGCTTCGCCAGGACGACCTGCTGGCCATCTGCTGCCGCATCCCCTACGCGAGCCACGACGCCCTGCGCTGCGTCTGCCGGCGGCTCCGGGACATCGGCGGCGGCGCCGTCTACCGGCGCGAGCGCGCGGACAGCGGCTGCGAGGGGCTGGCGGGACAGAGCCGCCCTAGGATTTCCTTCCCTTCCTTGACTTACGGAGGAGCTCCCCTACCCATGGGCACCAACGGCCCGCCTTCGTCGAACCTGGCCGCACCGCCGCTCCCTCATCGTCGCGTCGGGCCCGGCGGCTGCTTGACCCTCGCGGGGCTGCACTTGAGCGCGCTCTTCTTCGCCGCGGACGACGCGGACAGCGCCTCGTCGAAGCAGGCGCCCGCCGCGGGCCCGCGGCGCGGCGGCGACGCGTTGATGGGCTCGGGGAACGCCGGCGCCGCCCGCGGCGCCGCGCGCGGCGCCGCCGCGGCGGGCTTGGGCCGCGGCGGCCACGGCTCGGACCGCTGCGGGCTGCCGTAGTAGGTCGTCTTCACGGGCGGGAACATCTTCGTCGACGTCGTCAGCGAGAGCTGCGCGTTGAGCATGGACTGGTTGACGGGATCCACGAAGACCACGGCCTCGTCGTCGCCGCCGCCGGGCGTCGCGGGCATCTTGAGGCCCGGGTTTTGGGCCGAGATCCAGTCGCAGACGAGCCGGTCGTCGTAGCCGTCGTCGCGCGCCGCGGCCGGGGCCCTCCGCCGCCGCTCCTTGCGCCGCGCCGCCGCCGCCGGCGCGTGCTGCGGGGCCGCCGCCGTGACGGCGTGGCGGTGCTCGGCGAACTCGTCGAGGTCCGGGTCCTCGACGAAGGACACGTTGTCCCAGTCCGCGGGGCGCTGGGAATACATCTCGGCGCTCGTTCTCTTGTCGCTGCTCGGCGTGCCCTCGGTGGCAGGCTTCTCTGTCTCGGGCAGCCTCTAATGCCTCATAATAGCGTTGTGGAGGGGCAACGAACGGTCCTTGACGTTCTCGTTGACGTTTGAGCATGGGCTGCCCATAAAACCACCATGGGCGCCGCGTCCTCGCTCGCGAACGCTGCCGTCGAGCAGCTCTCGGGCGAGGAGCTCGTCGCGGCGCGGGCGCAGGTCCAGGACCACGTCGGCCGCCTGGAAGCGGACAATGCGGCCCTCAAGGCGCGCGTCGCCCTGCTCGAGGGCGACGCGGCCGCCGCGCGCGCCCGGCAGGCGTGCGCCGCGACGGACGCCGCCCCGCGGGCCGTGACGCCGGAGGACCGCGAGCAGCTGCCGCCCGGGCTCGAGGGCCTCGCGCCGTGGTCCGCGGCCGTCGAGGAGCCCGACGCGCTCGAGGCCCTCGCCGCGGCGCTCGCGGCGCACCCGGAGGACGAGCGCTGCGCCGCGGCGCTCGAGGCCCGCGCCCTGGCCGCGGCGCGCGCCGTGACCGGCGAGTTCGAGCGGCGCGCGGCGGCGGACGGCGTCGTCGCGCGCTGCGACGCGGCCGTCGAATCGGGCGACGGCGACTTCCGCGACGTCTACGGCGTCATGTGGGACCGCGTCGCGCGGCGCTCCGACGACCTCGCGGCCTACGTCGCCGCGGCGGCGCCCTGCGCGGCCCTGGACGGCGCCGGCGCGGCCCAGCGCGCGGCGGGCGTCGCGGAGCTCGTGAGCGGCGCCGCGCGGACGAAGGAGCGCTTCGACGCCCACTTCCGCGCGCTCGGCGACGTCGCGGGCGTGGCCTGCGACCCGCCGGCGGCCCTGAAGAAGGTCGCGCGCATCGTCGAGAAGGTCGTCGCCCTCGGGTCGCCCGCGCGCGTCTTCGACGTGCTCCGCTGTGCCGAAATCAACCACCGTCTAGCTCGGTCAAACCGAAGTCGATTCGGCTGATTTTTGGACGGATCGATTGCTCTCTGTCGAGTTCTCGAAGCAAAGCAGGAAAAACTGCATCAAAACCGTCGCATACGCTCACATTGGAGTCGGGTTGAAGATTTGATTTCCACACAGGTGCTCCGCTGCCTCGTCGTCGTCGACGACATGGCGCTCGCGGCGGCCGCGCTCGGCCGCGTCGTCGGCGACGCCGCGCTCGACGTCGTGCGCGTCAAGGAGCGCTTCGTCGCGCGCCCGGCGGCCGGCGGCTGGCGCGACGCGCTCGTCAACGCGCGCTTCGCGGACGACGACGTCGTCTTCGAGGTCCAGATCGTGCACCGCGAGCTGCTCGTCGCGCGGCGCGGGTTGCCGGGCCACGCGATCTACAACAAGGTGCGCACGGCGCGCGAGACCCTCGAGAAGATGGGCCTCTCCCGCGACGACCGGCCGCGGCGCGTCCGCGAGCTCCGGACCGGGGCCGGCGCCACGGCGGCGCGGCTGCGCGCGCTCGGCGTGTCGCTCGACGACCTCGTCGCGGCGCGGTGCTTCGACGCGTCCGAGCTCCGAGCGGGCGGCGCGTCGGCGCAGGAGCTGCGGGACCGCGGCGTGCCCCTCGCGGACATCCTGCGAGCGGGCTACGCCCCCGAGGAGCTCAGGGTCGCGGACGCGGCGGACCCCGGCGCGCTCCTCGACGCGGGCTACGCCTGGGACGACGTCGCGGAGGCCTTCGACCTCAAGCGGCCGGACAAGCTCGCGCTGTTGCACCTCATGCACGCGCTGAAAACGGTCGCGTTCCTGAAGGAGAAGCGCTGGGGGTCCCAGCGGCCGCTCGGCGAGTGGTACGGCGTCGAGACGGACGACCGGGGCCGCGTCGACGGGTTGGGCCTGTCGAACTTCAACTTTCCCGAGGGCGCGACGCTCCCGGCGTCCATCGGCAAGCTCGACGGCCTCGCGAGTTTGGCGTTGAGCGGGGGCGAGTCGCTCGCCGGCCCGCTGCCCCGGGAGCTCGCGGACCTCGACAAGTTGGAGCACTTAAACGTGTCCGGGACGAACCTCGTTCTACCGACGCCGCCGGGCTGCCCGCCGCGGCCGACGGTGCGGCGGGCGGGCTTCGACGCGAAGCGCGAGGGCCGCAAGAAGGTCGAGCAGCTCCTCGACGCGCTCCACCACGTCGCCCTCGGCGCCGCGACGTTCGAGCAGCCCAAGGGCGACCTGGGCCTGCGCTGGTGCGGCACCATGGTCATGTCCGCCGCGGGCCACGCGAAGAAGCTCGGCGTCCGCGCGGGCTTCCACGCGGTCGCCGTCGACGGCGCGGCGCTCGCGGACGCGGACGCGAAGGCGGCCGTCGCCCGGGCCGTCGCCGCCGGCGGGCCCGTGGTCGTCGACTTCGTCGGGCGGCCGCCCTGGGCCTGGGACGCGGGCGCGCGCGGCGCGACGCGGGAGCCCGAGTGGCGGCTGTTGGACCCGAAGACGGGCTACGCGCTCGAGATGGCGAAGCGCGACGGCCGCGCGTCCGTGCGGCTCCGCGTCGCGGGCCCGTCGAAGACCCTGGCCCGCCGCTCCTACGACATCGAGTTCGACCTCGAGCGCATGATCCAGCGCAACCACACGGCGACCTACGCCTCGTCGAAGGGCCCGCCGGAGCGGCGGATCGCGCGCTTCGGCCTCGGGGAGGCGCCGAAGAACCTCCGCGGCCTAATTTGAGAAGTGAAACATCAGCCGCAACTTGTGAGCAGAAGACTCTTCAGGAAGGCAGCCCAATGGGCATGCGGCTCGTCGCACTGTGGTGCGTCGCGTCGGCGTCGGCCAAGAGACTGAAGTGGACATTCCGCCCGAACGCTACCTTGCCGTGCGAGAGCTCGGTCGCCGTCCGGGGCCGCGACGTCTTCGTCGCCGACGCCGCGAGCGTCTACCGGCTCGACGGGGCCAGCGGCGGCCTCGTGTGGCGCGCGGCGGCGCCCAACGACGCGGACGGCAGCTTCTCGCCGAGCGTGGCCGCGCGCCGCGGCGGTGCGGTCGTCGTCGTGCCTTTTTTAAGCCGACGGTGTCGTCGCTCCGCGCGTTCGACGCCGACAGCGGCGCGGAGCTCTGGAGCGTCCCGGCGCCCGAGGGCCTCCCCTTGGACGGGTGTGTGTCCTTCCTCTCCGACGGCTCCGTGGCCTTCGCGACGGGCTCCTGGGGCGACGACGCGAACGGCGGCGTCGTGGCCGTCGACGCGGGGACCGGCGCGGCGCGCTGGCGCTTCGACGTGCCGCGGTCGGAGCCGACGCGGAGCACGCGCGGCATCTGGGCGAAGCCGCTCGTCTTCAACGACACGACGGTCGTCGTCGGCGACTTCGGCGGCCGCCTCTGGGCCCTGGACGCGGCCACGGGCCGCGCGCGCTGGACGTTCCAGGAGAAACGCGACGCCACGGGGCTCTACGGCGACGAGATCTGGGCGCCGGTCGCCGTGACGCCGCGGAACGAGTTTGTGTTCACGTCGAACCTCGGCTGGATCCGCAAGCTCGACCCGGCGTCCGGCGCCGAGCTCGTCGCGGACGCGTGGCCCGTCGCGCCGTCGCGCCGCGCGAACGACTCCGCGTCGCCGCTCGCGGGCGACCCGATCGTCTTCTCCGCGCCGCTCGTCGACGCGGCGGGCACGGTCTACGTCGCCGCGGAGAACTGGTGCGTCTACGCCTTCGCCGCGGACGGGACCGCGGCGTGGCGGAACTGCGACTTTTGCAGCTGGGGCTCCGCGCAGGGCAGGACAAGGGTGATTCAACGTCGCTTCAACGTGAGTGTTCCGCGCGCGCGCGTTCTGGAAAAAGCATCCACGCTTCGAGACCGTTCCGATAGATGATCGCTCGTCCAAAAATCAGCCGAAACGAGTGGAAAACGGCCGAGCTAGGAGCCTTTGAAGTTGGGAATTTCGCTCTCTTGTCCTGCCCAGGCTCCGCGGGCATGGTCCTTTTAGCGGACGGCACGCTGCTGCTGGGGGCGGACCTCCCCTCGCCGGGCCGGACGACGTGCCCCGACTGGCGCGCGGGCTGCCAGCCGCCGGGCGGCCTCGCCGGCAAGGAGGGCCACGTCGTGTCGCTCAATCGGTCGACGGGCGCGCGGCTCTGGGCCGCGGACATCCCGGGGATGAACACGTTCGTCTGCGACGAGCAGATGCTCAACGTGCTCGACGACGGCACGATCCTCATCTCCGGCGGCACCCACGGCGGCGGCGTCTTCGCCTTCGCGGGCGCGAGCGGCGTCGACGCGGCCGCGCCCGCGGCCAAGTACGGCGTCGACGCCATGCTCACGGGCGCTAGGCTCGCGAGGTAGAGGGGTCGCGCGGAACGGCGCGGCGCGTCGAGGCTAAGGGACACGCGTTACTCGACCGACCTCGCCGCGCCCTAGGAGAGGATGTGGAAGTTGGACTCGAAGGGCGCCATGACGTCGCCGGAGTAGGCGGGGATGCCGATCTTCGTGAGGGCGGGCACGGAGCCGGGCACCTTGGCCTCGGCGAGGAAGCCGAAGAGGCCGATCATCGCGAGGCGGCCGTTGTTGATCTCGACGAGGCGGCCGCGCGCCTTCTTCTCCTCGCTCGCGTTGCGGAGGCCGCCCGTGGGGTCGTAGAGGTCCGGGATGCCGAGCTTCAGCGACTTGAAGGAGCGCATGCCGCCGACCTTGCCGCCGCGCATGTAGTGGGGCTCGCCGTCGCCGACGCCCTGGATCTCGGACCAGAACTCGAGCGCGCCGACGAAGAGGATGATCTGCCACTTGCTGATCTCCGGCAGGGCGTCCCAGAGCGCGGGCACGCCGCCCTCGCCGAGCTTCGGCCAGGGGTCGCCGGACAGGGTCATGGGAAACGGCCACGTCTTGCCCGTCGCGTGGACCAAATAGCCGACGAAGCCGAACATCGCGACGCGGCCGTGCTTGATCTCCGCGTGGCGGAACCAGGCGATGGTCGCCTCGTTGCCCTGCGACCAGTAGCTGAGGTCCGTGTCCTCGGCGAAGCAGCCCAGGGGGTCCCAGTAGCCGACGACGGGGTTCAGGGACGTCGCGAGCTCCTTGAGGTCCGCCTTGCTCTCGGCGACGGCCGTCGCCGGCGCGGGCTTCGCGAGCGGGGCGACGAAGGCCGACGCGGAGCCGGCGACGAGCGCGAGGAGGAGCTTCTGCATGGCTGCGATTAGCGTCGAGCAAAAGGCAGGGGTCGGAGAGACTGGTTGAGCAAGCACGTGGATTCGGATTGCGATCTCTCGGCGGCACACATGCCGGCAGCTTTAGCCAAACTGGCACGCCGCCGGGAAGCGCGCAACGATGGGCAGCCTCGGCGCCTCCCCCTCGTCGTCATCCCTCGCGGACCTGCGGGACGCGCGGAAGCTCACGGCGGAGCTCCAGCAGGACCAGCACGCCGAGCGCATGGAGCAGATCCGCCTCGAGGCGAAGCGCGGCATCGCCGTGCTCAAGCAGCGCCGCGAGCGCGAGATGGACGCGCTCCGCGCCGAGCGGCAGAAGAAGCGCGAGGCCTTCGAGCGCGAGGAGCTCGCGCTCCAGACGGCCTTCGCGGCGCGCCACATGGCGAGCCAGGAGGCGCTCAAGGAGCTCCAGCGGGAGCGCGAGCGCTGCTACGCCGAGGCCGAGCGGGCCGAGCGCCGCGTGCGGTCGACGGCCTTCACGGCGCCCCTCGTCGTCGAGGAGCTCGACTAGCCGTTTTTCGTACATGTCTTCGTTCGTTACCCGTTTAGCTCGCGACGAAGGCGCCGTCCGTCGCCGTGAGCGCGTCGTGGAGCTTCCGGCTCGCCGCGGGGCCGACGCGCGCGCGCTGGGCCGTGTTCGTCTCGAGGTCCGCGACGGCGCCGGGCCCGCGGTCGCGGAAGGCGCGGGCGAGGGCGTCGTAGGACGGGTAGGCCGCGGCGACGGCCTCTGCGGCGTTCGGCGGCGCGAAGACCTTGAGCGCCGCGGGCCAGGCCTTGGCGGCGTGCGTCGGCTTGGCGCCGTCCCACTTCTTGACGTCGTCGACGCCCAACCCGTGGAGGAAGCCGAGGGTCGGCGCCGCGGCCGAGCCGCCGGCCAGCACGCCGGCGATCGCCTCGCGCTGCCCGTTCACCAAGTTGAGGAGCTCCGCGACGGCCTTGGTCTCCTTGCCCGCGCCCGACCGGGGCACGCGGACGATGCGCGCCAGCAGCCGCCGCGGGAGCCGCCGCTCGAGGTCGACGACCCAGCGCTGCTCCGGCGGCCGGTCCGACGCGACCAGGACCGCCACCACACAAACCGTCCGCGCCCGCGGCGCGCCGAAGAAGTCGAAGGGCGCCTCGTCCTCGAGGCGGCGCGCCAACGCCTCGCAGGCCGCCGCGGCGCCCTCCAGGGACCCCTTGATGAGGTCCGCGACGACGAGGCAGTGCCGCGCGGGCGCCCACGGCCGCTCGCCGAGCTTGTCGCGCGCGTACCACTCGAGGCAGGCGCAGCTGTCCCGGAGGAAGCGCCGGCAGGGCCCCGCCGGCGGCGCGTCGACGGCCGCGTAGCCCGCCTCCTCGAGGAGCGCCGCGGCCAAGGCGGGCTGCCGCTCGCGGAACCGCGGCGACAGCCGGAGCCCGAGGTCGCTCGCGCCGCCGCGGCCCGCGGCGCAGCGCGCCGCGGCCTCGCGCGCCGTCTTCCGCGCCTTCTCCGCCGCCCGCTCCTCGGCCTTCTTCTGCTTTTTTTGTCGCTTGGCCTCCTCGGGGTCGTCCGCCACGTCGTCGAAGAAGTCCGGCGGCGGCGGCGGCGGCCGCTTCAGGCGCTCCTTGGCGGCGCCGCCGTTGTTGACGGGCGCGCGCGCGGGGCTCGCGCCCGTGAGGTCCACGACGTCCGAGTCCGCCTCGCTCCGCCGCGCGGCGCGCGCCTTCCAGGCTAATCCCGACGAGAAGCCCAGGAGGCTGTCGTCGCTGTCCGAGTCGTGCGCCGCCTGTTGCGGCGCGGGTTGTGGCGGTGGCGGTGGCGGTGGCGCCGCGGACGGCGGCGCGGCGGGCGACGGCCGACAATCCTCGTCGCTATCGGAGCACAGATCGACGATGTCCATCGTGTTTGAGCCGCGGGCGCCAAAAGCCAATCTTTCAGGTGGCTTGCAGGGCATGTTGCTTCTAGCTGTTAACCTCTCCTAGCCTAGCTTCTCGAACTTTTGGGCTGCCCATTGCGAGGTGGAACAGCCACCAACCCATGCGAGCCGTCGCGCTGGCCCTCGCGGGCGTCGCGTCCGCCTCGGGCGGCAGCGTCGTGTTCCTGGGTGCCTATCCGGGCTACGCCGGCAACCTGAGCGTCACGGGCACGCTCAAGGTCTCGTCGACGGCCGGCGGCATCGCCCTGGCGGGCATCGTCGCGGGCCTCGAGCCGTCGGCGACGGGCGGCATGCACGTCCACGCCGGCTTCACCTGCGACGACGCGGAGAGCGTCGGCGGCCACTACTACGACGGCCTCGCGGCGGACCCCTGGGGCGCCAACACCACGTACGCGTCGGACGGCGCCGGCGTCGCTTTCCCGTCGATGGCCGTCGCGGCCTTCTCGCTCTCCGGGCCGACGCGGCCCGTCGACGGCCGCGCCATCGTCGTCCACGCCGCCGACGGCACGCGCGTCGCCTGCGGGCTGCTGACGCCGACGAGTGGCGAGTTCGCGGAGTTCGGGGCCTACCCCGGCTATAGCAACGGCACCGCGTCGGGCCTCGTGCTCGTCGAGGACTCGCCGACGGGCGTCGCGCTGCGGGGCACCCTGGCGGGCCTCGCGCCGGGCACGGGCGGCTTCCACGTCCACGGCGGCTACACCTGCGACGACGCGGCCGGCGTCTTCGGCCACTACTACGAGGGCGACGACGACCCCTGGGCGGCGACGACGGCCACGGCGGACGCGAGCGGCGCCGCGACGGTGGCGCTGGACGTCGCCGGGTATTCCCTGCGCGGCGTCATGCCCGTGGCCTACCGGGCCCTCGTCGCGCACGATTCCGAAGGGACCCGGGTCGGCTGCGGCGTCCTCGGGACCGCGCCGCTCGCCGTCGCGACGCTGGGGGCCTACCCGGGCTACGCGGGGCGCTTCGCGATCGCGGGCACCATCTTGGCGACGGACGGGCTCGCGCTCGCGGGCGCGCTCGCGGGCCTGGAAACGTCCGTGACGGCGGGCGTCCACGTCCACTCGGGCTACTCGTGCGACGACGCGGACGCCGTCGGCGGCCACTACTACGGCGACAACGCCGACGACCCCTTCCTGGACACGACCTACGATTCGGACGCCAACGGCGCGGCGGCCGTGGACCTCGAGGTCGCGGCGGTGAGCCTCCAATCGACGAACCCCGTCGCGGGCCGCGCGGTCGTCGTCCACCTGGCCAACGGCACGCGCGCGGGTTGCGGCCTGCTGGAGCCGTCCGTCGGCGCGGCCCTGGAGCTCGGCGCCTACCCGGACTACGCCGGCGCGGCGCCCTACGGCGCGCTCGTCGTCACCGATACGTCGAGCGGCCTGAACGTCAAGGGCACGGTCGCGTCCCTGGAAACGAACGCGACGGGCGGCTTCCACGTCCACGCCGGCTCGACGTGCAAGGTCGCCGACGGCGTCGGCGGCCACTACGACGAGGGCCTCGCGGCCGACCCGTGGACGACGACGTACGCGAGCGACGCCGCGGGAATCGCGTCCGTCGACCTGACGATGGCCGGCTTCTCCCTCGCCGACGCCATGCCCGTGCTCGGGAGATCGACGGTCACCCACCGCGCCGACGGCGCGCGCGCGGGCTGCGGCCTCGTCGGGTCTCCCGGCGCGGGCGTCGTCGAGCTCGGCGCGTACCCCGGCTCGAACGACACGGCCATCTCGGGCACGCTGCGCGTCGCCGAGACGGATTCCGGCGGCCTCGCCATCGTCGGCACCGTCGCGGGCCTCGAGCCCTGCGCCGACGGCGGCGTCCACGTCCACGAGGGCGCGACGTGCGACGACGCGGATGCCGTCGGCGGCCACTACTACGCGGGCCTGACCCACGACCCCTGGGGTGCGGCCGCGATCTGGGTCTCGGACCAGCGCGGCGACGCCTTCGTGAACGTCGAGCTCTCCCAGGCGTTCACCGTCGCGTCCATGCCGCGGCCCGTGGGGTCTCGCGCCGTCGTTTTGCACGCGCCCGACGGGACGCGCGTCGCCTGCGGCACGGTGGCGCCGACGGCGGGGGCCTTTTCGTTCCTCGCGGCCTACCCCGGCGTCGAGTCGAACGTCACGGGCACGCTGCTGCTCACCGAGAGCAACGGGACGGTCTCGCTGACGGGAACGCTCGCGGGCGTCGAAGCGAGCGTGTCCGGCGCGGGCGTCCACGTCCACTCGGGCTACTCCTGCGACGACGCGTCCGCCGTCGGCGGCCACTACTACGGCGACAACGCCGACGACCCCTGGCTGGAGACGACCTACGACAGCGACGCGGACGGCGCCGCCGCGGTGTCCGTGGCCGCGCGGGGCCTCTCGGTCGCCGGCGCGAACCCCTGCGCGGGCCGCGCCGTCGTCGTCCACGACGCCGCCGGCGCCCGCGTCGCCTGCGGCGTCCTCGCGGCGTCCGAGGCGCCGGCCGCGGGCGCCGCGTGCCCGACGGAGATGCCGACGCCGAGGCCGACGTCGTCGCCGACGCGCAAGTCGAAGATGCACGTGAGCTCGTCGAAGCGCGCGGGCCTGAACTTCGCCGGCATCCTGCTCATCGCGGCCTTCGCGCTCGGGCCCATCACGTTCGGCGTCCTGTGCTACCCGGCGAAGCCGCGCGGCGGGCCGGGCTCCCTCTTCCAGAAGGGCTTCACGTGGGACGGCGACAAGGCCAAGGACCCGGACCGATGGAGCGAGCGGCTCTAGCCCGTATGTTGCGCTAAGACCCCTGGTAGACTCGCCCGTGTGTTGCGCTAAGACTAGCCCGTGTGTTACGCTAAGACCCCTGGTAGATGAGGTAGCCGAAGAGCGCGGCGATGATCGCGCACGCCTTGATCGTGTTCTCCCGCTCGAACTTGGTGATCCGCTCCTCGACCTCGGCGCCGCCCTCGTCGATGTAGGCCTGCAGCAGGGGGCTCCGCCGCTGGCCCATCTCCGCGGGCTTGACGTTCTTCGGCGCGGCCTGTTGTTTGCTCTTCGACGAGAACTTCGAGTCGGCCATGGACTCCAGGACGAAGCCGTCGGGGTCGATCAAGTATCTCGCGTACTCGAGCTCCGCCTCCCGGATCGACAGGCGCTTCTGCTTCGCGTAGGCTTCGACCGTCTCCTCGAACTTCGCCTTGTTGCTGAACTTTTGGATGGACACCATGGCCTCCGGCGAAATGATCATCGCCGGGGCGGCGGCGCGCGCGCGGCGGCGCACGGTCGGCAGCGCATTGCGCGAGATCGTGAACGAAGCGGCGATGCTCAGGCAGGCCGCGACGAGGCAAATGGATCTGGCCATAACTCGCTGCACACTCGCTGCTCGACAAGGGCACGACTGGCTTTTGCCACAAGGCCTGTCAGGGTTGGCGTGCGCGCGCACAGCCGGCCCACGACCGTCGACGCGCGCGCAGCAGCCGGGCCCACGACGATGGTCGCCTCCTTCGTCAAGATCATGGGCCTCGTCGGCTCCACCAATGACGCCTGCGACGTCGCGCGCTGGCCCGGCGTCCAACCGAGCTGGCATCACGGCGGCGCGAGCGAGCAGTGCTTCTGCGCCTACGCCATGACCGCGCCGGGCGCCACGCCCGACGACGACCTCTGCCCGAGCTGGAAGACGTACGTCTCCACGGACAACAACACGGCGAACAAACTGAGCCGAAGCGGCGCCGCGCTCGTCCAGGGCAACTACTCCCTGGAGAGCGCCGAGAAGTACGGCAGCATGACGGACTGGGCCGTCGACCTCGGCTCGGGCTACGGCGCGGACTGCGACGTGGCGAAATCCCCCGGCTGCGACTCCGTCGGCGCCCACGCGCTGTCGATCCCGAAGGACGCGTACTACGACCGGTGCTGCGACGCGGCCGCTCCGTATTCGCTGGCCTTCGCGCTGGAGAGCGACGACCCGGCGGCGGCGTGCGGCGTGCTACGAGATCTCGTGCGCGGCGGCCTCGACGCCGTGGCGCCGCTGTCCGGGAAACACTGCGACGAGGCGAGCGAGGAGCCGACGAAGGCGAACGGGTGCGTGGCGCAGTGCTTCCACTACACGCCGGACGTTTATTGGTTGCATCTGCACACGACGGTGGGCGCGCTCGACGTGCGCGAATCGCCCGTCGACAGCGGCCTCGGCCCGGCGTTCAACGGGACGGAGGCCGAGTCCTCGGCGACGCACGGCTACTACAACGTCTGCGTCTGCGAGCCCGCGGCGGCCAGGGCCTTCGGCCGCGGCCACTGCCCGGACGAGGCGCCGGCCGCGACGGACGCCTATGCGCGACTCGCGGCCCTGGCCCTCTGCCGCAACGTCGCCGGCGCCGCGGGCATCCCGGCGAGCCGCTGCGATGCGTGTGGGTAACTTTAGATTCAATCAACGATGGTTCTGCGCAAAAATAATATGGGCTGCCGCAGATGAGGCTCTCTTTCGTCTTGGCGGTAGCGGCGGCAGCCAACAACAACGGCACGATCGAGGCCGCGCGGCGCGCCGCCATCGTCGGCGAGTCGGCGGCGACCATCGCGACGCTCCGCGCCATGCTCTGCGGCAAGGTGAGCAACGCGTCGGCGCCGCTGCTCGTCGCCGCCGTCGGCCGCGACGCTTCGCAACTGACGCAGCGCGTCGAGGCGAAGCTCGCGCAGAGCATGCGCGTCGCCGGCGCCGCCGCGGCGCGGAAGGCGCTGCGGCGCGCGGCCGAGACCACAAACTTCGACTTCCGACGCTTCGACGACTACGACGCGGTCGTCGGCCCCGCAGTTCTAGCCCACTGGCAGGAACTGTTGGCGACCTACCCGCGGGCGCGCCTCGCCGTCGTGCTGGGCGCGGCGCACGTGCCGCCGTCCAAGGTCGCGTCGCGGGCTCGGCTGTCGAGGTGCGCGCGCGCCGACGCCGCGGAAGCCGGCGAGCTCCTCGCGGCCTACGGGTCCGCCTGCCCGTCGACGTGGCAGCGCGCCAAGGTCGAGGACGCCGCCGTCGCGGAGATGCTCGAGAACGGCCGCGCGGAGCCCTGGGCGCCGCGCGGTCTGGAGAAGATCGAGGCCAGGTCGTGGCGCGCGTTCGACGCCGCGGACTTCTTTGCGCGGACCTCGAAGCATCCCCTGCTCGTCTGCCCCGGCCAGGGCGGCACGGCGACGAAGACGCTCGCCGGCGCGCTCGTGGCCGCGAAGCTGGCGCGCGACCACGACGCAATCGCGCACTACAATGGAAGAGTGCTCCAGGAGACGGCCGCCGCCGCCGAGGACGACCGCTTCGACTGGATCGGCGCGCACCACCGCGGGAGCCCAGCGTCCTGTGCGAGAGATGTCGGCTGAAAACCGATCGGTAGGCTACGCGGCGCTGCTCGACACGCCGACGCCGGCCTTCTGGCGCGAGCTGCTCCTGGCGTGCGCCGCCGGCGTCCCGACGGGCTTTTGGGCGGTTTCGATCGACGCGCGCGGAGAGGTTGCGGTAGGTTCCCGCAGTCGAAGGTCGTCCTGACGGTTCGCGGCGTCTACGACCGCCACTACCCGAGCCGCTTCTCCGCCGGCGGCGAGCTGTTTCCGAGCGACCGGAGGCTCGCGACCTCGACGTGCGCCGCGCTCGACGCGTGCGCCGCGCGCTGCGGCGGGCGCCAGAGCCCGAAGCTCGTCGCCGCCGCGGGCGCGGCGTCCTGCGGCGCGTCGGACCTGGCGGCCGTGGAGCCCCAGCTCTACGCGCGGCGCGCGGCGGACGCGCTCCTCGGCGGCCGCGCGCCGAAGCCCATGGAGCACAAGGATCGGCTGCCCGTGTACCACACGCCGTGCCCGAGCCGCCTGACGGCGCTCAAGGTCGCGCGGAACACGAACCGGCACGTGCTCCGCCGCGCGCCGAGCGACCGGCTGCTCGTGCTCGACATCGTCGACGCCGGCGACGGCTACGACCGGCTCTGCCCCTTCGTCGGCGCGACGTCGGGCGTCTGCCGCCACGCGTCGGGCGCGTTCCCCCGGTCCAAGGGCGACCGCCGGCGGCTCGGGACGACGTGCCCGTGTGGTTAAGCTTTATCGCTAGGCGGCCCGCCTCGACCGATCCAAGAGTATCCTCGTTGGCAAGCCGCGCAATGGCGCCCTTGTGCCCCTTGGCGGCCGCGCGGCCGTACCAGCGTTTGGCTTCTTCGACTCCAGATTGGATTCCCCTGCTGATTTCGTATTCGGCATTAGCTCCCATGGCAACCTCCGCTACGGTAAGCCCTTGATTCGCGGCGAGTCTGTAGTAGTGCATATGCTCCTGGAAGTTGAGGGGATCTCTGCGACGCATCTCTACCGCAAGGGTATATTGCCCACTTGCGTTACCTTTGTCCGCGGCCATGCGATAATAATGCATCGCTTTGTTCGGGTCCTTCTTGGTCCCGCCGTCTCCGGTTAGCGTAGCAGGGTCCCGAGACACACGATCGCGTTCACGTTCCCGAGCTCCGCGGCGCGTTTGTAAATTTTCGCAGCCTTCTTCATATTTTGGGGGACGTCTTGGCCTACGCGGTACATGTGACCCAACTGAAGAATCGCACTTGGCACATCGTTCTCCACGTGGCGACGAAGCGCTGCCAGCCTCGCCTCACGGTCCTTCATGAACGGCGTCCGACAGAGAGGACACGTGGGAGCTTGGAGCTTTTTCTGACACGAGTAGCAGATCTCCCCGCAGCAACAGGTCATGAACACAAATGGCTCATTCACGTCGACGCTCAGACAAATCGGGCACCGCGGCCCGTGGCGCGCCGGCTCCGGGTTCGCCTCGCGCCGCGCGCGGGCGGCCTCGTGCTCCGCGGCGATGCGCGCGCGGACCTCGTCGGCGTGCGAGCGAGGCGCGGGCCCGTAGACGATCTCCTCTGGCGGCGACGGCGGGGGCGTCGGCGCCTCGGCCCGCGCCGCCTCCGCCGCCCGCTCCGCCCGGATCTTTTTGCACGCCTTCCGGTGGCCGCGATCGCGCCAGTCGATTCTTTGGCATTCCGTCGAACAATACTGCGTGGTCTCGCAGGGACAACAGAGTAATGTTCTCGGGGTCGCGCCGCAAATCGTACATGTCAGGCGGAGTTTTAAAGCCTTCGCACGGGCCTTCTTCTCTTCGTATTCGCGCTGCTTCTTCTGCCACTCGAGGAGCGGGGGGGTCATCGCGATGTGGCTTCGGGGCGGCGTCAAAGTGCACGGGGGTAGTCACGGGGGCTCGCGGGCGCGTGTCGCGGGAGGGCGTCGCGTCCACTGACCAGAACAAGGCCTTTGCTCGCTGTTTTTGCAGATTTTGCGGCGAAATCTCGCACGTAGGCCCGGCCCTGGCGCGACACCGACGATGCGAACCGCCCTCTTACTAGCGCTCGGCGTCGTAGTCCTCGGCGACGAGTGCCCAGTTTCGATCCCCAACGCCAAGGTCGCTCCCGGCTTCTGCGCCGAGGAGCTCGTCGACGGCCTGAGCAAGCCCCGGGGCCTCGCCTACGACCCCCGGGACGGCGGCATCCTCGTCGTCGAGCGGAACAAGGAACAAATCACGCTCCTGACCTTCGACGAGGAAGGAAACGTCGCGAGCGCGGCCGCGGTCGCGTCCGCGCCGGATCTCAACCACGGCGTCGCGCTCCGGGACGATTTGCTCTACGCGTCGTCGGACACGACGGTGTACCGCTGGCGCTACGCCCCGGGCGCCGAGGCGACGGACCGCACGGCGGTGGTCACGGGCATCTCCGCGGACGGCCGGGGCGGCGCGCCGGGCGGCCACACGACGCGGACGCTCGTCCTCGACGGCGCGGGACACATGTACGTCTCCGTGGGGTCCGCGGGCAACGTGGACGCCGACTCGTACCGCGCGCGCGTGCGCGCCTGCGGCGACCTCTCCGCCGTCGTCGGACGCGGTAGACTTTGATGCCTGCGCCGTCTTCGCGGACGGCCTGCGGAACGAGGTCGGCCTCGCGTTCGACGCCGCGGGCCGTCTGTGGGGCGTCGAGAACAGCGCCGACAACCTGCGACGGAGCGACCTCGGCGGCGACATCCACAACGAGAACCCGGCGGAGGAGCTCAACCTCCTCGTCGACGGCGGCTTTTATGGGTATCCCTGGTGCTGGACGGGCGGGCCGAACACGGCGTTCGCGGGTTCGCAGTGGGCCTGGCCGTCGACGATGGAAACAAAAGACGACGGCTGGTGCGCGGACAACGCCGTAGCGCCGGCCCTCGCCATGCAGGCCCACAGCGCGCCCCTCGGCCTCGCGTTCTACGAAACCGTTGGCGGCGATGGCGCGTTCCCGGCGGACGCGGACGGCGACTGCTTCGTCGCTTTTCACGGCAGCTGGAACAGGGATATTCCCACGGGCTACAAGGTCGTGCGCGTGCGCTTCGCGGACGGCGCGCCGGCGAGCATCGAGGACCTGCTCGCGCACGACGGCGACGCCGCGAAGTGGCCCAACGGCCTGCGCCCCGTCGACGCGGTCTTCGACGGCCGCGGCCGTCTCGTGGTCTCCGACGACGGCGCGAACACGGTGTTCCGCATCTCGGCGGCGCCCGCGACGGCCCGAGAAACGCCGGCGCCGACGACGACGACCGCGGCGACGGCGCGGGAGACGCCGGCGCCGACGACGACGATACCCGACGACTGCGACATCTGCGCCCCTCTGCCTCCGCCGCCCGGTGAGTCGGATGCGACGCGTCGCGGCGCCGCGTGGGAATCGGCCGCGAGTTTCGTCGCGGCGACGCTCCTTCTCGCGTAGGCTGCGCCAAGGTCGGCAAGAGGAAGAGCCGCAAGGAGAAGAAGCGGGCCTGCAAGGCCGCCACGTTTTGCAAGTGGGCGAAGAAAAAGTGCGTCCCGAGGCCGGGCGCGAAGGACTACTGCTCGCACGTCGCCAAGAAGAAGAAGAACGAGAAGCGCGCGTGCAAACGCAAGCCCGCCCACTGCCGCTGGAAGAGGAAGTCCAAACGCTGCGTAAATCGCTAGCCCACGTTGGATGGCATGTCGTCGTCGAAGATGGGGGAAGTCGCCGATGGGGACGCGTGCGACCGCCGCGGGTCGGGGGGGGGAGAAGCCGACGGTGCCGATGATGCCTGTTAGGAATGTGTGAGAGGACCAGTAGAGCCGGTAGAGGCTCGGTAAGGGCGGCTGCCCACGATGGCCGCTGGGCCAGCCCCCAAATTTGAGCACTGGGTTGCTCGCGGCTGAGCGCTAGGTCGCACACCGATGCGCGCGCGCCTGCGCTGGGTCGTCGCCGCCGCCGCCGCGCGGGGGCTCGAGGTCCACATGGGCGACGGCGGTATCGTCTACTACGGCGGCGGCGACGACGACGCCGCGGCGCGCGACTTCTGCGCGGCCCACCGCGTCGTCGAGGCGTCCTGCGCCGCGGAGCTCCGGCGCATGAGCCGCGAGGCCGACGCGCCGTTCGAGGCCTACGAGAACGCGACGGGCGATCCCCGCGCCGACTACGCGGCGTCGGCGTGCGACGATAGCGACATATACGTGAGCGTGACGAACCGCGCCATCGTCGAGTCGTTGAGCGACGTCGACGACTGGTTCGAGGCGGAGCCCTGGCGGCCCCGGGGCGCCGCCCTCGCGGACGCCGTCGAGAAGCGCATCGTCGACGAGCGGCGCAGCTACGTCGTCTTCCCGCGCTTCTACGACGCCGCGGCGACGCAGGAGCTCCGGGACGAGCTCGACCGCATGTTCCACGGCGACGCCTGCGCGCGCAACCGCGCCTACGACGCGGGCGTGGGCAACGTCTGGTCCGCGGACGCGTTCAGCGCCGTCGTACGCGACCACCTCCGCGTCGCAGGCCTGCAGGACGCCGCGGAGCGCGTCATCCGGAGCACGGCCCAGGGGCGCCGGGGGCTCGAGGCGGGCTACGTCGAGCCGTCGAGCCACGCGCTCCACCAGGACATGTCCGTCTGCGCCGCGGGCGACCCGCGCCGGAGCCCGCTCTGCGGCGCGGTGTCCGTGAGCCCGGCCGCGGGCTACCACTGCGACCACCTGCAGACGGCGGTGAAGGCGCTGCTCTACCTCGACGACGTCCGCGCGGACAACGGGCCCTTCTCCGTGCTCGAAAATTATCCCGTCGTGACGAACGCGCACGGCTTCGAGCAGCCCGACCCACGGGTCTTGCCGGTCTGCGACGGCGACCTGGAGGCGACGGGGAAGCGCGTGCTCCGCTTCTCCGAGGGCCACGTCGTCGAGTTGCTGGAGCGGGGCCTCGCGCGGAGCGTCGAGATCCACGCGCCCGCGGGCACGCTCATCGTCTTCGACGTCTCCGCGGTCCACACGGGCAAGGTCGTCCTCAACGGCTCCCGCGTGTCGCTGACGAACATCTACGGGCTCCAGTCGCGCGACGGGTTACGCGACTTCCCCGCGGACACGGTCAAGGACCACCTCCACCGCGTCTACCACGGCTTCACGGCCGGCGACTCGCCCGCGGTCTCCGCGGAGCGCGCGGCGCTCGCGGGCGGCTACACGCCGCGCTGCGACCAGATGTCCGCCTGGTGGGGGCCCCAGCTCCGCGTCTAAAGAATGTGTGTTGTTAGCGACCGAGGTCACAGCGCGGCAACGACCTGGATCTCGACGAGGATCGACGGCCGCGCCATCTCCGACTCGACGCACGCGCGGACGCCCTTGCAGTCGGGGATCTCGGCGACGTAGGCGTTCCAGACCTCGTTCATGGGCGCGAAGTGCTCGCCCATGGTCTTGACCCAGATCTGCGTGCTCAGGAGCTTCGCCTTGGACGTGCCGCACTGCGCCAGGAGCTTGTCGATCTTCGCGAGCGTCTCGCGCGTCTGCTGCTTGACGTCGCCCTTGAGCGTGCCGTCCTTGTCGACGATGCCCACCTGGCCGGACAGGTAGACCGTGCCGTTGTGGACGACGGCGGCGGCGGCGCGCGGGTTCGGCATGCCGAAGCGCGCGATCGTCGACTCCCTGCGCAGCAGCTTCTGCGCCGCGAGCGCGACGAGGCCGCCGGCGACGCCGGCGCCCAGAGCGAGCAAGCCGTCGCGCGAAGACATGGCTGCTGGAGAGGCTGACGGCGACCGCAGAGAGCCTCACTGCGATGAGCGGAGAGGCTGACGGCGACCGGAGCCTCGACTGCGATGAGCGCTCGGCGCTGGTAAACATTGGCTAGATTGCCGTAGCAGTGCAGCCATCGTGCACTTTTATTCTGCGGGCAGCCCGTCTGCCATCCCCCGCGCGCCGCAGCCCGGCAGCGACGCAAGACGTTCCTGGCTAGTGCCATCGAAGCGATGCGTTCTCTGATGACGCCGGCGCTTCTCCTGACCGCAATTAGCGCCCTCGCGCCGCACAACGACCGGAGCATCGCCGCGCCGCGCGCCTCGGCCATGCCGGCGCGCTGGGCCAGGGTGCACGACTGCGAGCGCCCGACGCGCTGGCGCGAGGCCCTCGACGACCACGACTGCCAGCTCCTGAAAGAGGAAGAAACGGCGACGAGGACCGGGCGGCCCGCCCCGGCCGCCACGAACTACACGGAGCTCATCCCGCCCCTGAGCTCCCTCGACGGCTTCCTCGCCGCCGCCGCAGCGAGCGAGCGCCGCGACCGCCTCGTCGTCGTGAAATTCTACAGCCGCCAGTGCCGCGCGTGCCGCCGCATCGCCGCGCGGTACCGGCGGCTCGCGTTGGACCTCGCGGAGGACATCGACTGCTACGAGGTCGAGTCGCTCGCGTCGCGGCCCCTCGTGGAGGCGCTCGGCGTCACGACCGTGCCCTGCGTGCAGATCTACGACCCGCGCGACGTCACGCGCCTCGCGAACGCGCGGTGCCTGCCGACGGACTTCGCCAAGGTCGAGCAGCACGTGCGCACGGCCATGGCGTCCATGGCGAGGCGCCGCACCCTGCACGCCGTCGTCGGCACGCCCTGCCTCGCGGCGCTCCGCGACGCGCCGACGACGGCCGGCGGGAAGGCACACTAATGTACACAAATTAGGGCTGCTGGTCCTCGGACCGGGCGCGCCACGACCGCGTCCGCGGGCGGTCGTCGCGCAGGAGCGGCAGCGTCGGCGCCATGTAGAGGATCTCGTCGAGGTTGACCGTGCCGTAGCGGAAGCCGCCGTCGGGCTTGATCGTCCGCGCCAGCTTCTGCAGCGACAGCAGCAGCGCGTCCTCCTCGAAGAGCCACAGGCTCCGGATCATCTTCGCTAAACGCACGTCCCACCAGGACCAGGTCTGGTCGTCGTGCTTGGCGCCGAGGGGCTCCGCGGCCTTGGCGTCCCAGCCCCAGGCCCGGCACACGAGCTCGACGCCCTCGACGTAGCCCGCGCGCCACGCGAGGTCCGCGCCGAGCTCCGCGGCGTCGGCCTCGAGCACGTTGAAGCCCGCCCGGCGGCCGTCCTCGATGGGGAACATCCACCAGTCGAAGTGGAGCGCGTGGATCTCGCGCCACGCGTCCCTCGAAGCGCGCTCCCGCAGGGCTTCCAGCGTCCGCCGCTGCTCCCGCTTGAAGTCGTCTAACGGCGACCGCTTCGGGTTCCTTTGCTCGCCGCGCGTCGCGGGGAACCACTTGGGCCGCACGTGCGCCTCGACGAGGAGCGCGGGCGACGAGTTCGTGCGGAGGATCGGCGACGCGAGCGTGCCGCGCGCCGAGAGGCGCCGCTTGCCGAACTCGGAGCTCGACGTCGACACGCTCTTCCGATCGCCCGCGGCGCGCTGGCGCGTGGGTTGCAGCCGCGGCAAATCGCGCTCGCCGTCGGCGGCCTCCGGCGGCGGCCGCGAGCAAAAACACGACTGCTGGGCGCCCATCGGCGCGCGCCCGACGCCGCCGCCGCCCGCGACGCGCCTGACCTGCGCAACCTCGAGGATGACGAGTGGCCCCGGGATCGTCCGCGACTGCCGTCGCCGCCGCAGCCGTCGCCGGCGGCGGCGCCACTCGCAGGACGTCGCCGGCACCCTTCCCTACGAGACTCACCGACCACACGTACCGACGTTTCCCTTACACGATCCCGGCGCGCCTGGGGCGCGCGGGGCGATGATTCACACGAGCTTGACCCTGGAGCTCAGGTACGCGTAGGCCGTCGCCGTCCACGCGGCGCCGACGGCGACGACCACGAGCCACTCCGACAGCCCGTACTGGTTGTGCGCGCCGTCCTTGCGCTCGAGCACCTGCTCCGTCTGCACGCCGCAGCCTCGGAGCGCCGCGACGCAGTCGCTCACGGCGAGCTCGTAGCTCGCGCACGCGCCCAAATCGATGACGGCCGTCGCCGTGCGCAGCGCCGCGTCGACGTCGGCGCTGACGACGAAGCGCAGGTTCTCGAGGGCCTGCTTCGCGTTGGCCTCGTTTACGCCGGACTCCACCAGCGCCAGCGACACCGGCCGAAGCCCGGGCAAGGGCATGAGATCGATCAAATTCTCGCAACTCTTCGACGCCATGGGCATGATTGCTGGAACGCGTTGCGAGAGCACGCAGCGCAGACTAGACGAGGCTCACGCAGCGCAGACGAAACGAGGCTCAAGCACCGATGCTCTGCGCAAAACGAGGCTCAACCACCGATGCTCTGCGCTTGGCTCCGACTTGTCAGCGTTAAGAATCAAGATCGCGTCAAATTCGGGTCAACGTCGGCCCGTCCCTCTTTATTTCGACGGCGCGTCGATGAACGACGGCGAGGCCCGGTCCGCCGAGGAGAAGTTGCAGAGGAGGACGTCGGAGTAGGACGCGTCCTCGGCCTCGCCGACGTGGACGAAGCCGCCGGGCGTCGCGGCCCAGGACGACGCGCGCGCGTCCCGCGGCGGCTCCGCCGGCTCCTCGAGGTCCTCGGGCCCGTCCTCGGGCGCCGGCGCCGCCGGCTCCGGCGCCGGCTCCGGCGGCAGGTCGTCGGGGATGGGCTTCGGCGCGAACAAGGGATGGTCCTGGAAGAAGTACTTGAAGGCGAGGAAGCCGAGGAAGCGCATGACGACGCAGATGAGCGCGAGCGCCGCGAGCGCCTCCCGGACGGTCTGGTGGTAGCCGTAGTAGTCCGCGGCGTCGTCGCCCCGCTGGAAGACGCACTTCTGCGACGCCGGGTCCCGGCAGCCGTGCATCTCGCCCAGCCCCTTGAGCTCGGACCGCGCCGCGGCCGAGATGCCCCAGTTGAAGAAATTCAGCTGCTTGATCCAGCGCGCGCCCTCGGGGATGGACTTGTTGTTGATGTAGTGGCCGTCGAACATCATGAAGAGGCAGTAGGCGACCGTCGCGATGTTGTTCGCGCCCTCGAAGTCCTTCGCGAGGCACCCGCACGCGATGAGGAGCGACGTGCCGCTCAGCACCAAGGCTTCGCAGAGCGCCACGTAGGACAGGAACTTGCCGAGATCCTGCTGGAAGCCCATCATCCAGTAGGTCACCGTCGCGTAGCAGCCGCCGGCGACGAGGTGGCCCGGCAGCTCCGCGACGCAGCGCGCGTGGAAGAACGCCGACGGGCAGTACAGCCCCGCGGCGTGCTCGCGCTTGTAGAGGTCCCGCTCCTTCGGGAAGAGCAAGACGACGTCGAAGGCGATGAAGGACATGAGCAGCATGGAGAAGGACACGGCGCCGACGCGGTTCTGCACCGACTCCTGGCCTAGACCCAAATCGTAGTAGATCGCCCCGAGGAGCACGGCCATGATGAGCGCCATGGACACCTGCGTCACCACGACCATCTCGTCGCGGAACTTGTAGGTGAACGCGCGCCGCGCCAGCACGTCGAACTGGTAGAGCCACGACGACGGCGCGGGCTCGCGCCGCTCCCGCGCTTCTCCCGCGGCGGCCGCCGCGGCCGCGCCGTAGCGCCGCGCCGCGTCCGCGGCGCCGCGCGACGCGCCGTAGGCGTCCAAAACGCGCGTCCGGTCCCGCTTCCGCAGGTCGAGCGCCGCGACGGACTCGGCGTCCGTCTCGAAGATCTCGTCGGGCACGGCGACGAGGTCCATCACGAAGTCCGCCGGGTTGTCGTGCGCGGGCGGCTCCAGCCCCAACGTCGAGAAGTGCCGCAGCAGCTCGTCGCCCGGGTGGCCGCTGTAGGCCGGCCGGCCCTCGCTCAGCACGAGGGCCATGTCGAAGAGGAGCATGAGGGCGGCCCGCGGCTGGTGGACGACGGCGACGACGGCCTTGGCGCCGTCGTTGGCGATGCGCGACACCGATCTTACAGTTAACAGCGCCGTCGCCGCGTCGAGGCCGCTCGTCGGCTCGTCGAGCACCAGCATGTTCGGGTCCGACACGAGCTCCGCGGCGATCTGCAGCCGCTTCTTCTCGCCGCCGGAGATGCCCTTGAGGCGCTCGTCTCCGACGTACGTGTCGCCGCAGCGTCCCAGGTCGAGATCGTTGAGCACGCGCTCCACCGTCGCCCGGACGCCCTTGGCGCCGACCGTCGGGAGCCGCAGCCGGCCCGTGTAGGTCAGCGACTCGCGCACCGTGAGCGTGCTGAAGAAGAGGGGCTGCTGGTCGACGAAGCCCGTGGACCGCCGCGGGCCCCGGCCCGCGGGCGCGCCCTCGGCGAGGAGCGCGCCGCTCCAGGAGCCCGTGGCGTTGCGGCCCGCGAGGATCGTCACGAGCGACGTCTTGCCCGAGCCCGAGGGGCCCAAAATGAGGAAGAGCTCGCCGCCGTAGACCGCGTGGCTCGTGGCGTGGAGCACGCGCTTGCGCTCCTTTTTCGGCGTCAGGACGTCGTAGCGCTTGATGTCCCAGGCGAGGCGGGCGTACGACTTGGACTCCATGGTCTCTGTGTCGGGCGCGCGCGGCGGGCAGCTCTTGTCTCTGGATCGCAGAAATTTGCTGTGGCAAAATGAAGTCAAACTTTGCCCTCAAGCACTATGTGACGAGCTGAAAGCGATGCGGGAAGACGACCTGGAGCTCGTCGAAACGTGCAAGTTTAGCGTGTTGTGTCTGCGCAAACATCGCGCTAGATGGTTTGGCCGCACCGTCGCGAGGTTTACGCGTTTCCGCGATGCAATCGACCTCGACGACGCCGCGCTGCGCGCGCTGATGGCGCCGCACCTGCGCAAGATGCGGCAGCAGCGCGGGGTGCTCGTGCACCCGGCGCGGCCGCTCCGGCAGTTTACGTTCGACGTGCGACGGTACCCGCTCGCGGACGCGCTGAGAGAGCTCCTCGGAGTGCCCGACCTCGCGCGCGTCCACGACCGCCGGAGCGACGAGGGCTGGAAGCGGCGCCTCCTCGCGCCGCTCCTCGACGCGGCGCGGCGACGACCGTTCCTGGATCTCTACGACGACTTCGTCCGGCGCGTCGCGCTGCCGGCCGTCGCGCCCGCCGAGCGCTCGGAGGTCCGCTACCAGGCGTGCCCCTGCGTCCGCGTGCACTGCCCCGGCGAGGTCACCATCGGCCCGCACTGCGACGCCATGTACGGCCACGACGCGCGCACGGTCAACGTGCACGTGCCTCTGACCGCGGCGCGCGGCACGTCCGCGCTCGTCGTGGAACGGACCGTCGGGGCGGAGGACTTCGCCGCGCTCGAGGTCGGCGGCTGCGGCGCCGCGTTCGCCTTCGTCGGCGGCGTCGCGGCCCACTTCGGGGCCGAGAACCACACGACAGCGACGCGGTGCTCCCTCGACCTGCGGCTCCGCTTCTTCGCGGCGGCCGGCGACGCGTACGAGGCGCCGGGCTACTTCGCCGCCGCGACGCGGCGCGCCGACGGCGCCTGGGTGCGGCGGACGGGGGCCCTCGAGCCCGACGCGCGCGTGGGGCTGCCGTTCACCTAAGCGTGGTTTTGGAGGCGTCGCGACGACGCGGTGCGCGCTGTTGATGTCTCTGTTTTGAAATTCCAAATTGAAGTCAGTTCGAGAGCGACTCGAGGTGCGGCCTCTTCCACGCGCTCGCGCCGCCGCCGTCGAGCTCCGCCGCGCCCGCGGATGCGGCCGCACCTGCTCGCCATAGTCGCGATGCTGCGCTTCACGCGCGCCCTCGTCTCGCCGGGCCTGCGCGCCCCGCGGCGCGCCGCGCCCGCCGCCGCCCTGCGCCCCTTCGCGGCGCGGCGCGCGGTCCGGCGCGGCGCCCGCGCGACGACGCAGCTCCGTTCCACGACGGAGGAGCACACGGCGCCCATCCCCATCGAGCTCGAGGCCGAGCTCAGCGAGTCGTTCATGAAGTACGCCATGTCGACGATCCTCGGCCGCGCCTTGCCCGACGCGCGCGACGGTTTGAAGCCCGTGCACCGGCGCATCCTCTTCGCCATGCGCGAGCTCAACCTGACGCCGGGCACGCCCTACCGCAAGTGCGCGCGCGTCGTCGGCGAGGTCCTCGGCAAGTTCCACCCGCACGGCGACAACTCGGTCTACGACGCGCTCGTGCGCATGGCGCAGGACTTCGTCATGTCCGCGCGTTTGGTGGACGGCCACGGCAACTTCGGGTCCGTGGACGCGGACCCGCCGGCGGCCATGCGCTACACGGAGTGCAAGCTCACGAAGTTCGCGTACGAGGCGCTGCTCAACGGCGACGACCTGGGCAAGGCGAACCGCGGCGAGCCGCTCGCGGGCGGCGTCTCCGTGAATTTCAGCGACAACTTCGACGCGTCGGAGATGGAGCCCGACGTGCTGCCGGCGCGCGTGCCCGTGCTCCTCGTCAACGGGGCCGCGGGCATCGCCGTGGGCATGGCGACGTCGATCCCGCCGCACAATTTGGGCGAAGTCTGCGACGCGGCGCTCGTCGTCGCCCGCGCGGCCAAGAGGGGCGCCAAGGCGTCCGACGACGAGCTGTCCGTGGCCCTGCCCGCGCCGGACTTCCCCACGGGCGGGCTCATCATGGGCACGACGGGCGTCGCGCGCGCGTACGCGACGGGCCAGGGCTCGATCGTGATCCGCGCGAAGACGCACTTCGAGAAGGTGCGCAGCGGCCGCAACGCCATCGTCGCCACGGAGCTGCCTTATCAGGTGATTAAGTCGGAGCTGCTCGCGAAGACGGCGGACGCCATCAACGCGCGGCGGATCGAGGGCATCGCGGATCTGCGCGACGAGTCGGGCCGCGAGGGCACGCGCGTCGTCTTCGAGCTGAAGCGCGACGCCCAGGCGGAGATCGTGCTGAGCAACTTGTTCAAGTCGACGCGGCTGCAGACGTCGTTCCCGGCGAATATTGTGGCCGTGGACCACGCGCTGAACGACGACGGCGACGACGTCCGCTCTCCGGTCCGCATGACGCTGCGCTACGCGCTGGAGCGCTGGCTCAGCTTCCGCTTCGACTGCGTGCGCCTGCGCGCGGCCCACAGCGAGCGGCGCGCGGCGGCGCGGCTCCACATCGTCGAGGGGCTGTGCCTCGCGACGGCGAACGTCGACGCGGTCGTGGCTTTGATCCGCGCGTCGGACGCGCCCGCGGACGCCAAGGCGAAGCTCGTCGAGGGCGGCGCGATCCCGGCCATGGGCGCCCTGTCGGAGGACCAGGCGTCGGCGGTGCTCGCGCTGACGCTGTCGCGGCTGACGACCCTGGAGGCGGACAAGCTCGACTCCGAGCGGAAGGACCTGGAGGTGAAGCTCGAGGGGCTGCGGAAATTGATGTCCGAGGACGCGGCGGTCTACGACGCCGTCGTCGACGAGGTCGCGGCCATCAAGAAGGCCTACCCGACGCCGCGGCGGTCCGAGATCGTCTTCGACGGCGACGCGGAGCTGCGCGACGAGGACGTCATCGAGAACGCGCGGAGCGCGGTGCTCGTCGCGCGCGATGGCTACGTGAAGCGGACGTCCCTCGAGGAGTTCGGCGCCCAGAGCCGGGGCGGCCGGGGCCGCAACGCGCTCCAGGGCGGCACGCTGCGCCACCTCGTGACCTGCCACGACCACGACACGCTGCTCTGCATCGCCGACACGGGCGTCGCCTACGGCGTCCGCGCGTTCAACGTGCCCCAGGCGTCGCGCGCCGCGCGCGGCGTGCCCGTGCCGTCCGTGCTGCCCGTGGACCGGTCGACGCGCATCAAGGGGTTATTAGCTGTAGCCCACGACACGCTGCAGAATCCTAAACCGGGCGACGACGACGAATTGTTCCTCGTCGTCCTCACGCGGAACGGCCTCGTGAAGAAGACGCCCCTCGCGGCGTTCAAGGGCCTCACGTCGCGGGGCCTGATCGCCATCAAGCTCGGCGAGGGCGACGCCGTCACGCACGCGCGGCTCTGCCGCGCGTCGGACTCGCTGATCCTCGCGACGGCGGCGGGCATGGTCACGCGGTTCGCCGCGGACGACTCCGAGCTCCGGTCCATGTCGCGGACGACGCGCGGCGTCCGCGCGATGAACCTGCGGGACGGCGACGCCATCGTCAAGATGGACGTCGCCGGCGGCGACCACTCGCACGTCCTCGTGCTCACGGCCGAGGGCTACGGGAAGCGCGTCGCGCTCGCGGACCTGCGGTCGCAGAAGCGCGGCGGCATGGGCGTGTCCGCGATCAAGTTCAAGAAGAAGGGCGACGACCTCGTGTCCATCTGCCCCGTCGCGCCAAACGACGAGGTCATGGTCGTCACGGAGAGCGGCGTCATCGTCCGCATGGACGCGGCGTCCGTGACCGCGCAGAGCCGCACGGCGACGGGCGTCCTCGTCCAGAAGGCCGCGAAGGACGACGCGCTCGTCGACCTCACCGTCGTCCCCGCGGACCTCCTCTCGAGCGACGCCCCCGGGGAGGCGTAGAGGAGGCTTAGGCCGACGGCGGCGCGTCGTCGTCGTCGCTGCCGTCCGACGAGAGGGCCTGCCGCGCGAGGATCGCGCGGACGTCGTCGTCGCTGCCGTCCGACGACTCGCCCTCGGAGCGGGGGTTGTCGCCGTAGTACGCGTCGATGCGCGCGACCTCCGCCGCGGCGCCCTCCTCGCCGTGGGCGGCGGCGCGCGCGTACCACTTCCGCGCCTCCCGCAGGTCGACGGACACGCCGCGGCCGTTCGCGTAGCACCGCGCGAGGTCGTACTCGCCGTAGCCCTGGGCCGCGGCGAGCTTCAGGTACGCGACGGCCTCGCAGTAGTGGAGCCGCGACGTCGCGCGCCGGAGGAGCTCGCGGCCCAGGTTGCCCTGCGCGCGCGCGTGGCCGCGGTCCGCGGCGGCGAGCCAGAGCTCCATGGCCAGGTCCTTATCCGCCTCGCCGAGGACCCCTGCGAGTGCATGAAGCCCAGGTTGTTCATCGCGTCGAGGTTGCCGAGCTCGATGGCGCGCGTGTAGAGCTTCGCCGCCTGTGTGCAAATCAAATCTTCAACCCGACTTCAATGTGCGCGTATTCGAACAATTTGACACGATCACTTCCGCCGTGCTTCGAGAACTCGCTGAGAGCAATCGATTCGTCCAAAAATCAGCCGAATCCACTTCGATTTGACCGAGCTAGAGAATTCTGAAGTTTGGCCCCGACGTCCCAGCTCACTGGTTGATTTCCACACAGTTCGCCGCCTTGTTCGGGTTCTTCCTGCCCGACGCGTCGACCCTGCCGAAGCGGTAGAAGTCGCCGAGCTGGTTCATGGCCTCGGGCACGCCGCTGTCGACGTTTTTCCGGAGGTACGCGAGCATCATCGCGTGCGTCTTCGGCCAGGGCTTCCGGCAGAGCGGGCACGGCTTGCCCCGGATCTTCAGGCTGCACCTGTGACACGTCGCGCGGCAGCAGCAGCTCTGCAGCACGGTCCGCGGGACCCCCGGCGGGGGGTCGATGTCGACCCAGTTGTCGAAGCAGATCGGGCACTGATCGCCGTAGCGGTGTTTCTCGAGGTCCTCGTACCTGTTCGGTGGGGATCGGGCGAATGGAACGCTTCACGAACGCCGAAGACGTACTTGTCCTCGGGCGTCTGGATGTAGTGGCCGAACACGGGCGCCGACGCGGCCGCGTCGGCCGCCTCCTTCTTGTGGCCCTCGCGCCGAGCCTTACAGACCTTCTTGTGGCCCTCGCGCCAGTCGCTCTTCTGACATGACTTCGAGCAATAGGCGACCGTGCCGCAGGGACAATTCAGTTTCGTCTGTTCGCCGCAGACGGCGCACGTGAGGTCCACTTCGCGGGAGGCTCCGGGGCGTCAAATTCTTTGTACGGGTCCTCACCGAGGAGCTCCGAGGGTGCGTGCTCGTCGTGCGAAGGTATCAGGCCCATCGTCGAGACCTAGGAACATGTGAGGCCGGTCGTCGATCGTCTTCGATGGTCTGTTGACATCACACGACGGTCACGACCAAAATCTGAGCGACTGATGCGACCCGAGCTCGCGAGGCTGCCCGGCACACGTCCGACACCCGACGATGAAAATAGAGCCTTAGGCGCACCCCTGGAACGCCGTGCACGCCGGCGACGGCGCCGCGAGGTTCGTCAGCGCCACGTCCGTCGTCTGCCCCCACTCGTCCGAGACGCGGAGCGTCGCCGCGGCCGCGTCGCTCGTGGGCGCGCGGACCGCGACCCTCGTCGCCATCTGCTGCGTCGCGAAGGTGAAGGACCCGGTCTTCATGGCGACGCCGTCGCCGTCGAGGAGCGCCCAGGCGCCGTCCCCGGGGTGGGCCCGCTTCAGCGCCGCGTGCGCCGTGAACTCGACGGCGGACCCGTCGATCGTCGCGTCCTTGACCAGCGGCGCCGCGTAGAAGCGCTCGAGGGAGTAGGCCTTCCAGCCGACGTGCTTGTTGCGCTCGCAGCCCGGGTTGCTGTCGTCCTCGCAGGGGCCCGCCGTCGTCGCGCCCGTGTCGTAAAAGTCCGCGCGCCACGCGATCGAACCGGCCGGCGTGACCTCAAGGAACGTCGCGTCCGCGTCCGCCCCCAGCGACGGCGCGAGGCGCATGGGCCAGTAGCACGTGAGCACGTTGCCGCTCGGCAATAAATCGGCGTCCCCGAAGATCTCGGCGTAGCCGTAGGGGTAGTCGAAGGGGATCTCGTAGGCCCAGTCGACGACGGCCGTTTTTGCTATTTCGTCGATCGCGACGCGGAGCACGCGCGACGGCCGCAGCATGTCGTAGCCGTTGTCGAACATGTAGACGGCGTCCCCGAAGAGCTCGGCGTTGTGCTGGCCGAACCAGGGCACGTCGACGGCCTTGCGCGCGGTGAGTTTGACGCCGTCGGCCACCGAAACCTCGAGCGTCGAGTATTCGCCGCCCGCGATCCAGACGGGCCGCCGCGCGGCGAGGTCGTAGAGCAGGATCGCCCCGCAGCGGCAGGAGATGAAGGCGAACTGTTCGTCGTCGATGAGCTGCAGGTGGTTCATGGACCCGCCCGGCATCACGGAGTCGTCCTCCGCGGGCAAGACGCAGATGTCGCCGATGTCGTACCGCTCGAGGATCGCGCCGTCGGAGATGCGCCGCTTCGTGAACACGGTGTCGTCGGGCTGCCAGTAGTAGGCGCTGGGGTAGACCGCGGAATCGACCGGCGGGCCGAGCTGCACGTCGTGGCTGCTCGACGTCCAGTGGTCGTTGACGCGCCGCGGCGCGTCGTCCGAGTTCCAGGCCCAGGTGTAGAGATACCCGCTCTCCGTGCGGTCCACGTTCGTGTAGGCGACGACCGTCTCGGGGTCGTGCATCTTCACGGCGTCGACGCGCGTGGACCCGTAGCCGTCGTCGAAATCCGTGACGACGGCGGCTTTCAAAATCGCGCCGTCGAAGGCAGCGACGACGAGGAAAGTCATGTACGTGCCGTCGCCCGTGACGGCGTCGTAGACCTGGTCGTCGGCGTCCATGATCTCCGGGCCGCAGGAGTCGCACTCTGGGAGGTAGAGGCCGAACGCGAGCGCGCCCTCGTCCGCGGCGCCGACGTCGTACTCCACCGCGTACTTTTCCGGGAGGTACGTATGCAACGCGCCCGCGCGGTCCACGCCGACGGACTCAAAGTAGGCCGCGACGTTCGGAAGCTCCAGGAAGACCTCGCCGGGGTACTCGCAGCGCACGCGCGTGTCCGTCGCGTAGGCGCATCGATCGTTCGCGAGCGGTTTCCGCGTCGGCTCGGCCGACGGCGCTTCCGTGACGACGGGCCGGGGGGTGGCCCAGGGGCTGATGGTGCAGCCGTTGTCGACCCAGTCCATGCATAAATTCTCCCGGACCTGCTGCTCGCAGTCGACGGGCGTGTACGACGGCTCCGGCAGCGCGTCGACGGCCGCTTGGAACTTGGCCATCAGCCGCTCGAGCTCCCGGGGCCGCGACGCCTTGAGATCGAAGCGCTCCGTCGGATCGCCCGTCACGTTGAAGAGCGCCGTGTGGCGGAAGTAGTCGGCGTAGGAGCCCCAGCCCGCGGCGACCTCCGCCTCGTAGAAGGCCTGCGCGGTCCAGAGATGGTCCTCGGTCCGGTAATCCGTGCTGTCCGGGTCCGCCCAGAGCGCGTCCGTCGCGTTCACGATCAACTTCATGTCGCCCTCGACGTAGGCGCCCGTCGCGAGGCCCATGGGCTCGAGCTGCCTCCCGTAGACGTCGACGTGGACGAGGAGCTCCGTCCGCGGATGCTCCGCCGGGTGCTCGCCGAAGATTGCTTCGTATTGATCGACGCCGTCGACGTTCCGCGGCGGCGCGCCGCCCGCCAGACGGACGAGCGTCGGCAGCCAGTCCGTGACGTGGAAGAGGCCCCCGTAGGCGCCGCCGCGCCGCGCCGCCGGGAGCAGCGGCGAGTGGACGAACGCGGGCACGCGCACGCCGCCCTCGAAGGGCGAGAACTTCTGCCCCCGGAGCGGCCAGTTCGAGCCGCCGGCGATCTGGCCCGGAAGGCCGCCGTTGTCCGACGCGAACATGATCACGGAATTCTCGTAGGCGCCGTCGACGGCCTTGAGCTCGTCGACGACGGCTTCCATGGCCCGGTCCATGCCGAGCGCGACGGCCGCGAACGACGCGCGCGCGTCGCGCGCCTCCTCGAGGAACGAACTCGCGAAGCTCTCGATGACGTCCTCGTCCGCCTCGAGGGGCGCGTGGACGGCGTTGAAGGCGACGTAGAGGAAGAGCGGATGCTTCGGCGCCTCCTTGCGGATCAGGTCCCTCGCCCGCGCCGCGAAGACGTCCGTGCTGTACGTCCCGTCGGCGAGCGGCAGCGGGTCGCCGTCGAAGTTGAAGTCCTTGATGCTGCTGGAGCACTCGCTCGCGAGCCGCGCCTCGCACTCGGTGAGCTCCATCTCCTCGAGGCACTGGAGCGTGTCGAAGGTCTCGTGCGTGTAGTAGTCGATGATGGGGCTGTAGAAGCCCAGGAAGGACCGGAAGCCGCGGAATTGGGGCACGTGGGACCACGTGTAGTGGCCCACATCCCACTTGCCGACGGCGTGGCTCCGGTAGGCCGCGGGCAGCCTCTGCGGGATGAGCTCGAGGTCGAGGTCGAGGCCCCAGTTCGACTGCGCGGTGATCATCTTGTGGTACATGCCCGACGACGCGGGGTACATGCCGCTCAGGAGCGCCGCGCGGCTCGGCGTGCAGTCGGGCTGCGTGTAGTAGCGGGCGAGTTTGACGCCGCCGGCGGCCAGCGAGTCGAGGAAGGGCGTCTGCACCTGGTTCGTCTTCGAGGGGTCCGAGTTGTAGCCGACGTCGTCGAAGCCCGCGTCGTCGGCGAGGAAGAGGAGGAGGTGCGGCGGGTTCGAGGCGGCGTCGTCGCCTTTCCGCGGCGCGGCGCCCGTCGGCGGAACGGCGCCGCCGCGGCCGCGCGGCGGTGTCATCGGGACGGCGCCGTCGTCGGTCGTGGGAGGCGCGTCGTCGTCGTCGCCGCGCGGCGGCGCTTCTCCGTGGAAGGGCCGCGGCCTGATGGCGTCGTCGTCGCCGTCGTCGCCGCGCCATCGCGGCGGGCCGCCCGGCGGCGGGCCGGCCGCGTCCTCCCAGGGGCACACCGTGCAGTCGTTCTTCGCCCAGCGCAGGTAGGCGTCGTCGATCGACGCAGGAGCAGGGAGCGCGTACTCCGGCGCCGGCAGGCCGCGGACCGCGCGCCGGAACTTGGCGTAGAGGCGGTCGAAGTCGTCGGGCCGCTCCGCCGAGAAATCCGTCGTCTCGCCCGGATCCGCGACGACGTCGAAGAGCCCCGTGGCCGTGAAGTAGTCGGCGTAGTCGCCGTCGCCGTCGAGCACCCAGTCGTAGACATTGCTCAGCGACGGGCGCACTGGACCTCCTCGCGGTAGACGGCGCTGTCCGGGGAGCAGATGGACGCGGCGACGGCGTCGACGACGAGCTTGAGGTCGCCCTCGAGGTACGCGCCCGTGGAGAACCCCAGCGGCTCGAGCTCGACGCCGTAGACGTCGACGTGGACTAAAAGTTCCGACCGCGGCGCGGGCCCGTCGGCGAAGAGGGCCCGGTAGTGGCTCACGCCGTCGCCGGAGTCCACGGCGGCGCCCGCCGCGGCCGCGATCGTCGGCAGCCAGTCCGCGACGTGGAACAACCCGTCGTAGACGGCGCCGCGCATGTGCGCCGGGAGCAACGGCGAGTGGACGAAGGCGGGCACGCGGACGCCGCCCTCCCAGGCGGAGAACTTGCCGCCCCGGAGCGGCCAGTTCGAGCCGCCGCCCATCTGGCCCGGGATCGCGCCGTTGTCCGACGCGAAGACGACCAAAGCGTTCTCGTAGGCGCCCGTCGCCTGCAACGCGTCGACGACGCGGCCGATGGCGCGGTCCATGGCCAGCGCGACGGCCGCGAACGTCGCGCGCTTCGAGTCCGACTCCGGGAGGAACGTCGCCTCGAACGCGGCGACGTCGGCCTCGTCGGCCTCCAGGGGCCCGTGGACGGCGTTGAAGGCGACGTAGAGGAAGAGCGGGTGGTCCGCGGCCTCGGCCTCGATCAAATCCACGGCGCGATCCGCGAAGACGTCCGTCGTGTACATTCCGTCGTAGTCGCGTCTTTGGCCGCCGAGGCCGGAGAAGTCCGCGACGGTCGACCCGCGAACCTGGCACTTGGCCAGGGCCGCCGCGCAGGCGTCGCCGGCGCAGGCGAGGTCGTGGTCGTGGATCTCGTGGGTCGAGTAGTCGATCATGGGGCCGTAGAAGCCTGTGTGGATTCCAACCACTGGTTTGGGGGGTCCCCACCAAACTTCAGAACTCTCTAGCTCGGTCAAATCGACGTCGATTCGGCTGATTTTTGGACGAATCGATTGCTCTCGTGGAGTTCTCGAAGCACGGCAGAAAGCCTCGCGTCGAAACCGTCGCGTGTGCTCACATTGAAGTCGGGTTGAAGATTTGATTTCCACACAGGTAGAAGCCCAGGAAGCTGTCGAAGCCGCGCGCCTCGGGCAGGCGCTTCGCGGACGAGTGGCCGACGTCCCACTTGCCGACGGCGTGGCTCCGGTAGGCGCCGGGGAGCGCCTCGGGGAGGAGCGCGTGCTCCAGGGGCAACCCCCAGGTGCTCTGGGGGTTCAGAACGCCGTGGTACGTGCCCGTCGTCGCCGGGTACTTGCCGCTCAGCAGCGCCGCGCGGCTCGGCGTGCAGTCGGGCTGCGTGTAGTATCGAGAAAGCTTGACGCCCGCGTCGGCGAGGGCGTCGATCACGGGCGTCGACACCCGGTTCGTGAGGGTCGGGTCGCCGTTGTAGCCGACGTCGCCGAAGCCGACGTCGTCGGCGAGGAAGAAGACGACGTGCGGCGGTTTCGCGCGCGGCTCGCCGTCCCGGGGCGGCGCGGCGGAGGCGTCGGGGGCGCGGGGGGCGGCCGGGGGCGGCCGCGCGTCGGCCGGGGGGTCGTCGTGGTCGTCGAGCGGTCGCAGGCGCGACATCGTCTGGGCATTGAGGAACGTGTCGTCGCGTGTGGCGCCCCCCGCGCCGTGGAACGCGACGAAGGCGAAGGCCGCGAGGGCGAGGGCGCCGAGGGCGGCGGTCCGGCGCGTGCGCGACGCGGGGTCGGGCTCGGGGCGGCCGTCGAGAAGCGCCATTTTTGGCTGACCTCGCTCGCCGAGCGCTTGCGTCAAAAAAGGCCGGGAGGGGATCGCGACGGCGACGGTCACTTGTGAACTCGTCATCTTCATATTAATCATCGTGCTCTTCTTCCTCCTCGGCGCGTGCTACTATTGAACATGTCGCGAGTCCTCCTCCTCCTCGCGGCCGCCTACGCCAGGGACGACGACGACGACGCGGCGTGGATCGAGCGGTGGCGCAGGGGCGGCGCGTCGCGGTGCACGCGCACGCACTGCGGTTGGCTCGCGGACGCGGGCCCCATCGACGTCGGCTGCGAGTTCGAGATATCGCAGACGGGCCTCGCGAAGCGCGGCGCGTCGTCGAAGGCGCCCGAGCTCGCGGTGCGCCCCGGCGGCGGGCCCGCGCGATCGTTCGCGCCGCACGCGCTCGACGAGGCGCTCGACGTGCCGTCGCTCTGCGCCTACCGCGAGCCCGGCACGATCCGCGGCGAGGACCGGACGCGGCAGCGGGGCGTCGTGGCGCTCGTCGCGGCCTGTGTGGAAATCAACCACTGGTTTGGGGGGGTCCCCACCAAACTTCAGAACTCTCTATCTCAATCAAATCGACGTCGATTCGGCTTTTTTTTGGACGAATCGATTGCTCTCAGCGAGTTCTCGAAGCACGGCGGAAGTTCTCGTGTCAAAACATTCGAATACGCGCACATTGAAGTCGGGTTGAAGATTTGATTTGCACACAGGTCGCGGCGAGCTCGCTGCCGTACCTCTTCACGCAGTGGGCGCCGCTCGTCAACAAGATGGCGTACTTCCGCGTCATGGGCCTGGACTGGAGCCTCTGGCTCGGCGACCTCGACCCGCGCATCGCCGAGACGACGTCCGACGCCTGCGCGGCGCGCCTCGCGGGCCCCGCGCGCGCGTCCGCACCGATGACGGACCTCGACAGCCTCTACGTCGGCAACGCGAGCCGGCCGACGGGCAACCACCTCGTCAAGGTGCTGGCGGCCTACGCCCAGGCCGAGCGGCCGGGCGTGACGGGCGTCTGCTACGTGGACATCGACGCCATGGTCACGCGGCGGCAGCTCGACTGGCGGCTCGGGTGGACGAAGCGCGACTGGGTCGCGCGGCGCGCGAACGTCTTCCGCCCGAAAGAGACGAACGCGACGGCCCTGTCGTGGTGGAGCCTGGACCGCGACTCCTTCTGGCGCACGAAGAGCATGAAGTTCTACGTGCGGGCCGGCGACGCCGTCGCGTTCGAGATCCTCGGGCGCTGGGTCGAGAGCCGCTGCGGCTTCAAGGACCAGCTCCCGCTCTGGCACGCGCTGCTCGGCGTCGCCGACGCGCGGCGTTGCCTGCGCGTGCCCTACGACGGCGCGCTCTACGCGTCCTTCGACTACCGCGAGGCGCTCACGTACCCGGCGAGGACGCGGGCGGCCGACCGGCCCGCGCCGGCGGAAGACGCGTACCTGACGACGTGCGCGGACATCGCCGCCAAGTGCCCGGACCTGCGCATCTGCGACTCGACCGCGCGGCTCCTCCACGGCTTCTACCACCAGTCCGTCGAGTCGACGAACACGCGGAGTTTCGCCTACGCGACGCGCAAGGGCAAGGCGAAGGTGCTCGAGGTCGCGAACTCGCTCCGCGACTTCCGCGACCTCAAGGGCTGCCGCTCCGTCTACGAGTGCCCGGACTACGTCCGCGGCATCGAGCACAACGCCGACTTCGTCGACTACTTCGCCCTCGACATGGTGCCCGACTCCGCGCGGCCGCCCGAATCCGACTAGCGGCCTTCTCTCGTCGCCTTCCGGGTTGGGGATTTGAAGCGACGGCGGGGGACCCCTGCCCGCCGCGCGGCGCATACGGCACGATGGCGTCAACCAGGCTTCACCAGCGGCTCGCCGAGTCGTCTCCCTGGCCGCGTCGCGAGCTCGTCGTCGCGCGCGCGCTCTTCCGCGCCAGCGCCCGTCCGCCGCGCCGCACGCCGCCGCGCCGCCCGCCGCGAGCGCCGCCGCCGCCGCGACCGCGCAAAGCCGCCATGACGACCATGGCCACGGACGAGAAGGACGCCCCGAAGGCCAAGTCGAGCGAGACGTGGTACTCCATGGACGAGGCGAAGATCGAGGAGGTGCGCAAGGCCAAGGCCTGGATGCAGGACGCCAACTACTTCACGCGCGTCATGGTGTCGCCCGCCGCGTCCATGAAGATGCTCATGCATGCGCACAGCGGCTGCGAGGCGGGCCTCTCGGCCGGCGGCAAGCCGCTCGAGGTCATGGGCATGATGCTCGGCTACCCGAGCGACGAGCACAAGCACACGCTCGTCGTCACGGACGTCTTCCCGTTGCCCGTGACGGGCTTCGAGACGCAGGTCGTCGCCGACGACGAGAACGTCATCAACTACATGATCAAGCTCTCCGACATGGTCGAGGTCACGCGGAAGGAGCGGCTCATGGGCTGGTACCACAGCCACCCCTTCGACGTCGACGAGGCCCACAACCACTGCTTCCTGAGCTCCACGGATTTAAGTACGCAGCTCTCGTGGCAGAACGCGGAGGACCCGAACGGGAACCCGTTCCTCGCGATCGTCATCGACCCGCTCCGGTCCTTCGCGAAGAACTCGTCGGAGCTCGCGGCCTTCCGGGCCTACCCGCCGACGGCGTCGCCGCCGCCGAACCAGTGCCCCGACGGGTCCATCGTGACCGAGGACGCGAAGCGCGTCGAGGTCTGGGGCTCGTGCTGGAACCGCTACTACGAGCTCAAGGTCGAGTACTTCATGTCGGACCAGGCCAAGTCCATCATCGACATCCTCAACCACAGCCACCTCTGGGCTAGAACCCTCTCGGCGACGCCGGCCCTCGAGAAGGAGCACCGCGAGCGCGTCGGCGAGCGCGTGTCCGCGGTCGTCGAGAAGCTCGAGCACGCGCACGCCGCGCACGCGAGCCAGGCGAGCCGCATGGGCGGCGGCTTCGGCTTCCCCGCCGAGTCCCTCGGCGGCGGGCAATCGAACAAGGAGTCGAGCCTCAAGAAGGCGTCGGACGCGGCGTCGGGCATCGCGAACGAGGGCCTCCTCGGCCAGACGACGCAGCTCGCGAAGCGCCACCTCTTCTCGAGCGAGTGCCTCTGCAACGGCAACTGCGCCGCCTTCGCGAACATCGCCGCCGAGTACCTCAAGCGCAAGCAGGCCCGGTCCTGCCCCGTCGCGCCCTGAGCGGGCGGCGTAAGCCTGGGTGAAGCGCGTCGTGAAGGTGCAGGTGGCGGGGCAGCCCGCGACATGGGGAAGGCTTCCCTGCTGCTCCTCGGCCTCCTGGCGGCGGCGGCGGTGGACGAGGGCTTCGTGGCCGGCGCCTGGAAGCGGGCGCAGACCGTCTTCAGCGACGTCAAGTCCGACGACCGCGTCCAGCGCGCGGCGGCGTCGGCGTCCCGGGCCTACGAGGCCGTCCGGGGCAGCGACGGGGTCCAGCGGGCCACGCTGTCGGCGTCCGAGGCCTACGAGGCGTCGCAGCGCGCCGCGGCGTCGGCGCAGCGGGCCCTCGACGCCGCCAAGGCCGACGAGCGCGTCCGTTCGGCCGCGGCGGCCGCGCGCGCGGCGGCCGCGAGCGACGAGGCCGAGCGGGCCCGGTCGCTCGTCGGCGGCCTCGTGGAGACGGCGCGGAGCCAGACCCTCGGGTCCCTCGGCGGGCACCTGAACCGCCTCTACGCCGCGGCCGTCGACGGCGTCGGCGACGTCCTGGGGTCCGTCGAGGTGGCGAAGGACCACGCGGGCGAGGTGGCCGAGCTACTGGCGAGCGCCGCGGACGACATCCGCCACGAGGGCGCGCGGGAGTACCTCGAGTCGTTCTCCGGGCCGTTGATCCGGCAGATCAAGGCCGGCGGCTTCTTCAGCGACCCCAGGTGCGAGGTCCCGCGGCGCTCCGCGGTCCTCGACGCGGTGCCCGACGAGCTGCGCAAGGCCGCGGGCCCCGGCGCGGCGATCGAGTGCGGCGCGCGCGTCGACTTCGAGGCCGAGGACCACTTCCCGGGCCTGCACGTGGACGTGCGCGCCGAGGTCGCGCTCGCGCCGTGCGAGCGGTCCGTCCACGTCACCTTCACCGCGGGCGGCGCGCACCTGCCGATCGTCGTGCCCGCGCCGCGGCGCCTCCGCGTCGCGCCCATCGACGTCTGCGCGCCCGCGGGCGTCGGCGCGGGCGTGGGCACGCTGACGCCCTGCGTGCGCTTCGAGAACGCGACGGCCGCGGCCTCGGGCTTCGCCGCGGTCGTCAACTTCGTGCTCAAGTTCGAGCTCCTGGGCCGGAGCCACGCGTTCCCGCTGCCCCACGCGGGCCACGCCGTGGCCCTCGGCGACCTCGACGCCTGCGAGCTCTACGACGACTGCGACGCCTGCGCGGCCGACGGCGCCTGCGGCTGGGACACGGAGGCCGGGGCCTGCCTCGCGGGCGACGCGCGCGGCGACGCCTGCCGCACGGCCGCGCCCTGCGCCTGGTTCTTCGACGGCTGCCCGACGCCCCCGACCTGCGCCGCGAAGCCCCACGAGTGCGGCTGGTGCTCGAAGACGTCCAAGTGCCACCACGGCGACGCGGCCGGCCCTTCCAGGGGTTCTGCTCGGGCCGCGCCTGGCTCGGGCCCCGCAAGGGGACGCACTGGTAAGGTGTTAGTAGGCCCTAGCCGAACTCGACGCTGATCTCCTCGACGGCGCCGTCGGGGAACGTCGCGACGACCGCCGCGCCCGTCGTCTGGTAGTCGACCTCGACGCTCGCGCCCCGCTTGACCATCGCGAGGAGGTCGTTGGGGAGCGGGTCCGGCAGGGCGAGCACGCACTGGAGCCAGTCGTCGTCGGACACGGGCACCTTCCCCTGGTAGGCGCGCTTGCCCGGCGTCGGGTGCGGGCGGAACGTCGCCGCGAGCGTCAGGGCGGCCACCGTGCCGTCGCCGGCGCCGGCCGTCGCCGCGGAGGCGCCGCCGCCGCGCGAGAGCCGCGCGTCCGCGACGTGGCGCCGCGTGCGCCGCGTCGCGTCGCCGTCGGCGAGCAGCAGCTGGAGCAGCGCCTCGTCGGCGTAGAGCACGCGCCGCGCGACGACGTCGAGCACCGCGCCCTCGACGAGGCCGCGCGCCGCCGCGCGCGCCGCGGGGCTCAGGTCGCCGACCTTGTTCGCCAGCGTCGCGTGCGACGCGCTGCCCGTCGACCGCCCGGCCGCGTCCCCGGCCGCGGCGGCGTCGACGAGCTCCCGGGCCGCGTCGGCGAGGCCCGGCGCGAGCTTGATCGCGGGCGCCGGCGTCGCGGTCTTGAGCCAGCCGAGGAGCTCGTCGAGCGCCGCGACGCCCTCGATCGTCGCGCGCGGGACCGCGGCGCCGCCGCGCGGCGCGTGGAAGTCGAGGCCGTCGTAGAAGGGCCGGAAGCGCGCGACGGTCGCCGCGTAGGCCCGGGGGTTCGCGCGGAACGCGTTGAGCTCGTCGAGCAGGCCGTCGAGGCCCGCGGCGTCCGGCAGCGGCGCGGGCTTCTCGTACGCGCCCGGCGCGGCGGCGGCGGCCTTCGCGGGAGACGCCGGTCCGACGTAGGCCGGCGCCGCCGCCATGCGCGCGCCGTAGGCCGTCCTCGGCGCCGCGTCGACGGCGGCCGCCGCGGCGCCGCGCGGAGCCGCCGACACGTGCGTGCCCGCGCGGAAGCCGCCGACGCCCGACGTCGCGGTCCTTTCGCTCGCCGGCGCCGCGGCCTCGGACGTCTTCCAGGTGCCCGCGCCCTTCTGGCCCCGCAGCGCGTCGAGGGCGCCCTTGTGTTCCGGCTCGTGGGCCGCGCCCTGCGCCGCGCGGCCCTTGCCGACGCCGCCGAAGCGCGCGGCCATCTTCTTCTTCAGGTCGCCGCCGTCGTCGTCGTCCGACGAGCTGTCCTCGCCGCCGGCGAGCTTCAGGGCCGCGAAATCCTTGCGGAAGCCGGCCATACTTTGCTGGTTTTGTGGCAACCAAAAACCGCTGCAAGTTGAGTGCAAGTTGATGGCAACACCACCACGCGAAAAAGTCGTTACTCGCCCTCCGCGGCGAAGCAGACGGCGTCGGCGAGGCAGCCGCGGAGGCGCATGGCGCGCTTGACGAAGAGGGCGCCCGTGCAGGTCTTGGCCCCCGCGAAGAGCGCGCGGGCGATGGCCTGCCGGTCGCCGTCGTCGAGGCCGCCGCAGAGCGCGGCGTCGAGCGTCTGCCGGTGGAGCAGGCTCGTGTTCGCCGCCGACGGCGCCGCGCCGTCGCGGCGCTCGCGGTCCACGAGCGCCGCGTAGCGGGAGCGCCACCGGTCCTCGAGGATCGTCGCCTTCGCGTCCTGCGCGGCGAGCTTGTAGAGCTCGTGGTACCTGGGCAGGAAACAAACATATGCAACACGACTTCGATGTGCATTATTTACACGGTTTCGACACACGTTCGTCACTGTCCAGAAAAGAACTCGCCGAGAGAAAACGATCCGTCCAAAAATCAGCCGAAACGACTGCGATTCGACCGAGATAGAGAGGTTTCAAGTTTTGCCGGACGCGTCCATTCCGCTGGTTGTTTCCGGCGCAGCGTGGTACGTGACCGCGGCGTAGCACGTGACCGCGGCGTCGTCGGCGGTCATGGACGCCTGCACGAGCGTCGTCCCGAAGTGCACGAGCTCCGCGGCGTCGTCGCCGAAGAGGTGCACGCCCAGAATCGTGTGCGGCGCGTCGCGCGCGACGACGAGCTTGAGGCAGCTCCGCGTCGACGCGTCCGACTCGCGCACGTGGCCGCGGACCGTGTCCGCGTAGTGGGCGACGCCGACGACGACGTCGAGCCCCCGGTCCGCCGCGGCCTCGGCCGTCAATCCGCAGAACGCGAGCTCGGGCACGGTCCAGATGCCCACGGGGTAGCGCGCCGTCGACGCGAGGAGCCCCGCGGGCGACACGTCGCCCAGAGCGCAGCCGTCCCCGTAGACGCAGTCGACGGCGGCCTCGGCCTGGGCGATGCCCGTCGACGCGAGCTGCGGCGCGCCGACGACGTCGCCGGCGCCCGACACCGCGCGGTGGACGGTCTTCAATTCGCCGTCGACCAGCAGGTCGCCGTTGGGCGCGAGCAAGCCGTCGACCAGCGCCGCGTCGTCGAAGACGCCGCGCGTGACGGCCGCGCGGCCCGTGGCCGTGAGCAGCACGTCCGCCTCGAGCGTCCGGCCGTCGCGCAGCGCCACGGCGACCGCCGCGCCCGCGAGGGCCGCGCCGGCGATCTCCGTCTCGAACAGGATGTCGACGCCCGCGTCCCGCAGGTCCGCCTGCAGCGCGCCGGCCAACCCCGCGTCGATGCCGACGCGCCGCAGGCTCTTCGGGAGGTCCGCGCTCCGCACGACGAGCGTCACGTCCGCGGCGAGCGCCGCGAAGATGCGCGCGTATTCCACCGCGATGATCCCGCCGCCGACGATGACGACGCGCCGCGGCAGGAAGCTCAGGCCCTTGACGGAGTCGGAGTCGTAGACGCGCCGCCGCCCGGCGGCGTCCGCGCCGTCGTAGTCGAGGCCGTCGAAGCGCACGGCGCGCGACCCCGTCGCGACGACGCAGTGCTTGCCGCGCACCGTCGTGCCCGCGCTGCCGCCCTTGGTCGTCCGCCGGAACTTGACGTCCACCTCGACGGCGCCGCCGACGGGCTTGACGACGCCGAAGCCGCGGAGGTGGGGCACGCGCGACACCGCGAGGCCCCGCGCGTTGTCGTCGCCGCACTTGCGCACGATGCGGTCGACCATCTCGCTGACCTGGGCCCAGATCGCCGCGTCGCCGAGGCCTGTGTGGAAATCAACCAGTGGAATGGACGCGTCCAGCAAAACTTCAAACCTCTCTATCTCGGTCAAATCGAAGTCGATTCGGCTGATTTTTGGACGAATCGATTGCTCTCGTCGAGTTCTCGAAGCACAGCCGAAGAGCTTGCGTCGAAACTGTCGCATACGCTCACATTGAAGTCGGGTTGACGATTTGATTTCCACACAGGCCGAGGCCCATGCGGCGAAGCACGGGGACGTCGATGCGGAGCGCCGCGTCGCGCAGCGCCTTGCTGTAGAGGCCCGTCGGCCCCGTGAACTGGAACTGGCGCGGCGGCGTCGCGTCCACGAGGATCGCGGACAAACCCAGCGACGCGGCGCGGTTCGCCGCGCTGATGCCCACGGGCCCGCCGCCGATGACGACGAGGTCGAACTCGCGCTCCTGGTGGATGGCCCGGAGGGGCGGCGGACCGCGGCGCCGCCGCGCCGGCACGTAGGCGCCCGCGGCGAGCAGCGACGACGCGACGCAGAGCCAGACCAAAGGCAGCCCGTGAGGGCGCGTATTCTTGCTGACGCGCGCCATGCTTGCTTTCCTGCCTCCAGCAACAACTGCCAAGATGCCGTCTGGTTGAACCTCGCTCTAAATCGCCACAGCATCTCACAAGCATCGACTCGCAACACACGCCGTGGAGGTCGCTGCTCCCATGGCGGAGGTCGTCCCGAAATTCACGCCCGGCCAGCCGCGCTACAGCCCCGAGACCTTCGGTGGCCGCCTGCGCAACATCGCGAGCCAGCTGAACCCCTTCATGCTCCTCAAGAGCGACGGCGACGTCGACGCGGCCAAGGCCCTGCTCCGGCGGCACGACGCCGGCGCCTCGAACGCCTCCGACGCCGAGCTCTGGGCCGCGCAGGAGCTCTGCGCCGCGCGCGTCCACCCCGACACGGGCGAGAACATCCTCCTGCCGCTGTGCTTCGCGGCGTACGCGCCGATGCAGCCGCCCATCGTCCTGGGCATGCTCTGGCCCGGCGGCGGCGCGCTGAACCAGGCCTTCTGGCAGTGCTACAACCAGTCCTACAACAGCGCCGTCTTCTTCGCGAACAAGAACAAGTCGTCGCCGGTGTCGGACGCGGACGCGGCGCTGTCGTTCGCCGGCTCCGTGGCCGCGTCCGTCGCGCTCGGCGTGGGCTGCACCAAGCTCGGCGCGTCCATGACGCACCCCGTCTGGGGGCCGCGGGTCGCCGGCTGGGCGGGCTTCGCGGGCTGCGTGGGCGCGGGCTGGGCGTCGCTGCTCCTCATGCGGCGCGACGAGCTCGCGAACGGCGTCAACGTCGTCGACGGCGACGGCGCGGTCCGCGGCCAGTCCCGGGTCGCGGCCCGCGAGGGCATCGGCAAGTGCTGCGCGGCGCGCGTCGTCTGGAACATCCCCGCCACCGGGATCACGCCCGTCGCGCTCGCGGCCTGGCACGCGACGCCGCTCTGCGCGGCGCTGCCCTTCGCGCCGAAGATGGCCGTGGACACGGCCATCATCACGTCCGGCATCATCGTCGGCGTCTACGGGGGCCAGGCGTTGTACGTGCAGCGCGCGTCCATCGACGCGGCCGCGCTCGAGCCCGAGTTCCAAGGCCTGGCGGCGAAGGACGGGTCGCCCGTGACGTCCTTCACCTATAACAAGGGCCTATAGGCGTCGAAGATGTAGACTGCGACTGGGTGGACTACGACGCCGACGCGGACTGCTCCGTGTCCATCACCGACGCGACGACGACTTGGTCCGAGTCGATCGGGTTACGCCGGCGCTCCTAGCGGAAGAGCGCGTCGAGCCCCGTGGGCGGGTTCGTCGCGAGCTTCTTGAGGAAGATGCGCTGGCCGTAGCGCTGCTTGAGGGCCTCGGTGAACGTCTCGTCGACGACCTTGTCCACGAGGCCGAGCTCGAGCGCGGTCTTGGCGCCGTGGACGGAGCCGTCGAAGAGGCCGTCGCCGCGCGCCGCGCGCGCGCCGTTGAGGAGCCAGCGCAGGGGCCAGAGCGAGGCCAGCGCCCGCGGCGTCAGGTTCGACCAGTCCGCCGCGTCCGCGGCGGACCCGATCGCCGCGGCCCGGCGCGCGTCGAGGCGGTCGCCGCGCGACCGCTTCACCTGTGTGCGAAACAACCGGTGGAACGCCCCGTCCAGCAAAAACCTCTCGAGCTCGGTCACATCGAAGTCGATTCGGCTGATTTTTGGACGAATCGATTGCTCTCGGCGGGTTCTTTGCAGACAGTGAAGAACTACGTCGAAACCGTGCGAATACATGCACAGTGAAGTCGCGTTGAAGATTTGAGTTCCGCGCGGCGCTTCACGGTGGCGACGAACTCGTCGTGGAGCTCCTCGAGCACGCGCTTCTCCCGGGCGATGCCCGGCCGGCTCTGGGGCAGGTAGGGGTCGAGGCCCGCCTTGGCCGCGCCCGCCGCGAGCACGCGCCGCTCGACGCCGATCTTCCGGAGCTGGCGCTGGTAGCCGAAGGACCGCGAGATGACGCCGATGGAGCCGAGGAGCGCGCAGGGCGTCGCGACGATGTCGTCGGCGGCGCAGGCGGCGAAGTAGCCGCCGGACGTGCAGATCTCGTCGACGAAGGCCAGGACCTCCGGCGGCGCCTCGGCCGCGCGGCGCGTCACGAAGCGGAAGACGCGCGGCAGGAGCCGCGCCTGGCGCGCCTCGAGCTTCGCGCGCGCGCGCGCCTTGAGCGAGGCCACGCGCGCGTAGAGCAGCGCCGACTCGGACGCCGTGCCGCCGGGCGAGTTGACCTTGAGCACGACGGCGCGCGCGCGCCGGTACGAGAACGCGCGCTCGAGCGCGCGCTCGCAGCGGCTCACGGAGATGACGCCCTCGCCGGCGGCGCACTCGGGCACGGGCCCGCCGCCCCAGCACCAGTAGCGCGCGTCGCGCAGGGAGTGGCGCGCGCTCCGGTCGTCGGCGATGACGCCCCTCATCTCGACGACGACGACGGTGCGGTACAAGGCGCGGCCGCAGAGCTCCCGCAGGAGCCGCCAGGCGAAGCGGAAGCCGCCGGCGGCGAGCACGACGGCCCACTTGAGCACGCGCACCGCGACCTCGGCGTCGCCGAGGAAGCGCGCGACCTTCTTCGCCACGACGTCCTCGCCGCCGGGGATCGGCGCCGGCGACCGGCCGCCGTCGCTCACCGGCGCGAGCAAGCGCGCGCCGTCGCGCCGCCACGACGGCAGCGTCGCCACGGACCGCGGGCCGCGGACGGCGCGCGCGCCCGCGGCGGCGAGCAGCGCGAGCACGGCGGCTCGTGCGCACGAGCGGTGCGCCATGCCGTCGACCGCTTTGTGAGAACACGGCACCCGCCGAGGCAACATGACTCGTTGCACCGCGCGCCCGCGGCGAGATCGCCGACCCATGTCTCGTGGCTTCGCGCGGTCGCGGCCGGTGGTATCACGCGTAGGCGGCCTGGTACATGCAGGCGCACTCCTGGACCGTGGCGGCGCCGAGCTGGGCGCAGCGCCACGCGTCCTCGACCTCCGCGTCGCCCGCGGCGAGCTTCTCGGACACCTCGGCGAGGTCGTGGCGCGGGTAGCCCGCGACCTCGAGGCGCAGGCCCGGGCAGAAGTTGCGGTTGTAGGCCGACGTGGGGAACTTGGAGCTGAAGTGGACGAGGACGTCCGCGTCGCCGAGGAGGACGAGGTCCGCGAGGCTGTTGACGTCCGCGTCGGAGCCGTCGCCGCCCGTGAGGTGGTTGTGGCCGATGGCGCCGTCGAGGGCGAGGACGCGCCGCGCGCGGCCGCCGATCGCGGCCCGGACCCATGTCTTCGCGCCCGGCGCGTCCGAGGCGACGTAGAGGTCCCACGCGCGCGCGCCGTAGGCCCGGTCCGCGTCCGCGGCGACGCGCGCGGCGACGGCCGCGAGCGTCGCGCCGTCGGCGGCGACGACGAGGCGGCCCGCGCCCTCGCCGAGCGCGGTCCAGTCCCGGGGCCCGTCGCCGGCGGCGGCGCCGCCGCCGCACCGGAGCGCGTCCCAGCTCCGGCCCTCGCGCGCCGCGTGGTTGGAGTCGACCCAGCCCGTGCGCACGTGGAGCGCGACGAGCGGCGCGTCCGCGGCGCGGCCGCCGCGCGCCGCTTCGACGACCGCGCGGAGCCTCGCGTTCGGGCGCGTCAGGACGCCCTGCACGCAGCCGTGGACGTCGAGGACCGTCGGCGCCTCGTCGGGGACTTGGACCCAGTCCTGGAGGCGGAAGTCGGAGGGCCCGTAGGCCGTCGGGTCCGGGACCGCGCCGCCGCCGCCGCCGCTGCCCTCGCGGAACACGGGCGCGCACCCGCGCGCGAACGCGGCGACCGCGGCCTTGTGGTACGACATCATCAGCGAGTTGCCGATGCCGTGGCCGTTGGACCCGTCGTGGTCCTCCGTGCAGTTCACGGGCACGGGCTTGCACCTTTCGCGCCAGAGCGCGTCGGCGTCGCAGGCCTCCGCCGGCGGGTAGTCCGTGGACCGGTCCGCGCGGAACTTCTCGTGGGGCCGCGTGTTGTAGCGGCTCGTGTCCCAGGGGCTCCCGGGGCCCGTGTAGTACTGCTTCCCGTCGGGGCCCGTGAAGTACTGGGCCTTCGCGACCGCGGCCGCAAGGACGACGAGCCTCATGGGCTCGAAGCGGATCGCGGCGCGCCCCGGCGCGTCGCTTCGCGGCGTTTGCGTTTGCGTGGACGCGCGACCGATGTGCGTCCCGGGCGGGTCGACTCGGCGCGCGACTCAAACCAATCGCTAAACGAGTTGTGGAGTTGTTGTGGCGACGCGCGGATCTCGCGCGGGATCTGCGCGGGTCGCCAAGCCTGCTTGAGCAGACCCACACGACAGTTCTCGTGGTGCGATGGTGGCCACTCGCCGGACGAAGGCGGCGGCGTCGCCGAAGCCGCCCGGTCCCACGCGCGCGGCGTCGCCGACGCCGAACGCGGCGGTCCTCGCCGCCGCGGCCGCAGACGATCCATCGGTCGCCGACGGCGCCGCCGCCCCGGACGCCGCCGCCCCGGAGGAGCCGGACCGGACGCCCGGCATGCTCGCGCTCTGGCGCGCGCTCTTCTACTCGCTCATGTGCGCGCAGTGGTACCGGGGCCACATCGCGCACTACGTCGTCGACTATCCGCCGGAGGCCGGCGCGCGACTCGGCGCGGACGCGTTCTTCGCGTACGACCAGTGGGAGGGCCTCGTCGCGACGCTCCCGCGGACGGCCGCGGGCGTGCAGCGGCTCAAGGACGTCGGGCTCGCCTGCGGCGCCGCGGCGGCGGCCGGCGCCGCGTTCCCGGCGGCGGCGGCCGCGTTCGACGCCGCGCGGACATCGACCGCCGGTTCGGGACGTCCCGACCGAACTTTGACATTCTCTCGCTCGGCCACATCGACGTCGATTCGGCCGATGCTTGGACGGATCGATCGCTCGCGTCGAGTTCTCGAAGCGCGGCCGACGAGTCTGGTCCGATGACGCGCACGCGGAAGTCGGGCGGAAGATTCGAGCGCCGCGCAGGTTCTTCGCGCTCTTCGCGCGGCAGGCGCTCGCGCAGACGACGCGCTTCACGAACCACGACTACCTCTTCTCCCTGCTCCTCCTCCTCACGGCCGTCTCCGGCGCGGGCGGCGCCTGGTCCGTCGACGCCGCGTGCCGCCGCGTCGCGCCGCGCGCGTTCCCCGGCGCGGCCGCGTCGCCCGCGCGGCGCCGCGCGGCCGTCGTCGCGCTCCGCGCGCAGCTCGCCGTCGTCTACGTCTTCGCGTCGCTCTGGAAGACGCACCCGGACTGGGTCTCCGGCGCCTTGGTCCGGGGCATCTTCCTCGGCTTCGAGGAGCAGGGCGTGCACCGCGGCGTGCCCTGGGCGGCCATGGAGGCGACGCTCGGCCCGCGGCTCTTCGCCGCCGTCGCGTTGGGCGGGCTCCTGCTCGACGGGTCCATGGCCGCCGCGCTCCTGTGCCTCCGGCCGACCCGCGAGAGCTTCGCGGCCTTAGCGGGGCTGAGCTGCGCGTTCCACGGCTTCACGTGCTTCACGATGAGCCAGCGCATCGGCTACGCGTTCCCCGGCGCCTGCGTCTGCGCCGTCGTCCTCTTCGCGCCCGTCGGCGGGCCGGGCGGCGACGCGCCGCTCCACGCGTGGCTCGCGCGCGCGGCGACGGGCTTCTCCGCGGGCGAGCCGCGCGCCGCCGCGGCCGCGCGGCCGGCGCGGCCGCTCCGGTGCCTCCTGCTCCTCTACGTGCTCCTCCAGGTGCTCGTCCCGCTGCGCATGCCCCTCCTCCACGGCGCCGACTTCGCCATGTCCGCGCGCGGCTACCGCTTCTCGTGGACGATGATGCTCCACGGCAAGGACCAGGGGGCCCGGGGCGCCATGTCCTTCCTCAAGTTCGCCTACCTGGCGCCGAGCGTCGGCGGCCGGGCCCTGCCGCGGCGCGCCTACCTCGGGCCAAACCTGTTCCCGGGCGGGCCCGGCGACGACCGGGGCAGCAAAAGAGAGCGAAATTCCCAACTTCAAAGGCTCCTTTCTCGGCCGTTTTCTACTCGTTTCGGCTGATTTTTGGACGAGCGATCATCTCTCGGAACGGTCTCGAAGCGTGGATGCTTTTTCCGGAACGCGCGCGCGCGGAACACTCACATTGAAGCGACGTTGAATCACCCTTTTGCTGCCTAGGCGACGACGAGCGGACGCTCCCGCTCGAGCAGATGCAGATCGTCGGCACGCGGCGCGCGCTCATGGGCGTCTACCCGCGGTCCTGGCTCAAGGTCGGCGCGGGCATCGGCCGCGCGATCCAGCACGCCGTGCCGGAGGGCCGCGCCGTCGCCGTCGCGGGCCGTGTGGACATCGACCACCGGTTCGGGGGGTCCCCGCCAAACTTCAGAACTCTCGAGCTCGGTCACATCGAAGTCGATTCGGCTGATTTTTGGACGAATCGATGGCTCTCGTCGAGCTCTCGAAGCACGGCAGAAAGCCTCGCGTCGAAACTACGCGACCATTGAAGTCGGGTGATTTCATTTCCACGCAGGTCGCGGGGACGCTCTTCGAGCGGCTCAACGGCCGCGGGCCCTTCGCGCGCGTCATCGACCCGACCGTCGACCTCGTCGCGGCGGACGACCGCCGGCGCGCGCGCGCGCCCTGGGAGATCTTCCGGGATGTCGTCATGGACCGCCTCGACGACGAGTTCATCCTCCGGGGGTCCGGCGCGTCCGACCTCTCGGACCGCGCCGAGGCGCTGGCCGCCGCCGCGCTGCCGCGCGAGGGCCAGGCGGGGTACATGGGCGCGCCGGTCGCCGTCCTCGTCGACCGGTCGCCGTGCCTCGCGGCGTCGCCGCTGATCCTCAGCCCCCTGTCGAACCTCGCGCGCCTGCCCCTCGCCGCCGCCGCGCGACGCCGGCGCGGGACGCGGGCGCGACGTGACCAACTTCAAGGGCTCCGCTCTCGGCCGGTGTCCACTCGTTTCGGCTGATTCTGGACGAGCGACCGTCGGAGCGCGCTCGAAGCGCGGACGCTCGTTCCGGAACGCGCGCGCGGAACGCCCGCGTCGAAGCGGCGTCGAATCGCCCGCGTCCCGCCCAGGTGCTCGCCGCGCCGCCGTCCGCGACGGTCACGCTCGTCGCCTGCCACTCGAACGGCGAGTGCGACGAGACGGCGCTCGGCCCGACGCCGACCGCGGCCTTCGACGTCGTCGCCGCGGAGCTCCGCCTAAGGGGCCCCGCGACGGGCGCCTGCAAGGACGCGCGCGAGGACGTCGCCGTCGCGCTCTCGTTCTGAGGCGCCGTCGGGACGGCGGCGCCGCCGCGGAGCCCAAGACGCTCGCGTCGCCGCGCCGCACCGCCCGCGCGAGCTCCGCGCCGCGCGCCGCGCCGCGGCTAACTGGCGCCCCCGCACGCGACGGGGGCCCTAGAGGTCGCGTTACCCGACGGCGTCGTCGACGACGACGTCCGCGAGGTGGCGGCGGAGGTCGTCGACGCCGAAGCCCGTCTTCGCTGAGACGACGTGGACGACGGGCAGGAGGCTCGAGCGCCGCGGCCGGTCGAGCGCGTCTTTGGTCGCGGCGAGCGCGGTCGCGACGTCCGCCGCCGACGCGCGGTCGCACTTCGTCAGGACGACGCGGTGCGGCACCTGCGCGGAACTCGAATCTTCGACCCGACTTCAATGCGCGCGTAATCGAACGATTTGGACCAGACTCTTTCGCTGTGCTTCGAGAACTCGACGAGAGCACTCGATCCGTCCAAAAATCAGCCGAATCGACGTCGATGTGACCGAGCTAGAGAGTTCTGAAGACCCCCCCCCGACCAGCGGTCGAGTTCCACACAGCGCGGCACCCGCAGCTCCGAGAAGGACTCGAGCACGGCGGGGTCGGGCCCGCGGCGCGCGTCGACGAGGACGCAGACCTGGCGGAGGACGGCGCCCGGCCGCGACGACAGGTAGGCGAGCGCGGCGGCGCCAAAGGCCTCGCGCCGCTCGCCGCCGCGCCGCGCGTAGCCGAAGCCCGGGAGGTCCACCACGAAGAGCTTTGCGGCCGCCGCGCGCCGCGCGTCGCTCGCCGCGCCGCGCGGCCCGCCGCGGCGCGGCGCGCCGGGCCGGCCGACCGCGAAGAAGTTGACCGACGTCGTGCACCCGGGCGTCTTCGAGCGCCGGAGCAGCGCCGGGTCGCCGAGCAGCGCGCCGACGAGCGTCGACTTGCCGACGTTGCTCCGGCCCGCGAAGGCGACCTCGGGCACGCCGGACGTCGGCAGCTCGTAGCCGAAGGCGCGCGGCGGCACGAACGCGGCCGGCCCGCCGAAGACGCGGTGCGTCGTCCGCGGCGCGGCGGGCGCGCCGACGTCGACGCCGTGCGCCCAGACGGACGGCGCGACGCGCGACCAGGATGGCGTCGCCGAGAGCGCTCGTCGTCGCATCGCGCCGCTCCCCGAGAGGCGCGCGAGAGCTCGATGCATCGCGCCGCTCGACGGTGCATCGTGGCGTCAACCTAACGACCGCGCGTCGCGCCGCGCACCGCGCCGACATCGGCCGCGCGCCGCCCCCCCCCCCGGATCTTCGAGGCCTCCAGCTCCCGGGGGCCCTGCCCTTACTCGTCGCGGAACGCCGCGTCGCGGACGTGGTGGGCCGCGTACGCGAGGCCGCGCGCGCGCGCGCCGTCTTCGACGTCGTCCTCGGCCCCCAGGAAGCCGCCGTGGTCGTAGCCCGCCGTCGCCGCGTCGTGGTGGCGCCGCCACCAGCCCTCGAGCTCCGCGAAGTCGGCCGGGCCCAGCAGGTCGCCGCACTTGAGGTTCTTCGACCAGTGGAAGTCCGCCGCGGCGGCCTCGGCGGACGCCTGTGTGCAAATCAACCAGTGAGCTGGGACGTCGGGGCCAAACTTGAGAATTCTCTAGCTCGGTCAAATCGAAGTCGATTCGGCTGATTTTTGGACGAATCGATTGCTCTCAGCGAGTTCTCGAAGCACGGTGGAAGTGCTCGTGTCAAAACATTCGAATACGCGCACATTGAAGTCGGGTTGAAGATTTGATTTGCACACAGGCGGACGCGAGCCCCGCGGCGTGCGCGTAGCGCCGGCAGGCGACGCGCCGCCCCTCGGCCTCGGAGGCCGGGCACGGCGGGCCGTCGAAGTCGTCCCTCAGGACCGCGCAGACGGGCCCGCCGCCCGGGTAGGGCTTGTAGTCCTCGCGGTAGACGCTCCAGCTCCGCGGCAGCGTCGTCAGCACCCGGAACGTGCGCGCGAGCAGGAAGTTGCACTCGTGGCTCATGAGCTTGGACCGCATGTCGAGGCACGACGCCTCGAAGATCGGCACGGCGCACCGCGCGAGCCGCCCGGGGAAGCTGTGGCCCCAGTCGTCCTCGTACCGGTAGTACGCGTCGCCGGACCTGGCGCGGGCGGCGGGGTCGGGCGCCGCCCCGCGCCCCGGCGGCCGCCGCGCGCGCGCGCGCGCGAAACGCCCGGCGCCGCGCCGCGCGCGTTCGCGTAGCCGCCCCAGCCCGCGTCGCTGTCGCAGGTCGCGAGGGGCCAGCACCAGCAGCCGTAGGGGCGATGGTGCGTCTCCCAGTCGTCGCGGACGTCCGACGACGCGTCGCAGTCCCCGGCGGGCCGCGTCGACGCCGCGCGCGCCGCCGGCGCCGGCGCGGCGCCCACGGGCCGGAGCGCGGCGACGTCGAAGCGCCAGAGCAGCACGGAGCGGTAGCCGCCCGGCGGCCAGAGCGCCCGGAGCCAGCGCATCGCGACGAGGGAGGGCGTCGCCTGGCTCGACCCGCGCCGCGGGAGCTGCTCCGCGCGCACGACGCGCCGCGCGCCGTACCACTCGACGAGGTGCGCCATGGCCCGGGCCGCGCGGGCCGGCGGCGCGATGCCCCCGCAGCCGTAGGTCGCGAGGAAGACGTCGACGCGGAGGCCCGCGCGCTCGAGGGGCTCGACGACGTGGCGCACGTGGCTCGCGGAGACGGCGCGCTGCACCTGCGCAGGTGGAACGCCCTGTCCGGCGAACCTCCCGATCTCGGTCGCGTCGACGTCGTTTGTTGGACGGACCGTGTTCTCTCGGCGAGTTCTTCGGAGACGGTGAACCATTCCGTGCGACGACGTTCCTATTGAAGTCGTCTCGCGTAGGTTCGTTTCCCGCCCGGCGCGGCGCGCGGTGCGCGAGGCCGTCGCAGTAGAAGGGCAGCTTCGAGTTCCGCACGGTCGTGCCGTAGCTGAGGCCGCGGAACGCGTCGCCGCGCAAAATGACTGCGACGCGCGTGCTCCCCGGGTCCGTCGGGAAGCGGGACGCGTCCTCGCAGAGCTGCTCGTTCGCGATGCGGTCCGAGAGCGGCGTCCTCGTGCCGTTGGCGTGGACGACGAGCGGCGTCGCGAGCACGCGGCGCGTGAGCAAGGCGAGCACGCAGCCTCGCATCGCGCCGCAGGACCAACAGAGCTCCTAGGAGGGGCGACCTGCGAGAGGAGGCAGCCCTTGCATCGGAGATTTGCATCAGCCGATGGATGGTGCGATTAACTGCACCTCCTCGGCGAATTCTGCGAGCCGCGACTGTCTGTATGGTCTGCCGCAGCAACGCAATGGCGCCGGTCACGCTCGTGCTCGCCTCCATCATCGGCCGGTCGGCGGCCTTGGCGCTGCCGAAGGCCGCGCGGCTCGCGCGGCGCCCGTCGCTCGGTCGGCGGCTCTCGGCGAGCGGCGGCGCCGTCGCCGAGGAGAAGAAGGTGCCCGTCACGCTCCTGTCCGGCTTCCTCGGCGCGGGCAAGACGAGCCTCCTCCAGAGCCTGTTGAAGACCGCGGCGCGCGACGCGGACCTCAAGGTCGGCGTCGTCGTCAACGACATGGCCGCGGTCAACATCGACGCGAAGCTCATGCACTCGCCCTTCGAAGGCGGCGGCCGGGACCAGCCCGCGGAGTTCGTGGAGATCGGCGACGGCTGCGTCTGCTGCACCATGGCCGACGAGCTCTTCAGCACGCTCGCCCAGCTCAGCGGCGTCTCCGCGGCCAAGGGCTACGCCTACGACCACATCGTCGTCGAGGCGACGGGCGTCGCGGAGCCGCGGAATTTGCGCGACCAGTTCCAGGACGCGGAGGCCGCGGGCATGCCGCTGCTCGAGTCCGTCGCGCTCGACACGCTCGTGACCGTCGTCGACTCGGCGGCCTTCCTCGCGGCCTACGCCGAGACGTCGGCCCATCAAGGACCGGCCGGACCTCGCGGCCGCGTCCAAGGACGACCCCCTCGCGTCGCTGCTCCACCGCTTCGACGGGTCGTCCATGCGCGCCGTCGTCGACCTGCTCGTGGAGCAGGTCGAGTGCGCGGACGTCGTCCTCCTCAACAAGGCCGACCTCGTGACCGACGAGCAGATGGCGCGGCTGCGGACGATCATCTCCGCGCTCAACGCGAACGCGAAGGTCTACACGTGCGAGCACGGCGAGGCGAAGCTCGACCGCGTGCTCGCCGTGGCCGGCGCCGAGGGCGCCGCGGGCCTCGGGCCCGTCGACGAGCACAAGGTCGCCGTCGCCGCGTCGAAGGCGAGCCACGACCACGCGCACGCGGCGAAGGAAGAGGAGGCACACTCCCACGCGGCGAAGGAAGAGGAGGCACACGCCCACGCGCGCGAGGCCGCGGAGCCCTGCGCCGACGCGGCCTGCACGGACCCGACGCACGACCACTCGCACTCGAGCCACGACCACGCGCGCGCGGAACAGGAGGCCTCTCGCGACCACTCGCACTCGAGCCACGACCACGCGCGCGCGGAACAGGAGGCCTCCCACGACCACTCGCACTCGGCCCACGACCACTCGGACGGCGAGCCCTGCGCCGACGCGGCCTGCACGGACCCGACGCACGACCACAGCCACTCGGGCCACGACGGCCACTGGAAGGAGCGCTTCGGCATCGAGTCCTTCGTCTACGCGCGGCGGCGGCCCTTCGCGCCGTCGCGCCTCGGCGCCGTGCTCCGCGAGCTGCCCGCGGACGTGTCCGCGGCCCTCGGCGGCGACGCGCCCGCGACGGCCGGCGCGAGCGACCTCGGCGCGGCGCTCGCGACGCTCGTGCGGTCCAAGGGCTTCCTCTGGCTCGCGTCGTCCCACGACGCGGCCTACTACTGGAGCCACGCGGGCGCGTTCTTCAACGCGGAGCTCCTCGGCCGCTGGTGGGCGACGCTCCCCGAGGAGCACTGGCCCGAGGACCTCAAGCCGTCGATCCTCGCGGACTTCGACGGCGACTCGCCCGACGGCGACCGCCGCCAGGAGATCGTTTTCATCGGCGCGGACCTCCTCGCCAAGCAGGGCACCATCGAGGCCGCGCTCGACGGCTGCCTCCTCACGGACGACGAGCTCGCGGCGTACCGCGGCGCGGACGACGCCGCGCTCGAGGCCCTCTTCCCCTCGGACCTCAAGATCAAGGCCTAGGCGCGAACGTACGTGTACAGGGGTGGGGCTCGAGGCGGACGCGGGGGCGGACGGGCGGATCATCAGCGGGGCCCGAAGTCGGGGCCCCGCGCGTTGCGGTCGTAGGCGTCGATCGTGGCGCCGATCGTCGACGGCGGCGCGGCCGGCGGCGGCGCCCGCGGCTGGCGCGTGGAGCGCCGCACGTCGATCTGCGGCTGGCGGCGGCTCGGCGGCGCGAGCGGCGGGATCGGCGCGGCGGGGGACGCGGGCGTCGCGACGTCCGCGAGCTCGAACTGGCGCCGCCCCGGGTGCCCCCGCGCCCGGGGGCGGCCCCGGCCCGCGCCGCAGCACCTGCCCGCGCCGAGGCACAGCAGCGCGAGGGCCGCGACGGCCGCGAGGATCGCGCCCATCTTCATGGGGAAGTCGAGGTCGTTCCAGGCCTCGAGGTACGGCGGGCCACCGTCGTCGTCGTCCGCCGCGCCGTGCGGCGACGCCGTCGGCGCGAGGGAGGCCGAGGGCGCCGGCGTCGGCGGCGGACTGGGCCCGGGCGAGGGCGCGGGCGTGCCCGTCGGCGCGGGCGTGCCCGTCGGCGGGTGGGAGCAGCGCGCGGGGGAGCCCGGGGGGTCGTCGTCGCAGCGCTCGTCGCCGGCCGCCGCGCCCTCCTCCGTGCGGCAGCTGGGCGCGGCGCAGCCGTCGGCGCCCGTGTCCCAGTGGTACGTCGCCAGCGTCGACGGGTCGACGCAGAGGTCGTCGGCGCCGCCGCCGTCGCCGTCGCCGTCGCCCGCGCCGTCGTCGACGGTCAGGGCGAAGCCCGCCTCGTAGCCGACGGCGAAGCACGCGCCGCCGTCGCCGCAGGGCGTGCCGTCGCGCACGGCGAGGCCCCGGTTGATGCACTGGCGGGCGCCGCTCTCCTTGTTCGAGCAGAGCACGCGCGCGCAGTCCGAGAGCTCGACGCAGGGGTAGACCGCGGGCTCGTCGTCCATCTCCAGGTCGACGCACGAGTCCTCGAGGGACACGCAGTCGCCCGCGTAGCACTGGCCGGCGACCGCGCGCCCGCCGTCGAAGTGCGCCTCCTGCACGACGTCGTCGCAGGCCGTGCCCGCGGATCTGTAGAGGTCCGTGGGGCAGTCGCCGGAGGCGCCCGTGCAGGTCTCCTCGTCGTCGCAGGCGTCGTCGACGGCCGCGCGGCAGACCGTGCCCGCGGCCGCGAAGAGGCCGCCGTCGCAGCACGCGTCCGCGGCCGCGCACTCGCAGCCGGGCTCGAGCGAGCAGTCGTCGCGGCAGCACGCGTCCTCGATGAAGAGGCCCACGTCGCAGGCCTCGCCCGCGTCGACGATGCCGTCGCCGCAGATCGCCGCGTCCCAGGACGGCTCCTCCGCGTCGTCGAGGCACGCGTCGACGGGGCCGACGCCGTAGGTGTCCTCGAAGTAGGCCGCCGCGGACGACCGCGACGCGGCGGAGAACTGGAGGTTCGTGCCCGAGGGCGCCTGCGGCGTCGACGCCGACATGAGGTACGCGGGCGCGCCGTCGTCGCCGACGGCGTCGTGCTCCATGCCGAAGTTGTGGCCCAGCTCGTGCGCGACGACGGCCGCGGCGTAGCCGAGCTCGCCGGAGCCCACGGACGCGATGGCGGCGGAGAAGCCGCCGTGGCACATGCCGGACACGTAGCCCAGGCCCACCGTCGACCCGTCCAAGTCGCGCGACGTCAGCAGGAGCCCGACGTCCATGGACGCGCCGAGCGTCGCCTCGATGGCGTCGCGCTGGTCGTCGGCGTACGCGGCGAAGGACGACAGGAGGCAGCTCGCGGAGACCTCGCCCGCGCCGCAGGCGTCGCCGCACGCGTCGCACGCGTCGCCCGCCGCGTAGTCGACCTCCGCCGGGTCGCCGTCGCGCCACGTCATCTGCCCGACGACGACGGGCACGACGCGGCACTTGACCGTGGCGCCGTCGTAGAGGCCGAAGGGCGCCTCGTCGCCGTAGATGCTGTGGACGACGTCGAGCACCGCCGCGCTGTGCGCCTCGACGTCGACGCCGCGCGTCGCGTAGCGCGACTCGTCGTTGAAGACGACGACGCCGAGGTACTTGGTCGCGCCGTCGTCGCACTCGCCGGCGGCGAGGCGCCGGGCGCGGTCGCCGCGACGGTCGTGGGCCTCGTCGCGGTCGCCGTGGTCGTGGGCCTCGCCGCGGTCGTCGTGGTCGTCGTGGTCGTGGGCCTCGCCGTGGTCGTGGCCCTCGCGGCCCTCGCCGTGGTCGTCGCCCTCGCGGCCCTCGCCGTGGTCGTGGCCGCCGGCGCCCGGCGCGTAGTGGCGACCGTCGACGCCGCACGTGCCCGGCTCGCCCTTCCGGTCGGCGTGGGCGTCGTAGGCCACGTGGCCGCCGGGCGCGGCCCGCACGTCGAGGACGCGGTCGCCGAGGGCGAGGACGCCGTCGAAGGCCGCACCGAGGCACGCCGTCGCGCGGCCGGACGCCGGCGCGCCGCCGACGACGCCGGCGGCCGCGCCGCGGTACGCGCAGCCGCGGCGGCCGGCGCGCGCGACGACGACGCCGCCGGCGCCGTCGAGCGCGAGCTCCTTGTAGTTCGCGTGGAAGGCGGAAGAGTCGCGCTCCAGGTCGAGCACGACGTCGATGCCCGCGCCGGAGATGCGGAGCCGGACGGCGTCGCGGAAGGATTCGTCGGCGCCGAGCGCCGCGCCGTCGGCGTGCGCGACGTCGACGCGCGTGTAGGATTTGAGCGTGTCGAGCAGCGAAGGCGGCGGCGCGCGCAGGTTCGCCGCGGTTGCCACGGCGGCGAGCAGCGCGCCGAGCAAGAGAGCCATGCTTGCTTCCCGGAAGACGGCAGCACCGGCCGCAGCTTCAGCTCGATGCTGCAGTTCGAACTCACCTCTCGTCGATGATGGCCTCGTCGGACACACCACCGACGGCGTGCCGCTGGCGCATCCTGGCGACGGTCATCGTCGTCGAGAGCGTGGGCGGCCTCATGTACGCCTTTGGGATCTACTCGGCGCGGCTCAAGAGCAAGTTCTCCCTATCGCAAGAGCAGCTCGACGCCATCAGCATCTCGTCGTCGCTGGGCTCGAACGTGGGCGTCCACTGGGGCCTGCTCACGGACGCCGCGGGCCCAAGCGCCGCGCTGTGCGCGGCGCTCGTCGCCGGCGGCGGCGGCTGGCTCCTGCTCTGGTCCGCGCTCGGCGGCGTCTCCGGGCTGCGGGGGCTGCCCTGGGCGTACCTCTGCGCGTTCGCGCTGCTCCAGGGCACGGCCATGTGCGGCAGCGACGTCGCGTCGATGACGACGATCGCCAAGGCCTTCCCACAAAACCGGGGCCGGGCGACGGGTCTGGTCAAGGCCATGGTCGGCCTCTCCGCGGCGCTCGCGGCGAACGTCTACGTCGCCGTGGAGCCCGCGCTCCGGCTCTACGTGCTGCTCATCGCGGGCGCCTACGTCGGCGCCTGCGCCGTCGGCGCCGCGCGCCTGCGCGCGGGCGACATCCTCGCGGCGGGCGCGCGCGAGCGGCCGGAGGACGACGCGCCGCGGCTCGCTTCTATCCTCGCGCGCGTCGTCGGCCTCGCGGTCTTCTACCTCGCGCTCCAGCTGGCCAACGCCTTCGCGCCCGTGCCCGCCGCCGGCCGCTACGCGACGGGCGCGTGCGCGGTGCTGGCGCTCGTCGGCGGCGTCGTCCGGCCCGCGGCGGCCGCGGGCGCCGGCGGCGGCCGCGCCGCGCCGCTCGCGGCGCCCCTCGTCGCCCCCGCGCCCAAGGCGCCCGTCCGGAGCGCGACGGCGCTCGAGGCCTACGGGAGCGCGGATTTCTGGCTCCTCTGGTTCGTCTGCTTCGCCGTCTGCGGCTCGGGCACCGTCGTCATGAACAACCTGACGCAGATCGCCAAGGCCGCGGGCATCGCGACCAAGGGCGCGACGGTCCTCGTCGCGCTGCTCTCCATCTCCAACTGCCTCTGCCGCGTCGCCGCGGGCTACGCCTCGGACCGGACCGCGGCGCGGGGCGTGCCTCGGTCCGCGCTCCTCGCGGCCGTGAGCGTCGCCATGGCCGGCGCGCACCTCCTGGGGCTCCCGGCCTCCAAGGGCTCGGTCTACGTTTTGAGCGTGCTGAGCGGGGGCGCCTACGGCGCCGTCGCGACGGTGCACCCGCTCGTCGCCGCGGACCGCTTCGGCGTGGCCCACCTCGGCGCCATCTACGCGTCGATCACGACGGCGAACGGCCTCGGGTCCTACCTGGGCTCGAACGTGCTCGCCGCGCGGCTCTACGACGCGGCCAACGCGCCGGGCCACCAGGTCTGCGAGTCGTCCGCGCGGGGGACGTCGTGCGACTGCGTCGGCGCGCGGTGCTTCGCCGACACGTTCCTCGTCTGCGCGGCGCTCAACGGGGCCGCCGCGCTCTGCTGCGTCGTCCTGGCGCGGCGCGAGGCGCGGCGGCGGACCGCGGGCCGCGAGGAGGCGGGCGCGAGGGTCGAGGCCGCGGCGCCCCGCGCGCCGTACTACCCGCCCGTCGCGCCGCCGAGCGCCGACGCCGTCGACTTCGCGCGGCTCGCCTCCGACGACGAGTCCGACGCGGAGGGCGGGCCGGGCGACGGCGGCCACGGACGACGCGTCGGAGGCGTAAGGTTGATGCTAGGTTAGAGCCTCTGCAACCGAGCAAGCATGACTTCAACGCGGCCATGATGACGTTGAGTCCGCGTCGTAGACAAAACCATCATGGGGGTTTGATTTGAACCACCATTAGAGGACCATTAGGAGCGTTCGGCAGGCCACAACCGAGTCCCATGGTTTAATCTACGACACTTAGGAGAGGCCCGGGGTCGCTCGGGGTTGGTTTTTCTCGGGCTGGATTTAATTGTTGAACCCACATTGAACCGGCATTGCAGACAAGATCAACCTCTCGCACGCCGATTTCGCAACCCGGGGCGACTCCGACGCCTTCGCCCGCTCGTCACATATGGTCTACGCCTTCGACGACAGCCAGTCCGCCACCAGCGCCCACAGGCGCACCGCGGCTTGCGTTTTCGGTCGAAGCGTTTCGGCGCCCGGCGGACATTCGCGAGTCGTCGAATTTTCGACGCGACACCAGGAACGCGTCACACCATCGACTCGCACCATCATGAAGAGCATCTGGTTGAAAAAGAGTCCGAAGGCTCGTCGATGCGCCGCCGCATGGCGGGACCGCGGATTTCGCCACTTTTGGGCGCACGCCGTAGACGCGCGCGAGAGTGATTTCGGGAGCTATGGAGCTGGCTAGAGACCGTCCATAGGTCACACACAGGTGCGCAACCCTCGCGGAGGCCCACGGGCACGCCTGCGCTGCGCTGGAGCGCCGCCCAGGCCGACAGATGCACCGGTGAGCCGTGCCCCGCGGCCGTGAGCCGTGCCGATTTTGGCCGGGGCAAAAAAAAACGCCGCCGGCGTCGGGAAGGGATTAAAGCGGCGCGTACTTGCGCGACCATTGGCGGTATAGGCGCACCGCAGGAGCATTAGGATTTAAATCGTACTCCCAGGAAAACCGAAGCCGAGCTCCTCCAAAGTACTGGACACTGAAGATTTTTTAAACCCCCATGGCGGCTAGGGTGATCCGCGTCGGAGGCAAAATGTGGCTGGGTTGTTTAAGATCCCGAGTCGAATGGCGTGATACGCTTTCGAGAAAATCGATGGCAAAGAGGGCTCCGCCAGTGGTGATGGGCACCTTTGGCAAGCTCTATCTCGGCGCCATGGCCACCGATTTGCAAAATTCTTGTTGCATCTGAAAGCCGGCACGGTCGTCTTGCGCGCAGAGCCAATAACTCAAAAACTTCAACAGCAACATAAACTCGGCATTCTATTCAACCCAGCCACAAATGTTGATGCCCGGAGCCCTGACTGCAAACTGACTGCAAACTGACTGCAAGCGCGACTTCACCAGGCACGATGACGTTGAGCCAGGACGGGCGCATCGATCGTGAGATCCGACATCGCCGCAATGAAGCTCCTCCTCGCGCTCGCGGTCGCGCCCGCCGCCTGCTTCCAGCGCGCCGCGCCGGCCGCCGCGCCGTTGAAACTGTCCGCGTCGACGACCGCCGCGGATGCCTTCCGCGCCGCCGCCGGCTTCGACGTCGCCGCCGCACCCGCCGTCGCCGCGCCGCTGGAGCTCGTCGCGAGGCACCAGGCGGGCCTCATCGACGACATGCGCGCGGCGGCCGACGAGCCCACGCCGCTCGACCTCGTCGACGATTTCCACGCCGCCGCGCGCGAGGAGCTCGTCGAGCTCGAGGCGACGCCGCTCGACCTCGTCGCGCGCTTCCACGAGGGCCTCGAGCGCGAGTACCAGAGCTGGAGCCCGGCGTCGCTCCGCAGCCCCTGGTCCGACGTCGCGCTCGCCTAGCGCGGCGCGGCGGCGCGCGGCCCCCGCGAGAGAAGCCACGTCTCGCCGCGAGGCCCGCCGTAAGCTCCGTAGACCCGACAGTTTAGCGCCGCGGCTTCTTCTTCGCCGCCTTGAGCGCGGCGCGGTGCGCGCGGGAGTTCTCGTGCTTCTCGAGCGCGGCCGCGGACCCGAAGGCCCTGTCGCAGGCGGCGCAGCGCCACTCGTCGCGCAGCGCCATGCCCTCGAGCGTCGCCGCGAGCTCGTCCGCGGCCGCCGGCGGCGCCCGCGGCGGCGCGGCGGCCTCCGGCGGCGGCGGCGCGGCGGGCGCCGGCGGCGCGGCCCGCGCGCGGCCGTCGTCGGACGAGTCGCCGCGCGCGTCCGCGGCCGGCGCGGCGTCGAGGCCCAGCTTCGCGAGGCGCCGGCCGTGGGCCTTGGACCGCACGTGGTGCGCGAGGGCCTCGCGGGTCCGGTAGGCCAGGTCGCAGACCTCGCAGCGGAACGCGAACGCTTCGCCGTCGTCGTCGTCGTCGTCGTCGTCCGCGGCGGCGGCGTCGGCCTCGCGCCTCCGCTCCTCGAGCCAGGCCGCGCGCTTGCGCGCGAAGTCGTCGCGCGCGGCCTCGGCCGCCCGCGTCTTCTGCGCGGCCTCGCGCGCCTCGCGCGCGGCCTCGGCGCGCCTCCGCGCGGCGACGCGCGGGTCGCGCCGCTTGCAGTAGTCCGCGAGGCGCGACACCGAGTCGTCGTACGCGCGGCGCGCCTCGCTTCGCGCGCGCGCGAGCTGCTTCTCGGCCTCGCGCCGCTCCTTCTTGTTCGCCAACGTCTCCGCCAGGTCCCGGAGGTGCGGCGGCTCCGCCTGCGCGCGGACGTCGACCGCCGGTCCGGCGCGCCCCGACCGAATTTCGGGTTCCGATGCGACCGATGGTTGGACGAGTGCGTTTCTCTCGGCGAGTGCTCCACGGACATACAAACGCGCGCGCGCGCGTTGAAGTCCACGTTGAAGATTCGGCGCGGGGCCCCGCCTCGCGGAACGTCCGGCAGCTCCGGAAGTTCGCGGCCGCGGCGTAGAACTTCGCCACGGCCGGCCAGGCCGCGTCGCTCGCGCCAAAGTCCGGCAAAAAATGGCACTCGTCGCCGTTGGCGAGGGACGCGAGGCGCTCGCACTCGTTCACCGCTCGGAACGCGGCGCGGTAGCAGGGGAAGAAGCCCGGCGGCCGCCGCGGCACGGCCTCGCGCGCGAGGATGAAGCGCGCCAGGCCCTCGCACGTGGCACGCACGGCGGGGACGCGGGCGGCGACGCCGCGGAGCAGCGCGAGGCAGAAGCGGGCCACGAGCGCGCGGAACGACGCGTCGACCGCGAGCGCCGCCGCGGCCTCGCGCGCGCGCGCGTCGTCGTCGTAGCCGCCGGCGTCGTCGTCGAAGTTCGCGTAGGCCCGGCGCGAGAAGTAGGGCCACAGGTTCGCCGCGTAGTCGTCGCGGTACGCGCGGCGACGCTCCGCGCCGCCGCCGCCGGCGCGCGGCGCGTCGTCGCCGCGCGCGCCGTCGTCGTCGCCCCGCAGGATCTCGTCGCGGTGCGCGTCGTAGTGGGCGCGCTCGTCGGCGTCGCTCAGGCACTCGTAGGCGCCCTGGACCTCGCGGAACTGCTCGACGTAGGCGTCGGCGGCCTCGCCGCGCTGCTGCGCCTTGTCGGGGTGCAGCGCCACGGCGAGCTTCTTGTAGGCCTTGCGGATCGTCGCATCGTCGGCGGTCCGCGGCACGCCGAGCACGTCGTAGTGGCAGCGCATCGCCATGCGTGCACGCGCGTCACGAGCGCGCTGTCCGACGAGGCACCATCGTCATGCACTCTCCGCGAACGTCGAGCCAATGGTGCCGCGATCGAGCCGTCCGACGACGCCGATCGCGAGCCGTAGGGGCGACGCCCCGGCATCCGCCCCCCGCCATCTCCCGCCGCCGCGGAGAGGAGCCGTGGGTTACGACGGGTCGCGCCACCGCGCGCGGACGGTCACTCGACGCGTTGCCGCTTGCCGAGGGGCTCGTCGTCGTCGTCGTCGTCGGCGAAGGCGCCGTAGCCGTCGTCGTCGCCCCGCGCCCGCGCGTCCTTGTCCTCGGCGTCCTCGGCCTCGCAGTGGTCGATCCACTCGGAGAAGATGTCGATGGGCTCGGAGAGGTAGTTGACCGTCGCCGAGTACGACGCGCCGCAGACGCGGCACTCGAGGGACCCGCTCTCCTTCTCGTAGTCGATCTTGCACTCGACGGCGCCCTCGTGGTTGCAGAAGGGGCACTTGAACTCCGTCAGCATCACGGGCTTCTTCTTCTTGACGACCTTTTGCGCCTTGGCGCGGCGGCGGCCCATCCTCTTTCCGGCGCGGGCGCGCGGCGGTTTGTTTTCTGTAGGGTGCGCGGCGCGACGCGCGGGGTCGTCGAGGGCGCTGCGCGGGTCGCTCCCGGGTCGCTACGGCGCGCGTCTCGAGCAGGCGCGATCGCAGCAGCACTTGAGCGGGGCGATGATGAGCTCAATGTCGGCTAAATCTGAGTGGTTGAAGCTAGGTGTCCGCGCTGCCCTGCCATCCACGCCGCGTTCGGCGCCAGCGCCAACTCGATCGTCCTCCGGCTGCGCAAATGGTCGTCGTCGACGGCCGGGAGCGTTGTCCGAAGGTGATTGAAGAATTCTACGGTCCTGGGGCTCGAGAATTCTACGGTCAGGGGGACATACCGGTGTGTATAAAGTGTATGATGTGTATTTTCCCCCTTCCCCTGTCATTGCTCTAAGCCTGCCTTGCTTCATCCCGTACTCGATGGCGCGCTTGTCGCCGTATCTCCTCAAATCGTGCGCCCGCGGGTGCGGGCGGTGCTGCTATGAATGCGACGGCGCGTGCGAGTCGTGCTGCCTTTTGTATCGACGCGCGTGCGAGTCGTGCTGCCTTTTGATCTTCCCCGGCGTCTTCGAAGAGGCGCCGCCGGAGGTCGACGATCCCGCTGAGGAAGCCCGAAGCGCCCACGAGACCGAGCTCGCCCGCGTGCGAGCCGAGGCGGACGCGAGGGCCGCCGCCAACGCCGAGGAGCTCGAGCGGCTGCGCGCCGAAAAGGCGCGCGTCGACGCCGAAGCCGAGCTCGCGCGCGTGCGAGCCCGGGGCGACGCCGAGGCCGCCGCCGCCGCCCGGGAGATCGAGAGGCTCCGCGCCGAGATCGAGGCGAGCCGATCCGCGGGGGCGGCGGCGGCGACCGCGAACCCCATCGCCCAGGCCGCCTACCAGCCCGAGCTCCCGACCGTCGCTGGCACCGTCAGCCCGATCGGCCGCGTCGTCGGCGTCGTCAGAGGGTGGTCGTCGAGTCTCGTCGGGCGGCGCCCGTCGACCGCGTCGGCGACGCCGCCGCCGCCGACCTGCGAGGTCGTCGACGTGGAGTCGCCGGCGCCGAAAGCCGAGACGATGAAGCGGCCGCCGCCGGCCGGAGCACCGCCGCGGGGCCTTCCTTGGGGCGCGCTGCCGCCGGCCGGAGTACCGCCGCGGGGCCCTCCTCGGGGCGCGCCGCCGCCGCCAGCCTGAGGAGCGCCGCCGCGGGGCCTGCCTCCTACCTGACGATCAAGCGCCTGTACTGGCGGGCTGCGCGCCTACCTCCTACCTGACGATAGAGCGCCTATACTGGCGGGCTGTGCGCCCGAACCTGTACCTTAGCGGTACAGGCAACGTTGCCGCAAAGCATTCGCAAAGCCTCCGCAAACCACAGTCCGACCAATGGGCAGCCCCCCTGGGTCAAAACTTCTCGAAGAGCCACCGGCCAGGAGAGCATGGCGTCGAACGCGCCGCAGGTCACGGACGCCGAGGTCGTCGCCGGCCTGGCCCGCGCCGGGTCGGCCCGGGCGGCGTTCCAGGCGCGGGAGCGGAGCCGGGCCGACTCGCAGCTCGCGGCGAATCTGGCGGTGCGCGCCGACGACGAGGACCTGGCCCGGCGCCTCCAGGGCTCCGAGGACGCCTTCGCCTCGGGCCGGGCGGCGGAGGCCCACGCCGGCGCGACGGCGGCCGTCGCCGTCGCCCGCGCCGAGGCCGTGGCGTGCGACGGGGCCGCCGCGGAGCGCCTCGCGCGCGAGGAGGAAGACGCGGCGCTCGCCGCGCGCCTGGACCGCGGGACCCTGGGCGCGCCCGTCGTCGCCGTGCCCTGCGGCGACGCGGACCTCGCGCTCCTCCTCGAGGCCCAGAGTGCGCACCGCCTCCAGGCCGAGCACGACGACGCGGAGCTGGCGCGGCGGCTCGAGGCCGAGGAGCGCGACGCGGCGCTGGCCCGGCGCCTCAGCGAGCGCCTCGCGGCGGCGCCGGCGGGGCCGCCGCCCGTCGCCCCGACGGGCGACGCGGAGCTCGCGATCCGCCTCGCGGCCGCGGAGGTCCACGCCGCGCGGCCCCCCGAGCCGCCGCCGCCGCCGCCGCCGCCGTCCTACGACGAGTTCCAGGGCTCGCGCCCGCGGCCGGCGCGCACGCGCTCCTTCCCCTTCTCCCGGTCGCGGCCCGCGCCGCCCGTGCCGGGATTCCACGTCCCCGCGCGCGCGTCCCGCCCCGTGTCGATGCCGTCGGTGCCCGGCCGCTCCGCGCGCCGCGTCGACGTCGACGGCGGCGAACCGAAGCGGAAGTCCTGGTTCTCCTCCAAGAAGAAGTAGGCGCCCCCCCCCGAATTGAAAGCACCCGGTCCGAACACGACCACGCGACGCGCCCTAGTGGGGCGACCGCGCGGGCGCGGGCGCCTCAACCGCGCCCGCGAGGCGCCGCCGGAGCTCCGCGTTCTCCTCGCGGAGGCGGTCGAAGGCCTCGATGACCTCGTCGTCGGCGGCGGCCTCGAGGGCCTCGGCGTTGTCGTCGTCGGCGAGCAGCGCGGACTCGCGCGTCCGGCCGCCGAGGTACTCGAGCTCCCGCCGCTGGTCCTCGAGCCGCGCCTCAAGCGCGTCGACGCGGCTCCTAGCGGCCTCCTCGGCGCGCGCCGCGCGCGCGTCGGCGGCGGCGACGAGCCGCTCGGCGAGCGCCGCGGACCGCTCGCGCTCGCGCTCGAGCTCCAGCGCCAGGCTCGCCTCGCGGCGCGACGGCGCCGCCGCCGGCTCCGGCGGCGCGGCCGGCTCGTCCTTGGCCTCCGGCGCGCCGGCGCCCGCGTCGCCCCCCATGGCGTAGCCGCCGAGGCCGTAGCCCGCGTCGTCGAACGCCGGCGGGCCGGGCGCGTCCGCGCCCGCCGTCACCGACCGCCCGAACCACTCCCACGTCTGGCTCCGCGGGTCCCCCGGCCGGAGCCGCGTGTGGCCCGTGCGCTCCCAGGGCTCGCGCGCGTAGCGGTGGCGCACGACGCCCGGGTAGCGCCGCGACTCGCGGCCGTAGCCGTCGTCGAAGTAGAACCGCTCGGGCCGCGGCGCGCCGTCGCGGACGGCGCGCGCGCGCGGCGCGGCCTCGTAGACGACGCGCTCCGGGACGGCGACGCGCTCGCGGCACCCGTCGTCGACGCGCACGACGCGCGCGGGGCGCTCGCGGCAGCGCGGGGCGGCCTCGTCGCGGTGCACGTAGACGACGCCGGGCGGGCCCAGGGGCGGCTCGGCGGCGTAGTAGCCGCTGAACGGCGACACGGACTTGGGCTCCGGCGCGAAGTAGCTCATGCGCGGGTTGAGCGCGTAGCGCGTGCGGTCGTACCACGTCCCGTCCACGGCGACGCCGTTCTGGAAGGACGCGGGCCGCATCGTACGACCGGGGGCTGCTAACTGCCGTGCTCAACCGTTTTGTTGCCCTCAACAATTTACGATGAAGCAGCCCTCTGCGACGATGATGGCTCTCTAAGCCCACCATGGCTCTCTAAAGCGCATCAATACCATGGAAAAAGTCACGCTCGTGCACGCGGCCTGCTCGCTGTCGATGCGGATCCCGGAGGCCATCCGGGCGAAGCCCGTCTCGAAGCTCCTGCGCGCCTGGACGAAGGAGTACGAGCGGCGCGCGCCGGGCGCCGACACCGCCGGCCTCGGCCTCGAGTGCGACGGGTCGCCGCTGCCGCTCGACGCGGCCATCGGGTCGCTGGCGCCGGGGTCGCGCCTCGTCGTCGTCGAGCGCGCCGCGCCGCGGCGGGCCGACCGCCCGGCGGAGCCTCCGGCCGCCGCGACACCCCCCCCGGCCGCCGCGACGACACCCCCCGGCCGCGCCGCGGAGGCTGCGGGACGCGGAGGAGACGGGCGACTTCGCGCGCGAGCCACCGGACGTCGACGTCACGCCGCTCTTCGCGACGCGGCGCCTGCTCCGCATCGCGGAGCGCGACGGCGGCGCGCGGCTCGGCTGCGCGACGGGCGGGCCCTGCCGCGTGCGCCGCCTCCCCGGGTCGCCGCCCTTCCCGGGTTTCGACGCGCGCTGCGCGGCCTGCTTCGAGGCGCGGCCCGCGGCGGATTTCGGCGGCGACGCGCCGGAGCTCGTGTCCGTGGTCTGCCCGACGACGGGCGACCGCGCGTCCTTCCACGCGCTGCTCTACGCGAACTTCGCGCGGCAGGAGCGCGTGCCCCGGCGCGAGCTCGTCGTCTTCGACACGGGCGCCGCGCCGTCGCCGTTCTTCGCCGCGCTCGACGACGGCCGCGTGCGCTACGTCCACTCGACAAACACAAAACTGGGCCTCGGCGCGAAGCGCAACCGCTGCGTCGAGCTCGCGGCGGGCGCCGTCGTCGCGTGCTTCGACGACGACAACGTCTACGGGCCCGACTACCTCCGCGTCATGCTCGCGCACCTCCGCCACTCGGGCGCGCGCTGCGTGTGCCTCGTGCGCTGGACGACGTACTCCGTCGCCGACGACGCCTTCTACGTCGAGGGCGCCAAGTGGAGCGGCATCCACCACCTCCGGTCCGCGAACGGCGAGACGCTCGTCTACCGCAAGCCCGACCGCGAATCGCCCGTCGTCGGCGACGTCGACGAGTACCCGCCGGACCGCAACGTCGACGAGGACCGCGTCGCCATGTTCACGGCGCTGTCCCACGACCTCGACGACACGCCCGCGAACATCTTCCTCCACATGGAGCACGGGCGGAACACGGTCCCGGCGGACAGCTGGGACAACTGCGTCGAGTTCCGCACGCCGCTCGACGGCGACCGCGTCGCGGCGCCCGTGCGCGCCGCGCTCGCCGCGGCGGCGTCCGTCGTCGAGGCCGTCGCCCGGGAGCGCGCGGCGCGCGGCCCGACGCGGGCGCGGCCCTTCGTGCCCAAGCAGCGCAAGTTCGCGATCGGTAAGGCGAAATGCTAGTAGGACGCGATCGACGCGGCGCCGGCGCGCGGCGCTCGCGATCGGTAAGGCGAGGCGCGCGGCGCACCGCCCGGGAAACAAAGAACAGACCCGTTAGACCGCGCACATGGTCCTGACGACGTCGCGCCCCTCGAGGTCCGCGAGGCGGATGGGCTCGGGGACGCGGTACGCGCAGCACGCGGTCGTGAGCGCGACGGCCGTCCGGAGGCAGACGCCGTGGCCCACGGAGACGAAGATGGGCCGGAAGGCCGCGTCCTGGCCCGTGGTCTCGCGCTTCGGCGGCGGCTCCGACGACCGGAGCGCCGCGCCCCACGTGCGGCCGCTGTCGCCGACCAGGGGCGTGTGCCCCCCAAAGCCGAGGCCCGCGGCCGCGCAGCCCTCGCGCACGGTCCGCTCGTCGAGGCCGTCGACGGCCAGCAGCGACTTGGCCACGCCCACGGTCGGGATGGACGCCGCGACGCCCACGTGCGACGCGGCGCCGAAGCCGCGCGGGTGCCTGTGTGGAAATCGACCGGTGGAACGCCCCGTCCGGCAAAAGCTTTCTCTATCTCGGCCACGTCGACGTCGTTTCGGCTGATTTTTGGACGGATCGATGGCTCTCGTCGAGTCCTCGAAGCACGGCCGAAGAGCTCACATCAAAACCATCTATGACGCGCACATTGAAGTCGGGTTGGAGGTCCGCGCGGGCGGGCGCAGCACGCCGTTGCCGTCGACGAGGCACGCGACGGGCACGACGTCGGGCCGGTCGCGCCGCAGCCGGTCCAATAAACGGCAATAGTGGGGCGCCTCGCGGAAGGCGAGGAACCCGGGGATGTAGGGCCCCTCGACGCGGACGTTCTCGTGGATCGCGTGCACGCGCCGTCTGCTCGGGAGCTCGACGACGACGAGCGACGCGACGGCGGCGCCGTCGTCGTCGGGGAAGTAGGACATGTCGAGGCCCGCGACGAGCCACGTCGCGCCGTCCCGCGCGGCCAGCGACGCCGCGCAGGCCGCGACGTCCGGGCCGTCGTCCGTCCGCAGCTGGCGGAGGAGCTCCTGGGCAGGACAAGAGTGCGAAATTCCCAACTTCAAAGGCTCCTCTCTCGGCCATTTTCCACTCGTTTCGGCTGATTTTGGACGAGCGATCATCTCTCGGAACGCTCTCGACGCGTGGATGCTTTTTCCAGAACGCGCGCGCGCGGAACACTCACGTTGAAGCGACGTTGAATCACCCTTGTCCTGCCCTGAGCAGCTCGATCTGCTCCGCGGCCCAGCGTGCCTCGACGCGCGCGGCCGTCGGCGGGCTGCCCGGCCGCCCGCCGCCGGGCGTCCGAGGGCCGCCCGGCGACCCCGGCGGCGGCGGCGGCGGCTCCGGATCGCCGCCCCGCGCGACGCGGCAGCCCTCGTCGCGGGGGCTGCCGCACAGGAAGAACTGCAGCGTCTGCTCGACCCACGAGTCGTTCGAGTCCTGCTTCCGGATCGTCTTCGGGCTCACGACCTCCGCGAAGATGGCGCGCTCCTCCTCCGCGATGGCCTCGTCGGGCTCGAGGACGCACCGGTCCAGCATCTCCTCCAGATCTTTCGACGTGGGGCCGCCGTCGAGGTCCACGTCGTCCTCGCGCAGCTCGTAGCGGCTGTGCTCGATCATGGTCGTGTGTTGTAGTGCTGTAGTTTGATTCAACGCGCCGCGCGCGCTGCACGACGCAGCCGCCGCGGCTGTGGTTCGCAGCGCAGCGCGCAGTCCTCCCGAAGCGCGGCACTGTGCCGGGACATTGGCGGCAAGATTGCTGCATCGTCGGCGACGCCGTCTCCCACAAAGCTCGATCGCGTGCGGCCTCGCTGCCGGCCGTCGTCGCCTCGCCGCTCGTCGCGTCGCTCTCAAGCGGCGGCGTCGTCGGCGCGGCTCAAGTGCAACAACCACGACCTCTCGGAACATCCGCCCGGGCGCGCGCACGAACCGGCGCTTCGCGACGCTGCCCATCGAGGGCGAGGCGGTCTACGAGGCGCCGCCGTGCTTGTCCACCGCCAAGGACGCCTGCGGCGTGCTCGAGCGCGTGAGCCGGGAGAGCAAGCAGAACCGCGGGGGCGTCGCGAGCGTCGGGTCCGTGTTCAAGATCACGAGGCGAGGCCTCGACATCGAGCTGCCCGACGAACCCGAGGTCGAGAAGCCGAAGCGGAAGCCCATGTCGGCCGGCGAGCTGAACCACGTCATCCTCGGGCCCGACGGCCAGCCCCTGCCGACGCCGCCCCTCGACGACGCCAAGAGCGAGGGCGGCTCGCGGA